TATTTATAAAATAATTAAATTTATTCTTCTTTTATAAATTTTAACTTTGTATTTTTTTATTTAATTAATACAATAAACATTTATTAATCATAAAATAAATTTTAAATTTATAAAAATGTTAAAAAAATCATTACAAATAAAATCAACTTTTAATCGTGATTAAGATTTGTTTTACTATTTGGGTTGGATTAGATTAAAATTTTGAAGTTCGTTATAATATTTTGGGGTGGGTTTGATTTTTGGTTGATTTGAATAAAATTTTTTTTAGTTATGAATTAAAAACAAAAGATGATTGGAAAGACAATGAATCAGTATAGGGAATATATTTAAATCATAATTGTAAAATTTTTGATGTATTAACATAAACTGTTCATCAGTTCTTTTTTTGATTTCTTTAAAATGCTCCTTTGGATTTACCTTTCTTTTCAACAACTTCCCAACCATCGCTATCTTCGTCTTCATTTTATTGTGGTTATTATTCTGATTATGATTGTTATTCTTGTTATTATTATTATTATTATTATTATTATTATTATTATTATTATTATTATGTTTATTGGACAACAGGGGGAATTCCCTAGAATAAAAATAAATAAATACTTTAGCTTTAGAATTGATGAAGAGAGGAATAGATTCCTCAACTTTCAATTATTTTTATTATTCTGGAACTGGTTATGAAGCCACAACATTAGAATTTCTAGAAATAGTGACTTATCTTTATGGTGGATTAGGTTTTAATGATTCTTAATTTTGTGGTTAAGACTAGATTTATGTTTCTTGTTATATTTTTTTAACTTATTCTTATTATTGTTATTAGAATAAGACAGTGTTTTCTTATTTTTTAGTATTGACAAATGTTAGAGGTCCAGAATTATTATTTAATGTTGGATTTTTAGTTTAAACGTTGGAGATTGTTTAGTTTGATTGTTTAGAATTAGAATTAATGAATAATCCTGTATTGTTGGTATTAGACTATGGTTTTTATTCTAATATGGGTTCAACTTTTAAATTTTTTTGTTTTTTAGTTTATTTTTCAGCAGCAGCAGCAATATCAGGAAATTCTTCGTTACGAATTTCAATGATAGGTTCATCAAGTTTTTTAAGTGGAGCATTAGGCTTTTTGCCGATTCCATCAGTTGGAAGATCCTTAGGTTCATCTGATGGTTACCAACCTTCATTAGATGTTTATTAAATGGGTATTTATCTATTAATGAAATGTATAATAGTACTTTTTTTCTGGTTTTTTAATGTCAACGAGATTAGTTTCATCTTAATCATCTTCAAGATCAATAGAAGGTTTTGGGTCATCTTTCTTCACAATTTTAGAAGGCTAGGAAATAGATAATAAGTTTTACTTCAGGTTTAGGTGCCTATTTATTAGTTTATTGTGATGTTTTGAGTTTTAACATTGCCAATAATGGGTTGAGTTTTAATTTTTAAGTATTTTTTTAAAAATATTTAATAAAGAATATGTGAAAAGTTTTTATTTAAATAAAGAAGAAAAAAATAAGATTTAAATTAGATTCGTTTTTAAATTAATATTAAAATGTAGATTTAAAAACGAATCATTTGAGAATTAGTATAAAACATAATAGCTGCTAATTTTTTTGACAATCACCAAGTATTAGTTCAAATAAATAGAGTATTATTTGAATATATAATATTATCAGCAATAAAGAAACATCTTCAAGTATAGTCATGCTTTAAAGTTAATCAATATAATTAATAATAGAGTAATAGTATGTGGGTTTTAAATTAGTTTTTTAATCTTGATAGAATAAAATAAGTTAATTTGCTATATCATTTGAATTAAATAGATGCTAATACACTATTAAAAAATGATAAAATTGAAGCTCATGCCTGTATCTGAAAAAGATATCAGAATTACAATTTAAGATATTTTAAATATAAATAACTTATAAAAGAGAATAAGAAACAACCCAATAGCATGAATCACCTTTATTGCTAAAGCTACTGCTATTGGTAATGTGAATTATGTTATTGATGATATTATCAAATTAATTTAAAATTTAATTTTACATCCCTCGTTTAATAACTTCATTAGAAACTCTCTTTCATATTCTTCTCTTTTTTTTAATTTTTAATTTAATTATCACTGTCTTAAAAAAACATGCAATTCATATTAAAGCATTAACCAATTTAAACAACTTTTAAGTGAAATTAGATATATAATTAGAATTATAAAAAGCTATATAAACAGTTAATTTTTCTATTTATTTTTTATGATGTAGAATAATGATAAGTTACTCTTTAGGCTCTAGGTTCATATAAGCATTGAATATATAAGATTTTCGGTTGAAAGAAAAGTATAATTAGAAATCTAAATTCAAGAATAAAAAGACACAATTAAAGATGCTCTTTCTTAGATTGAATTCTACACTTTAAATTCTAAAATAATAAAGAATAACTTGTTTATAAATAAGTATGTTCTATTGACTAATTATAAATCAATTAAAAATAAATTGTGTAAAAGATGACTTACTTAATTTAGTTAATAACTAATTTTTGATAGACTTTAATAACATATTGGTGAAAATTATCAACCACCACCTAATTAATTAGCAGCAAAATTTGATTTCATCAACCAGTATCAAAATTCATTAACATTATTCCCAAAATTGTTTATTAAAATTTTTGATTTTCTTATTTCATTAAAATTTTTGATTTTCTTATTTTATTTACATTTCACTTAATTTCTAAATATTGGTATTACATTCTACAATTCTATCCAATTTATTAATTATATTTACCATACATCAAAACTAATTTTATGCCTTTTTAAATTAAGCTATTTGAGAAATAAGTAGTTTTCATGCTGTCACACTTTTTAACAATAGAATATAGCATACCTAAACTGTTCTAATTGCTTCTTATTATTTATTCAATTACCTAATCAATTTCATATTCATTTTACTACTAATATACTTAAGATGAATAACTTAGTCATAGTCTTACTAAAATTACACTCATAACAAGACTTTACTTATACATTGAAAATTCAAATATTAAGGCAGCCTTATTTTGGTTGCTTGCTGTTTTATAAAACTTAATTTTCCTTATGGCTGGTTTTGTTGCTTATAAAAATCAATATGTATTAGGGACTTTATCATTTTGGACCAGATTTATTTCTGTCATTTTCTCTTTTTATATCCATTATTTTTCAACTGCTTTTTTTCCTCTTATATTTGAAATTTGCCTATTCAATTCAACGGATCTAGCATAATTTTTTGTTTCTATCTTAATAATGATTCAAACTCTAATTATTATGATTTTAGGAGAACTTGTATATAGAAGAGGCTTGATACTTAAATCAACTTCTTAATTATATATTAATATGACGACATACTCATACATTATCAAAATTCTCAAATTAATGTAAATCATATTTTTTTTTTATTTAAAATCACAATTTCTCTCACAAATCATTTAATGTCTTATTAATATCCTTATATAATTATGTTTTATTGCAGAATAAATTAGAACCAAAGTTTATGCTTAAAAAATCTATTCAAACACTATAATAATTTTTAGTTCAATTGGATTAGTTCTTTCTTTTGATGTTCTTTTAACATAATCGACAAATAATAATAACTATTGGATATTAGTTGCTATAATCGTAATTAAAATATTAATGTTTTGTGAAGAATTTAAATTTGATAAAATATCTAATTATGGAGTTCATGAATTAAAATATCTTTTTTCATATTTAGATTTAAGTAATCATGAAAAAACTGTTACTAAACTTCAAATTTTTATATTATTCAAAAGCCATTATCAAAGTTGTGCCAATAAGTAGAGTTGTTATTGTACAAAATATCAGAGTAATCAATATCTAGCATTGGTTAAAATTATAGAAAGTAGAATTGAAGAAAAATTACATGGGAAAATTGAAATATCAAGAGATTTAATCTGTACTGATTATGCTTAAATTTTATATAGAAGTTAATAATATGTTTAAGCCTAATAACATATAACAAAATTTTTAGCAAAAGAATCTTTTAATTATGAAAAAAACTAAAATCCTTTATCAAAAATAACTATATACTTATTAGAATTTTTAAAGGCAGAAGTTTTAAATTAAGTTGTGATTTAAATATCAGAAAAGATATTTCTAACGAACTAAAATAATAAATTAATTAATGAATCATTAAAATCTTTTGTATTGAATGAAAATTCTGATTCCTAAATAATCTCCAATTTAAAAAAAATAATTCAAGCAAAAATTTAATTTTATTATTATTTCGTTGAGCATCAAAATAATTATTTAGGAAATGTGAAATATGCATTGTAATTTATAAATTAGATATAAAAATTTAAGGAAACTTTACTAAATAGATATAATTAGTTTCCAAGTACATATTATATATAAATTTAGCTAGTAGTAACTAAAATATATTGAAATATTTTTCTCTACATATTCTGAATGATTATATAGATTCTTTTAATATCAATAGAGGGAAAGCCTTTGAAGATGATAAGTTTAATTAATTTTCAGGATAAATGTACCATAAAATATTTGGAATAAATCCTGCTTATTTTATAACTGAATTAAATTCTGAATTAGATGTAATAATAACAAAAAAGTCTTAAAGAGCACAATATTTATTAGAATAATGGAATGTTACAGAATAAGAATAAAAATATCAATCCACTGATTTAAACTCTTATTTGCCTGAATATGTATTAAAGAAACATAGTAGTTTAATAGAGAAATTTTTATGTTAAGGGAAAAATAAGTATTATTAATAGTAAAATTTATCTTTTTTAAAATAATCAGAATAGGTAATGATGCCAATCCAAATAATGATAAGTATGAATTAAACAAATTATGACAAGTTTTCTTTTCTTACATTTTTTTATGAGTCACTTGACTATAGATCTTATTTAGTAGTTGATAAGGAATTAGAAATTTTGAATATAAGTTCAAATATTTCTGATAGTTTATATTAGGGTGAAAGTAAAACTCATTCAAATTGTGTGAGTAATTTGATACCTAATTTTCAATAATTAGTATCTACACATTAAAATTAATTTTATAATTAAGAAATAAAATTAATAAAAGAATATCACCATTAAAAGGTGAGTTGTTCTTTTACTGGTAATATTAAGATTGAGAGAAAATTTGAAAATTAATATAAATGTTATTTTGTTGAATTAGATAATATAAGAGCAATAGCAAAAAAGTTTAAAGATGAAAACTCAACATTGTATATGGCTACTCCTACTTTAATAGTTGGTTCTGGTCATAAAATAATGAATATAAATAGTGAATTCAATAATTCAGAAGAGAAGATGATTCCTTATAATGATATTGAGAATGATCCAATAGGAGAGAATTCATTATGCATACTATAACAAGATCATCATAGATAAACAATAAATTAAACTGATACAAATTTATTATGCACTTTAAAGAGTCATAATGCTTTTGAACCTTAATCTTAGAAACGATTATTACATAGTTCAAAGTATTCTAATGATGAAGAATTAAAAAGATAGGTAAATAAGATTGCAGAGGAAGATGAGTTTTTAGAAATAGGATCTACATCATCTGTATCTGCAATTAGAAGATCAAAATATTATAAGAAATTTGAGATTATCACTATATTGATGAAATCAGAGAGATAATCTTAAAAAATAATAAAAATGAATAAGTACATTTGTTTATATATTTTTGTTATTTTGTTAGGATTGATAGTTGTAAGATATAATATTTATTATTAAATAGCAAATTTTAATGATTTAAAACCTAGAATAATTTATAGAGGACATAAAAACATTATCAATTAGATATAATGTTGTAGAACCATACGAATCTTTTTATGTTTCAAGATTTTCTCAGGTTAATTATAGAGAGTAATTATCAGGAGGATTTATTAATGCTAGTGTATATGCTTAATTAACAAAATATCCATTTTCGACATTTGGTTTAATGTATGATCATTTGAGAGATAGTATGTATGGTATACTAGAAAAAAAGGAAATTGATTTATTATCGGAGAATAAATATATTACGATAAACTTTCTGAATAATTCATATGTTGGATATACAAAAAATGTAACTATTAGATCTTTAGCTAATATATTAATGAATTATTAATATGATTTTAAATTAGGTTTAACAATTAGAAATGTTGCATTTGATAGCCCATTCTTTTATTTTACTAGTAAAAACTACCTTATAATAAAACATACATTTGATGGTCTAAATAAAATAGTTTTAGATGCTACTTTATAAAGATCTACTTTAGAGAAAGAGAAATGGTTATCAGTATTATTACCATTTAATATAATAAGTTTATTGCTATGTATAATAATAATAAATAGTTACAGAGAATATAATTAAATAATGAATTCAATATTTTAATATTTGATGGATTTAGATCAATAAATATTAGATGATGAAAAAAAGAGACTTTAAAAACATTTAAATGTAATTACAAATGAATTAGACAAAGTGAAAAGATTTGAATTTGATATTGATGCAATTGATATTGAACTTGATGAAAGTAATTACTAAATAAATAAAAAATATTCAAAAAGAGATGGAAAAAGATTAAAGATTACAAATAATTATTTAAGAACAACAATCTTTATAGCTTTAACACACCTTCTTTTATTCTTAACATTTTATACTGTGATATTTTTTATAGTTGAAAGATATTTTAATAAATATGATTAAACTGCTATTATTTATCAGCGAATAAGTGATCTTGGAGTTGATATTCCTACATTATATGCATAAAGAGAAGTTATTTATAGAAGAACCTTAAGATACTTTTTCTTAACAGCTGCTGAAATTGATGGAGTTTATGATGTATTTTTTTAGGCATATAACAAAGTTGAAGAATTTTCATAATTAAGTATAGATTTAAGTTCAAATGAGTACTTATTTGATGAAAATGCTGTAAATTTCTATAATGGTATAACAACTGGAAATTTATGTGATTTTTAAACAGATTAATTTAAAGAACTTTCAAATTCTACTTGTAATTTAGCAATGAATGGTAATTTATTAAAAGGTTTATCATAAATATTACCATACATATTGTATACTTTAAAGAGTTAACAGTATGAGAGTAAGAACTTTACAATTTTACCAACAAACACAAGATTAGAATTAGAAGGAGCTACTATAATAGGTAATGTAATGTAAACAGTTATATCATAACTTTATGATAATTTACTGATTTCATGTTTAAAGTTGATGAATTTCACTTAGATTCCTTCAATTGTATTTCTTATATTATAATGTATATTCATAACAATCTACATTCTCTTTATAAATGAAAAACATAGATCACAATTTTAGTCAATTAAGCAATCAATATTTTTATTTCCTAGATAGACTTTAATATTTGATGATTAATTTTATAGGAATTTCAGATCAATTATAAAGGATGAAGGAATTTAATAATGAGATTAATATTATATTATTATTTATAATAAAATTCACTTGTGATGTAATCTAACTAAAATTAATTAAATGTTAAAATTGCTTCTAATACTTATTTAATTGCTACAATTGTGTTTTGGAGATGAATTACTTGCAGTTCAAATAATGTGGAGACATGGAGCAAGAAATCCATATTTCTGTAATTGGGGTTGTAATGATAAAATAAAATAATCTTTATCTGAATTAACACCTGTAGGAATGAGATAACATTATGTATTGGGTTAATGGTTAAAGAAATAATATATAGATACTGGATTTCTAGAACCATATTTTAATGAAAATTAAATCTATATAGAGAGTAGTAATACAAATCGGTAAATATTGAATATAATATTAAGAACAATTATGAGTGCTTATAGTAATTTATAAGGAATGTATCCACTTGGTCCTATTGTTCCAGAAATATCTTCAGATTTGTTATTACCTCCTATGATTGATGTAAAAACTCCTGATGGAATATCAAATTATGCGTTACCTAACAGGATTTAAGTTATACCTATACATAGTATACAAGAAGAATTAGATTATGTTATGTATATGTATTGTCCTAAATTCTGGGATAATGGTGCTCATAATTTACACACTGATGTTTACTATGATATTAACAATCGTTCTTAAGAGTTAATAAATTAATTTAATATATAACTCAAACAAAATTTAACTAATATTGTAGAATTATATGAATGGAGAGATACTTTTATTAGTAATATTTATAATGGAGGGGATAACCCTCAAAACTTAACCAAAGATATGATGGAGCAATTAGACAAAATTGCAGGACTTGGATTTCTATTAAAATATACTTAAGACTATTATTAAGCATCTCTTTTGACAAGTGAATTTTTTAAGAATGTTTTAAATGGTTTCGATGATATTTTGAATGGAACTTCTAAAATCAAGTATCATGCTTATTCTGCTCATGACTCTAGCATTTATGCCTCTTTATATGCTTTGAATCTAACAAATGTTGAATGTTACAATTAGAGTTATTTTGGTAAAATAGAATCTAATAATACTTGCATTACTACATATCCTGATTATACTGCGAATCTCATTTATGAATTATATAATAGTTCAACTCTAGGACCTTATGTTAAAATAATGTATAATGGAACTTATGTTAACATTTGTCAAGATAAAGCTTTAACTTGTTAATACTCTCATTTCAAAAGTATTCTTAAAGGCATTCAGAAAGATTATATAAAAGAATGTTAAATTTATGATCCTTCAAAACCTATTGATTATTAAACTCCTTGGTGGGCTATACTCTTCTTTGTTCTTGTATTGGGTTGTTGTATCTGCTCTATTTCTATGATTGTTATTATTCATTAAAAAAAATAAAGGTTTATAACATTAAATGATGATTAATATAGAGTGTGATAAATAAATTAAAACTTGAATAATAATAATAATAATAATAATCAATATTTTGTTTAAAGTAATTTAGAAAATGCATCCATACTACAAGTTGACATCAATACTTTTTCTGCTTCTAAATCTAATAACTTTTTTTCCAATTCATCCATCAACTCTAACTTATCTCTTTTTAATTAATAACAATTATTAATTTGATTTTTAGTATTTAATACATTTCCTTTTATTACATTTTTTTATCCTTTTGACTGATTTTCTAATTACATTTCCAATTACTCTATTCTCTCTAATGCTTCCTAATATTTCTATTAAAGATCATCTTAATCATTTTTTTATTTTGATCTTTACAGCTATGCTTATATATTATCTAATAATTTAATCAATTAATATACTCATTACTTGTTATGCTTTATATATTTATTATTATACTGTCTAAATTATTTGATTTAGGCCATTATAATAAAAAATCCCATTGCTCATAATTTGATATTATTAATGATTTCTTTGGTACTCTCAATCCCAATTTATTAATTTACAATTCCTCATACATTACTTAATCTAATGTATGTTGAGCATCCTCCAAAATATAAGACAATTATTCACATGATAATTGTTTTAATTCATTTCTACTCTAATCTTCATATTAACTCACTGGGATCAATTAATATTATTAAATTCCTTCGTTCAACGGATATTTCTAAATCAATAAATCCAAACTTTATTAATTCTTATATGATTTCTCAAGAATAGAATCACATATCTCAACTTAAATTATTTCTTTTATTAATACATATTTCATCTATCAGTTGCTTTTTTGAAGTCATTTTATTTATCCAAATATTTATAATTAAAATTAACAACTCTATTTAATATTTATATTTAAATTTATCAATTAAGATTATAATCCTTCGATAAGGTCTCTGCAAAATTTATAAGAAATTATTCTATTTAATCTCTTTCTTAATTTTGCTCTTTTTCCTTTTTATAATCTTCATATCTTTTTTCCATTTCTTTTAAAATATCCATAAATTTTTATTATTCTTTGCATTATTTGATATTTTATGATAATTATTGATTTTCTTCTTATAATTTTTCATTAGCATCTTCTAATTTCTTTATTTTCTAATTTAAATCTTAAATTTAGTTCGAATTGTCTGCTGCTTCCTTATCTTTTTCAATTAGCAGTTCCTTTTAAGCTTTCAATTTTTATTCATTTTAATTTAATTCCTCTTTTAATTTAGAACACTCTTATTGATGTTTTTCAATTAAATTTTAATTTTTTTAATCATTTTTAATTTTAACTTTATCTTTTAATTATTAAAGTGTTCCAACCATAGCTTATTCAGCTTCTTTGAAATCAACATCTTCCTCTGAATCCTAATTTTTTGGTGTATTATCTAAGTGAACTTTTTTCTTTAATACTTCTAAGATTTGTTAACAAAATTAATCCAAATCTACATTAGATTATGTCATTTATTGTTTTGGTTGAGGTGCTTATAAATTTGGCTATTATTAAAATTATTAAATTGATTATTACTACTTAGATTATGGTTATTATGTTGGTATTGAAGCATTCAAAACTTATTAACTTTATTATGTTGGTATTTAATTACATAAAAATTATTAACTTTATAATGTTTACTAGATTTAAGTTTAAAGGAGTTAATTAGGATTTTATTATTTTGAATATAACTAATTTGGCCTAGATGATAAAGTTAAATTGCAATTTTTATTATTTATTTAATCAGGGTCATAGTCTTTATTTCTTTTAAATATTTCTGCTATTTCTACGATAGAAGACCGTTATGATGAATCAGGATCAAACATTTTTTTCATTATAGTTTAACATTCTTGTGGAATTTTTAATAAATCAATTTTTTTTAAAAATTACTCTTTTTATGATTTATATTGAGTGAGTTGAGTTAGAAAATCTTATTATGAGTTATCTAAAAAATAATAATAATATTGTTGATACTTGTAAAAAAGGATTCACCAGTCAATACTTCATACATTACACAAGCTAACGCCCAAATATCTACTTTCTAATCATATTGATTGTTTTTTTCAATAAGTTCTGGGGCTTAGTAAAATAGTGATCCAACTCCTATAGTTTAATTTGAATAATCACTAACAGTTCTTTTCACTAAACCAAAATCTATTAATTTAAATTGATCTCCAACAAGAATAAAATTTTCTGGTTTGATATCTCTATGAAATAAATTTTAAGAATGGAGATAGTAAATTGGACGTAAAAGCTAACGATATAAATAATAATTACTTAATAGCAAATTTAGAATCTATTTTTATTCGATAAATTTGGTTTGTTTTTAATATAAGCATACAGATCCTAAGTTCCCAATTCCATAAGTAAAACATGATAATTTTGATATTAAAAAATTTCAATAATTTAAACCATCCCTGAAGAAGTCCAGAAATTATTGTCATGTTATTATTAATAGGCCATTAAATCTTTAATGAAAGATTCTTCTGCTTATTTTCTCTTAATTTAAAATTTCATGGCAATATCTTTGTTTAAATTCCAATTGATTGGTTTTGCTGCAACCACAAAACCTTCCCCTCCTTCTCCTAATAATTTAGTTAGATAAAATTCTCTCTTTTCATATTGTTTAATGGGAGCAGGGATTACTGAGTTAATAAGTCCACGAGGGTTAATGTAATTCTATTAAGCCATGTTTTGATTAAATGAAAATAATTAAATAATATTAAAATTTGAGCTATAGATTATCTATGAATTAATAAACACAATAGTGTTATCAATAATATATTTAGAATTATGTATGTAAGATTAAGATTTAGAAAGTTTTAGAAATCATTAATTTAATATTATATTTTATTCGATCTGTGATGTGTATTATTATACTATTAATTAATTAGTCTGATTTGTTGAATATCTATTTATGTTTATTTTTATTCAAACATGAGATTAAAAGAGATTTTGATAAATAAATAAGCAATAGACATTAATATTGAAATACAATTATTAAATATGATTAATCTGAATAATAATGGCATTGATATTTAATAAAATATCATTCATTTTTTGCCTTACCCTTTTTCTTACTTTATTTTATTTCTTTTCCTGTATTATCTTCACTGCTCTTCTCCTTCACTCTATTTTATTCACTCTTCTAAATTGTTTATGATGTCTCACTTTATTCTTATATTACTTTAGAGTCTTTCTTTGATTCTTACTTCTATTGATTATTCGGCCAATTATTAAAAAGTATAAAACTAAATATTCCTGCTTAAAATCCAAATCTAAATTTATATGTTTTATATACCTTTCTAATCTCTCAGATTAGATTTGTCCTACTCCATCAAAACATAAACCTCCTATCAATGATATCAAAAATAATGCATAAACATTTAAACAAATTAATTTCACTTTTTCTTATTTTAATATTTATGCAGCCAATAATATTAAATGATATAAACCACACATTCTTAATCCCTAATAAATATTATTATTTAATTACTAATTCTGTCTAGAGCAATACGGATAATTATGTATTAATAAATGACTATTCCTATTCATTATCTACCTTTTTTATAAAATAAGATGGACTCAACAACAATAATATTCCAACTGTTGATATATATGCTAAATATCCAATATTATTTAACATTAATTAATAATTTAATTATATAATTCATAATTTTGTGATTCCTGTCTGTTTTCCCATCAATACTTATACTAGCTAGGAGTAAAAATATATTATTTCTCAAAAGATAACACTTCATTTTACTATTTTTATTCATTTTCTTTTTCTTATACATCAATTATCTTCAATTCATCATCCTACTATTTTTATTCATTTTTTTTTTCTTATGTATCAATTATCTAAAATTCATCATCCTTCTATTTTTATTCATTTTTTTTTTCTTATTTATCAAATATCTACTATTAATCATCCTACTATTTTTAATCATCTTCTTTTTCTTATGTATTAATTATCTAAAATTCATTATCAGGATAATCATAAACATCTAATCCACCAAATAAATCATCTTAATTAACTTATTTTTCTCCTATTAAATTTATATCATAATTGTAATTTCTAGCTTTAAACAACAATTTTTTAATTTACACCATATTATTTTGTTTATCTTTAAAATATACAACAATAAATTAATTTTTATATTAGTCCATCTCTATTCTTAAATAAAGAGGTATTAAATATATTCTATAATCCAAATTTTGATCATAAAGTAATTCTAGAATTAACTAATCTATAAAATCTCTGAAATCTATGTCTATTACCAAAGTATCACAAAAATGTATATCAAATTCTCTTCCACATTCACATTTTGGATTTTTATCTATTTCAAATTTAAGTGAATGATTTAAATCATTTTTTATTTCACCTTTTAAACATAATATACTTTATCCATTAACAAAATTCCTTGCACATACCTAAAAACATTTTTTATCTACAATTTTATAATATTGTTTTCTTTTTCTTATTAACTCTTTATCAAATTTTTATTTTTACTCTTTATTTTTTCTCTCATTTTTATCAATTTTCTTTCCTTTATTACGTATTATATCTTCCAAATAAACATCAAATAAGTTTACTTCTAATTCTTTTAATTTTTCATTTAATAATGCATCAGAAATTGCTGTTGATTTTTAATGAAATTTACTATTCTATTTTAAAAATTATAATCTATGACTTTCAGAATGAAAATATATTGTTTAAGTTCCTTATTGAATTTTAATAACAGCAAAATTATATTATTTTGGAAAAAGAATTATTTCGAATTAAGCTAAATTTTGATATAATTCATTTAAATTTTCTCGAAGTCTCCATAACAATAGAATTACATAATATTCATTTGCATCAATTTATTTTATTTCATTCTATTACCATTTTTCATAAATGAATCTCTCCAAATAAGTTAAGAAATCACAAAATTATGGATTTAAAATTAATTTATCTTAATTATGAATTTTGAACGGAACACAGATTTAATTTTTTGTTATCTCATCACATTAAAATTATAATAGAAACGCGATTGGAATGATAAAATTTTAGAATTTCTTTTCAGCTTATTTAATTTGTCTCTCACAAATAATTGGTAAAGTCTCATATAATCTCATGATTAAATCTTTTGTTTTTGATTATTCAGCAACTAAACCCTCTTTTAAAGTTATTGACATCAGTAATTATTTTTCAACATTATACTTTTTTATTTTCTCAAACTATTCACCAAATTCGCAAGTTGCATTAAGATGTTCAAGTATGAAATCTGCAGGTTGATTCTAAGAAAATTAATTTATATTATTTTTATTCATAAAATATAAATCATTAATTAAATGAAGTTGGATAGATATTTTAAAATGAATAATCTCCTTGATATGGAAATCTTTAATTTTGATTAGTTTATATCTATGGCTATTATTGAATTTATTTAAATTAATTTATTTATTTAACTTATGAAACAGATTATTCTTCTTAGGGTGATTACAATTTAATTAATGTTTTATTTTTTGATTAATCAAAATCAACAGACTATTAAGATGGAATTGATTATTTTTATTAACTTAAAGACTATTAAGATGAAATTGATTATTTCTATTAACTTAATTATTAGATTTCTTATTTAATTTTTTCATAATTCTAAATAATTACTTTTTTTTAATTAATCAGTTTTTCTAGATCCTAAATTTAAGTATTAAACTATCCATTATTAGAACTTAATATTTTCTAGATAGATTAAAAACCTTAAAGAGATTATTCTAAATTTTAAATCTCATTATTTAAGTCTCCAATTATATTTACTAAAAATTTAATTTATTCATTAAAATTTTCTTCAAATTTTTAAGTATTTTATTATTAGAACTAATTTGTTTCTTGGGATAATTTCCTAGTTTCTGAATTTTAAGATTAATTAAGTTTATTTATAAGTTTTAATTTTTCATCTTCTAATTCTTAAATTTTTTTCTTGAGAACAATTGCTTCATTTTCTTAAATTAATTTAGATGAATTCATAGATTAAATGAATTAATTATTTAAATTGGAAACTTGTTAATTGATATATTATTAAACTTATAGTTTGTTCTGATTTTATACATATTATAAATTTTATATTTAATCTGCTTATTACTTAATTGTTTTACAAGATTATTCATACTAATATTTAAATTTTTTATTTTCTATTTCTAATTTAATAATTTAATCCTTTTAATTTGATAGTTCTTCTTCTTTACTTTGAATCTAAGATTATAATTATTAAATAATTTAGTTTTATTCTTAAATTGTTTTATTAAGTTCTTATAATTTTGTATCAGTTAATGATTTATTATCAAAATCCTTCTTTTATCCTGTTTGATCCTAAGTTGAGTTTAATTCTTAAGAAATAATAAATTTAACTTTAGTTATTGATTCTTTTATTGATAACCTATTAATATAATTAGGATGAAGCATTTATTTAATTAATTCTTTCCATAATTAACTAACTTTAAGTTGATCAATAAGTGAATATACATAATATTAATTTTTTTTATGATCTTTAATTTATTGGATTGATATAGCTAATTTATGACATGGAAATAATTCTTATTCTGCAAAAATTTCATAAAAAACACATCCAAGTGCCCAAACATCAATTGATTATGTATAATATCCTTCATCTTCTTATTCTAATATTTCTGGAGGTTAATATATACGAGTTCCATTTGTAGAAGTTATTAGTCTATTCTTTTCCCTTAGTAAACCAAAATCAATTAGTTTGAATTCCGTATTAACTAATATAAAGTTTTCTCCTTTAATATCTCTATGAATTAATCCTCTTTAATGAATATAACTAATAGAATTTAGTAACTTTTATATATATACATTATATACCTAATAACAAATCCTGATTTTCTATCCATAACTTAGTGTTTATTTATTTTATTTCATGTATCTAAATAAATTCAACTCTCCTACTTCCATCACTTATATAGTTTAATTTTAGTAATTAAAAATATCATAGATTCTAATTATGTTAGTAGGTTTGTAAGATTTTGATCCAATCTCATCCCTATCATTTTATACTTCTATCAATTATTTAATAAAGTCCGATTCTGTCTCTTTTATTGAAAATTAAACTTTTAATGCAACATCAAAATTCTTATCCCAATTTTCTGCCTATGCTAAATATACTACACCTTCTCCTCCTTTTCCTATTTATTCCTTTATTAAAAAACTTCTTTTTGGAAATTCCTTTGATGGAGCATTAATTTTATTTCCTTCCATTATATTAATCATTTTTTAATTATTTAAATATATTACAATTTTGTTTCATATTATCTTTTATAATTTTTATTTAATATCATTCTAATCATCAATATTACCAATAATTTAACTAATTTATATATCTTTTCATATATTCAACTTAATTACTATTTTTCTTTATTTCCTCTTATAATAAAAATGCTAAAATTAATTATTAATTAATATGTAATTAAACGACTACAAAATCAACCGTAAACTATTAAACTTTACTAACAACTAAGGATCAAACACAAAAATTAAATATCTATCAAGAGATTCTAGTGTTAATTAAATTGAATAATCTATTTATAAGTCTCTCTCATCCAGTTAAATGTTATGCAAATCACATAGAAACAATAATTATATAACAAACAAAATATAATAAATATCAACTATCGGAAATATCTATAATAAGGATTCAGCTTATTTTAATAATACATCAAATGATCTATCAAATATTCCACCAATAAGATCTTTAAATAAAGATGATGGAGATAAATTGATTGCCTCTCTTAATCATCAAATTAAATAATAAAACATTTTAATATCTAATTTAAAATAACTAATCTCAACTTAAACAAATGATATTGCTCAATAGTCTGAACTTAATTAAAATTTTTCGGAAAAACAATAAAATTATTAAGAAACTGAACAAAACTATCATTCCTTTAACTTAAAAAGTATAAAAGTTATCTAATTTAGTTTTATAAATAGCTTAGGTTACAGAAATTTTACCTTATACCAATGATTCTCTAGAAATTTTAAATTAAATTTATTCAAATGATTGTCTATTGTAAATTGCAATATAATAGAGATATTAAAGACTAAAACTAAATCTTATGAATAAATGGTATAAAGCTACTTAACTATCAAAATAATTAAATAAATTTATTTAATAATTAGATAGAAAAAAATTATCTCAATATTATTTTTAATGGAAACGATATTTATCATTAAAAAAAAGACTTTTTTTATTTAATTAAGTCAAATAATTCAGATTTATGATTTAGAATTGGAATAAATGGAAGAATTATATAAATATCAAAATTTAATTTTAATAAAATTGGACAAAAGCTATTTAATTCTATTCCTAAAAATTACAATATAAATATTTTCAAATGTTGAAGTATTTTTACCTACATTATAATTTTCAAAAAACAGAATTTTAAAATTTATCTTTTTCAACTCGATAAAAATTAGATTTATTTCGATTATCTCAAGTATTTAGATTATAAATATATATAGTGTATCAATAAATGGAGAAACATTATTTTTCAAAGGAAATTATTATAAGGCAAGTTATCTAATTATAAAAAATAATAATAATTAACTTTAAGAAAAAAAATTATAAGATTTCTTTATCTAAACTAAAAATATTATGAACAAAGATAATAGACAATTCTACAAGAAAGAACGAAAAAATACTTAATTAAGATATTTGTATTTTTGAAAGTGCATTTTAAAAATGTTGCATTCAAAAAAAATTAAATTAAATAAAATAAAAATTATTTTGTTAAATACCATGTTTGGAAATAATGGTAAAGAAAATAAAATGTAAAAAGATAATTAGGGATTGTAAGCCAAAAGATAATCGAGAAAAGATTATCAAAATATATAGAAAAATGTATTCTAAAAATTTATTATAGTATTTCTTTCTTTAAAGAATAATGCAAAGTACAAAAAATTAATAAAATAAAATTTTGAGTTAATAAGTTAAAAATAGAATAATAGAATTATGAATAAAAGTATGATAATTTGGTTGAGCAGTTTATTGAAACAAAGAATTCGTCTAGATTTGGAATAGAGTTCTTAAATAATTTAGTTAAAGCAGATAGATTAATAATAATCAGATGAAGTATTTGAATTAAATCAAATTTATCTAAATAAATTAGAGGAGGTTAAAATATAAGATTAAGAAATCCAAAATTTAAAATGTATTTAAGAAAATTAAAATCGAATTTAACATGAATTACAAATGCAATAGTATATATTTATTTATATTTTGTGATCATATGCAATAAGAATTGATAACTTATAAATAATTGTTAGTTAATTACCCTAGAGATAAAGATGAGTTACAAATTTTATAAGAATAAAAAAATTTAATTTAAGAATAAATAAATGGATTAAAATAGCAAAATAATTGTAAATTATAAAATGATAATTTAGAAGCAAATGATGTGTGCAACAATGATTAAGAAATATTAAAATTATAATTAGAAATGAATAATTCCATTTTCAATGAATAGCAAGAAAAATACATTGAATTAAAAGAAGATTATTCTAAAATAATTAATGATTATGAAAGAAGAATTCGAAATTTAGAGATACATTATTTAGAATAGAGCAAGTAACAAAAAATAAAAATTTAGCAAAGTATTTTTGTTATATTTATAATTTCAAGTTCAAAATGATAATAAAAATTTAGAATTATAAGGAAGTAGACATAATTCATAACCAGAATATTTTTCTGAAATGAAATAACCAAATATATTATTTTTCGAAGATAAAATAAATTTTAATACTTAAAATTCGCCAGAAAAAGTGAGTTTAAATTAATAGTAATGTATTATAACAATTTAGACTAATTCAAGATGAAGAAACTGTAAAATTAAGAGAAGATATTAAAAAAAGATTAGCGTATTTAAAAAGTTAAATGGATTTAAATAAGTGAAATTACTTTATTAAAAAATAGAAATAAATAATAATATGTTATATATCATTCTTCAAACAATTCTGGGTGTTATTCTCTTACTTTTCTTGTAATTTCTTGATCTAATTCTTCAATTGATTGTAGAGGCTAAGTTTATTATTAAATTTCAAAATTTTGATTAAGTTCATCATCTTCATTAATAACCGGTAATGAATAATCAATAGTAAACTTATCTATAAATTCTTAGACTTTTTAGTATTCATTTTATAAATTTTAAACTTTCTATTATTATTCATGTAAGAAATCTAATTCATTAGAAATATCTTGTTCTTAACTAGAATGTAATATTTCATAATTTTATTTGATAGCTATGTCTAACTATTTTTTATAATCTGAGAATTCATTTAAAATAGTGCTGCATTAAATATTAGATAATTCTTTTGCACTATTTTCACTATTTTTAGATAGATCATCAAATTATTACATTTTTAATTTCAAGAATTGACTTGGAGTATATGATGTTTTTTTTTTAATTTATTCAATAAACTATTAAATCTTAGGTTTTTCTTCTAAACTATTACTTTTAGATACTAATTTAAATATTTCTGAATTGACTTCTTATGTTTTAGTTTCTAAAATTCTTTCAATAGCTTCCTTTCTTAAAATGGGATCTTTTGGTAACATACAATTTTTATCAAATTCTAGATCTGCATCTTCTACAAATTTAGGATTAAGTTTTTTAATTTTTTTATGAATATCAGTTAGTTTTTCTTTAGGAATTTAAAATGGATTTGAATAATTTTTAGATGAATTTTATTTAAGATTATCAATATCTTATAATAATGATTCCAACCTTAATTAATATTCATTAGGTAATTTGAATTATGTAATGTTTTCTAAATTTTCTTATTACTTTTCAATTTTTTTTTCAACTTATTCAATATATTATTCTTAAGCGTCAAATTTCTAAAATTTAAGTGGAGAATCTAAATCTTATTTTTAACCTGTAATTTTAGCTTTAAATTATTCTCTATTTCTAAGTAATTCAGTAATAAACATAGATCTCTACTTAAGTGACATTTATGAGAATTATGAATCATTTTCTAAAGGTTATTCTAATAATTATTAAAACTTTTAAATATCAATTTTAGTTTTTTATTCTAATTCAATTTTTTCAACTTAATCTAATTCTATAGCTAACATTTAAATTTAATTTTCTAATTCTTATTCTTCATTAATTTATTATTTAGCTTAAGTTCGAGGAGTCTATCTACTTTAAATAAATCCTTCTATCTCTTTTAATTAAATTTGTCTTGATTATTCTCTTGATTAAACTAATTGTTCGACTTAATTCATAATTAATTGATATTCTTTATTTTGAAGTTTATATTGAGGAACTTCTTTTTTTACCCAAATATCAGAATCATAATTAATTTCTTATCTTTTTTTTTAAACATATTTAGAATTAGTATTAGGTAAATCTTAAGATGATTTAGAAATGCTAAAGGTTTCTGATTTAACACTTTTAATATCAATATCATTTGAAACATCTTCTGATTTTTGAGTAGATACATAACTTTGATTTTCTAATGGCCTTTTCTCTGATTATGGTCTTGGAATTGATTCATTGATAGTTCTAATTTTTGATGATTCATAAAATTAATTTAATGGTTTCTTACTTTAATTACTATTAGAACCGAAACTGTTAGAAGTTTAAGATTGTTTAATTGAAAAAGGTTTTGATGATTATTAAGATTATTATTTTATGTCTTCTGTTTAATGAGCATTTAATTTATTAGCTGCTTCATCATAGATTTTCTTAGTTTCAGGATTTTGTAATAATTGTTTCATATATTCAGCAAACATTTTCTATGGTTTTGGTGGTTATTTAAATGTTTAGATACCTTATGTTTGATTATTGGATTAAGTGATAGTTTAACTTTATATTTGTGGTAATTGATTTTAAACTGTAAGACTTAAAGTTTAAGTAGGAATTGCTTTTCCTTTTTTTTAATTCATATAAATATATATATTAATAAAATGATCATTCTAATTTTAATGGCATTTTAACTGAGTTTCTTCCAGCACTCATTTATAAGAAAGACTCTCCTAATTTTGATTTCTTTATCTTATTACACAAATTAAAAGCATATAAGTTATATCCAGTAAAAGCAGCAGGAAAAAACATACATATTGAGATACTTATTTGTAATTAGGATGCATTAATGATAAACATTCCAACAAACATCAAGAACATAAATAACTAAACAAACCAAAATATTCTACTATGAATTCTTTATATTTCTCCTTTTTCTTAAGTAGAAGTTTCGAATACCCAACTTTCATTTCCATAATCATCTATTTCAACCCACCAACGTAATCCAACTAATTTTCCTAATTTATCTATGTTCATACCTTCCACTTACATTCTTGATAATCCAAAAATCAATAGCTCCAAGAATTACTATAGCTTCATATAATTTCATAGTTTGATAGTAAGGAGTAAGGAAATAGAGTATCAGAATAATGAATTTTAAAATGAAGCATAATACACATTATACTGGATTTGGAGACTCAGATATATCAATATTTGCACTCTTAAATAGTTCATAATTTGCAAATGCTAATGGATTCAAATTTACACTTAATCTCAACCAATTTTATTCTTTTTAATTCCAATATTGTCTTGTATTCTAAACTCCTGCTTCCAATCCATTTGGTTATTGATTTATTATTGATTCAGTTATACGAGGACCTTAGAAAGCTTCTAATTAAGGAGGTCTCATTAAATTCAATTGAGGGTGTTCTTCTCTTATTTAATTGATCATAACTGTTAATTAATAATATTCTATATATATAGTTCAAATGTTAAATATTAGTTATCTAAATTTATTACTTAAATTATCTGATATTCATCTATCTTTAATACTCAATCATATTCTCTATGATATTTAAATTTCACTTTATAAACAAAACATGAATAATTTTTGTTTCAATAAATAATTTAAAAATTATATTAATATTACAATAATGGATTAATAATCATAAGAAACTTAAACTAAATATGAAAGCATTATTGATGAAGTCATTTGTAAGTTGAAGAAAAACTCTGATAAAGGACAATTATAAATGAGTGAATCTGATATTTAAACTTTTAAAGATGTAAATAAAATAATATATATTAGTTTTGGTAAAATAGTTTAAAAGCAATTCAAGAAGGAAAAGACAACAGAATTAAATCAAATAATTAACATCATATAAAGTAAAATACAGAAAACACAATAGAATAAGAACCTTTAATCGTTAAGAAAATCAAGACTAATGTAGATACTTAAATCATAAAAAAAGTTTTTATTATTATCATTCTTTTATTTAGGAAGAAGAAGATAATTCATATAGTGCTAATAAAGAAATATAAAATTAATTAAATTTTAGTGATGATTCAGGAGATGAAACATATTCTAAAGAAAAAAAAATAGATGATAAGCAAGTCTAAGAATCAGAAAAGAAACTTGAAGATTATAAAAATAAAAAAAATGAAAGTTTAAGAGAGAAGACTTTATTTGACAAAATTAGAGAACTGGATCAATTAAAAAGTCTAGTTAAAGTTGAAGAATAAGATGATGACGATACTGAAGAACCGAGAGTCTTTGATACATAAGTCTATGCTTAAAAAATTAACACTGAAAATCTAGTTAGTCGTATCAGAGTATTCTTACAACCATATATAGCCTAATAAATCTTAAAAAATGAGTTTAGAGAATGTTCTTATTAAAGACAAAAACAATAAGGAAGCACTCTATCCTTAAGCTTAATTGTAATTTAATTTCAGAACTAGTAAGAAAAAAAGTTCTTAATGAAAATCGTGTTTAAATTTTTGTCATTTCTTCAATTAAATCATTTCTTTATCTCAAATTTATTATTTTTATTCACATTCTCTATCCTTTTTCAAATATTTATTACTCTTTCTATTCCTTCTTCTCCTTTTTATCCTATCTCTAATTATTATAAAAATTAACTAACTTTATCAATCTAATCTTTATTTAGTTCTTTTTTGTATTCAAACAAATAATACTTCTTATTTTCCACTTTTTTTGAACTCATTTAATATTTTATATCTTCAGTCTAAAATTCTTCAACTTACTTTTGTTTAATTTATTAATCCATATTTCACATCCTATTATTATAATCAAACTAATTTAACATTAAACAAAATATTCCCATATACTAATTCTTATTTAAATTATTCTCTTATCTAATCAATATAGATAAGTGTTATTCATTTAAAACTAACTATTTATAAATTAAATCAAAATTAAATTAATCCTCTCGATCGCTATTATAATAATATTTTCTTTTATATTTATATTTTTATAATTACCATTATATATATGATAGAGAATAATTAACAACAAAAAAGAAACTTTTATTTAGAATATCAAAGTAATATTGAGATAACTTTATATTAAAATAATTATGTTAAAATTATGGAATTTAATGAGAGATCATCAATTTTAGTTTTAGGAAAAACAGATGGAAGATTCTTAAAATTTTAATTTAAATTTGGTGCTTTAAAATTTATTTAAGAATTATATGGTTCAAAAACTAAATCTTTACACATATTGTTAACAAAAAAATCGAATCAAATTATCATTGTAACAAAAAAGATTTTATTCTTCTCTTTAATAGATAATAATAGAGGATATTTTTTATAATATATTGATGGACCTTAACCTAATTGCTTATTAATTAATAAGAATGATTCTTTATTAATAGCTGGAAGTAATGATAGAGCTATTAGATTTTGGATAAAAAGTTAAAACTAATGGATATTTCATTAAAAATTTTAAATTTGTTATTATGGAGTTATAATTAGCTTAAGTCTTAATGAATCAGAAAATTATTTAATTTGTTTATCTGAATTAGAAAATAAAATATTTATTTGCAAAAAAAATCATCTTACAAATACATGGTTTCTTTATCAAATACTGCATTCTAGGGAAAGCTAAGCTTTATAATTATGCTTTATTAAAGACTCTATCTTTATATTATAACTCTTAAAAGGGGAAAATTTTAATTTTTATAATCTAAATTTAGAAAATTAATATTTTGAATAAATTACTCCAGAAATATAAGATTAATAGTGCAATAAACTTAAATTTCCGCATCGATTTAATTTATAAATGATTAAATAAAGATAATTTTTGATATATAAAAAGGATAATTGTATCAATTTATTATTGATTTAAAGTGAAAAAAGTTTTGAATTCTAAAAAATCATGACTTTAAGCGATTCAAGTTTCATTTTTAGATCTACAGAGGATGGTAAATATATAGTAATAGCATAAGAGAATTAAAAATTTTTGACAGTGTCTAGATTATCAGAAGGTTGAATTATTAATACTATTATTTATTATTCATTTTTTTTTGTATAAAATGAATAGTTTATTTTATTTCTGACAATTCTTAATATCAAATTCTGTATTATTTGAATAAAAATAATAAAAAAGATTGTTGAAAATATTTGTCTCAAATTTTCAATTTTTAATTCTCATTTTATTAAATTATTTATGTATTAACAATATAATTTAGAATAATCAATAAGTTTGAATTTAATAGATGATACTATTGAATAAAGAGATTTTTGTTATTCATTATCATTTAATAAAGATAATTCACTTCTCATAACAAACAACGAAAATGAAATATTGATATGGAATTTTAAGAATGGTAAAATGGAATTAAATTAAAGAGTTACAGAACACTCAAAAGATGTGAATTGTTTGTTATTCAGTAAAAAGAATAATAATTTTATTTCTGGCTCAAATGATAATTCTGTAAGGTGTTGGAAATAGATAACTGTAAATAAATGGATAAGTAGTAAAGAGTTTGAACATATAGGTTATGTTTATTGCTTACTCTTAAATCAGAATGAAAATTAATTAATATCTGGAACCTTTTATGGTTAAATAAATATATGGAATATTGATTTTGAGAACAAAGATAATGAATTAAAATTGATTTAAACTTTAGATAAACATAATAATACAGTATATAGTCTGAGTTTAAATAAATCTGAAACTCAATTTATTTCATGTTCTAAAGATTAAACAATAGTTGTTTGGGGATTAGGAGAGAACAAATTGTGGGAATTTTAATATATTGTTAAATAATCAAACATTGATTTTGGATGTAAAGTTCATTTTATGAATAATAATTAATTTATTTGGGTTGATGGAGGTTAGGAAAGTACAGATTGTATTTATACATTTGAATAAAAAGATGGAGTATTCTAAGAAATTCCTAATGGAAAAGTATAACTCATAAAAAACTAATCTTTTAATGATGTATTTTCATTTCCTATCTAATATTAAGAATAAGAAAATATTATGATTATTAGACATAAAACCCATATTTATGTAATTTAAATTTAGAAAAATGGTTAATTGAAGATTTGTGGCTAATTAAATTGTTAAACAAATGTGATATTTGGTATTTTATCAAATGATGCAAAATATTTAGTCTTAAAAAGTAATTTAAATAATAAATACATGATATATGAAGTAAAATAATTATGAACAATCAGAATTTAGTGTTAAATTCAGATTTCTTAAATATTCTTACTAATATAATATATCTAAAATATTTAATTGAAATAAATAATAAAATTGTAAAATGATTTTTCTAAAAGTAGAATTCCCATCTTCAATATATCTTCTGCATAAAGCCTATAACTTCAAATTTTGATTAATATAATATAAAAATAGAATTGAAATTAGATTACTTCTACCATTTATTATATATAAGTATCTGAATAAAAGATAGCAGATAAACAGCAGAGTTCTTAAATTGATAGTTGCCAATATACTGTATTTAAATTAAATGGAGATAAGTCTTAAAATTATGAAGATGCTTTTAGATTGGGTAGAAAATGTAAGAATTTGTAAGGAATGAAAAAATACTCATTTAAAAACAAATTTTAACTAAAAGAGTGGATTTGAAATTAGATCATAGGATATATGGTTATTATGCGCAAAAATAAATAACATATATGAGATAATTTTATAAAATAAATAATGGCAGGCAATGGAATTGTTAATTTAACATATTAAATAAATAAAAATGATAAATATAATTCTTAAATACAACATGAAAATTGGATATTTAATTCACTTTGGAATAGTTTTAGATGAGGAAACAGATTATGTTCTCTCTGATTTAACATCCTTATGTAATCTTTGTATTTATTCAACTGTCAATAGATCAGGTTTTCTTCTTTATTCTTCTAAAACCTAAAATAAAAGAAAAGAATTACTTATCTTTCTATTTTTTCAAATTCTTTTCTAGTTTCAATATTTTTAATAGTTTTAGGATTGAAATATTCTGGGCACATTTCATAAAGCCATTTTCCTTCAATATCAGTAACAGTTCTTAAATAATTTTTGGATGTTAAAACAAATTCTTAATATAATATCCATTCTGGTTTATGATTTAGGACAGAACAAGGATGGATTGCAACTATTTGACTATCTTTTACAGTCATATAAGCTCCATTCTTAGTAAGATGAGCAGTTTACATAAACATACCAGCAATTAATGCTTTTTTGATGTATGTATAATATAAAGCATTTGATGGATCAGTTTTAGTTAAAGGAATTTATTGTTTTTACATAATTTATCTTAATTAAACTTTAATTTTATCAGCTGATTTTAAACTTCTATAATTGATGAAGTTTTAATAACACCAATCAGAACTTTCATTATGTTCTTTAAAAGCTTTAAAAACATTAAGAAAGGTAATATGATCGCCATCTTAATGAACAAATTAATATCTAGCATCATCAGCTTATTATTATTGATCTTTAGGTCTTTAGAATACTTATTAAACAGATAATAAAGCAACAATAGTAAGAATTTCATCAGTAACATAGAAATCTTTACTACTAAGAAGTACTTTAGATAATTACGGATCAAGTGGAAATTCTGACATCTATTATCCAAATTTTGTTAAATTTCCTTCTTCATCTAAAGCACCTAAATAATATAATTATTCTAGAGCTCTCATTAATGTTTCTGGAGCAGGAGGATCCATAAAATCAAAATGAACAAGATCATCTATTCCTAATCTTTTTAATTGTAAAACTACAGAAGAAAGATTACTTCTTAATATTTCTGGATAAGTATTATCAATTAATTCTGTATTAAATGATTATTCAGTGTATAATCTATAACATTTTCCTGGTCTTGTTCTACCTGCTCTCCCTGCTCTTTATTAGGCAGATGCTTTAGAAATTGGAGAAGCTAGTAAGGATTCTACTCTCAATCTTGGATTGTAAACTTTTTATTTAGAAAACCCAGGATCTACTACATAACAGATACCATCAATTGTGATAGAAGTTTCAGCAATATTTGTAGCTACGACTATTTTTCTACCTTAAACTCCTTTTTTGTTTGCAGGAGGAGCAGATTCAAATATCTTTTATTACTAATTTGGTGGTAATGTACTATAGAGTGGTACACATCTCACTGGACCTACATCATCTCCTAATTTCTAGATTTCTGAAGTGATTTTTTTACATGCTTCTTCTATTTCCTAAAATAAATTTGAAAAATTTACTTCTTCTCCAGTAAGAAATACTAAGATATCTCCAGGTTCTTCATATGCATGGATATTAATAGTAGTACTTATTGCAGCATCAAGATAACTTTTCTCTGGTTTCTAAGTGTAGTATATTTCTACTGGATACACTCTTCCTGGGATATCTAATAGAGGTGCATTGTGAAAGTATTTTTGAAATTTTTCAGCATCCATAGTTGCTGACATAATTACTACTTTTAAATCATCCGGCCTCTTTAACATGATTTCTTTTAATAGTCCAAATAATATATCTGTGTTAAGTGTTCTTTCATGAGCTTCATCTAAAATGACTACTGAATACCTCTCTAATTTAGGATCATGCATAGCTCTAATAGATTATATATATTTTATTATACTCTCTTAAAAGCATACCATCTGTCATATATTTTAAAATAGTTTTATTTGATGTTTTCTCTTCAAATCTTATTGAATAACCAACTTCTTCACCTAAAGCAACATCCATCTCTTCTGCTACTCTCTTTGCTACACTCATTGCTGCAACTCTTCTTGGTTATGTACATGCTATCCCTCTCCCTTTACAATATTTCTCTAATAAAAATTGTGGTATTTAAGTTGTTTTTCCACTTCCTGTTTCTCCTTGTAAAACTATTACTTAATATTACTCCATCAACATAAACAATTATTCCTTTGCTATTAATAATCAATACATATTATACCATCCCAAGCAGGTAATTACTTTCTAACTTATAAAATTTTATAATAATCATCTGAATATTAATTTCCTGTGTATGGATTTATATTTTCATTCTATCTTACTTTTTTTTTTTAGACTTATTCTTAAATTATATCCTTTTATGCTTACCTAATTCACTTAAATCTATTTTCTATTGCTTTTATTTCGTAGAAGCTAAATTCTTATCCACAAACATTATTTAATAAAATTTAATAATTTATACACATCTATATTATTATCACAAAGCTATTAATTTTATACATCCTTTTTTCATTTCTTCAATGAAAGACTACTAATTGTTTCTTATTTTAATAATATTTGTCATTTACCTTTCTAATAAACTGATCCCCCATAATTAACACAAAAATATTATATATATATATATATATAAATTTATCAATATATAAAAGCAATCATTCTCCATTAATTTCCATATTAGCTACCTTTTATTATTATTATTTTTCAATTATTTTTTATAATATTTATTAAGTTCCTTTTAATTTTCTAAAATTAATCTAAAATACTACTTTCTAATTTTTAAGTTGTCTTACTTTATTTCATCTAATTCATGAATTAGACTTGAAACAAATTAAACAGATTCACTCCTTGGATTATGTGTGAAATAAGTATGTGTTTTAGATAAAGTAGTTTTTGTACTTCTTAAAGGAGAGGATTGCATTGTAAATTACTTTCCAAAAGTAGTTAATCCTGCAACATCAGGCAGACTTGATGCCCATTTCTTTATAATATCTTTTCTTAATTTCTTTTCAGCATCTTTTATTTCCAATTTCTTCTTATATTCAAACTCTATTTTTGATGTAAACTTATAAGAAGGAGGAACTTCCTTTTTTTCTTCTTATTCTTAATCCCATTCCCAATGAGCATACCTTCTTAAAACTCTTTTTGAAGGTTCTAAACTTTTTTAAGATAATATAATTACTGAGCTTATTTGAGATATTTATAAAGATCAAATTTTGGAATTAACTCAGTTATTTACATTGATCCTATTCGTGTTCTTGTACATATTCCTCTTAAAACTGGACCAAGTTTTTTATCATCAATTAATTCTTATTGTCTAAATGCAAATTTAGCAAAAGTAACTTTGCGATCTTGAAGTGTTGATTTCAATTCATTAAATTCTCCTACATTTTTTTTAATATGAGAAAGTTAAACAAATTTTTAAGCAGATTTTTCATCATTGTTTGTTTTCCCTTCAATCACATCTTTCAATCGATATTTACTCTATGATTTACAAATTAAGTACCTTTTTAATATTTTACATATTATTTAATAATCATTTGTTATAATTATATTATTATTATAACAATAGTGGCGCCAACATAAGAAAATTATGGTAGAATTCAATCATAATCTATTATCGAATAATTTTTCTAAATATTAGCTACTTTGAAAAGCTTACAATTTTATTCAGCTTTATCAAAATATGAACTGTTATTTTATAACAAACTTCTATTATACTATCTACAAAAATTGTATCATTGAGTTAAAATTCTATAATGAACAAATATGGAAATTATTCCTTGTATCTATTTTATAGTAGAATTATTTAGATTTATACAATCCTTGTCTTTCCATTCCTATTCATCTGTTTTATTCTTATTTTCATATTCTTTATAAAATTTCTTAAACTTCCTACAAACATCTCAAGCCTAATAACAATAAGCAAATAATTAAAATAAAGATGGAATTTATTATTGCATTTATCTTAAACAATAATCTCACTTCAAATTAAAACTGATCTAGATCCTTTGATGTTTTATGATAGGTAATTAGATTTTAATTAAATTTTTATACTATTGATTATTTAATAGATAAGCACTTGAATCTATTAAAGCTTTATTTAAAATCATTGTATAAAACAAAATTAAATATCTTACACTTAAACATAAGATTATAAGATAGTTATTTTCAAAACTTCTAATTGATTACATGATGAAATAGATTTTTTATATTCATCCCAAAGAATAGCAATATATTCTAATATTAAGAAAATAATGATTTTATTTACTAAAACTACTTATTCAATTATTTATTGTTCTCAATCTCATTCAAATCATTTTGATTAGAATTATTAAATTTTAAGAATTGTATATCTTTTTTGTTTTTGAAGATGAAATATTAAAAGTTTTAGATTATATTTATTTCCACCTTTACTTATAATTATTAAAAGTTTTAAATTTTTTTACTGAAATTCGAAAATATGAAAAATCATAAAAATGAAATAAGTATTAAGGGTTTTTTAAAAGGTTATCATTAATTTGTTGTATGTTACAAAGTTGTCCTTATGGAATATTAATAAAAATATAATAAAAATGTAATTAAATTACGAAATACTTCAAGAAATTTATTCAAGTCAACGAGTAAGAATAGAGAAAGTAAGATCATTATAAGATAACCAGACATATATATAAAAAACTTATATATAAAATAAAAATGAAGGTATGGTTTTATTAATGATTGTGAGGATTGAATGCAATAAAAATGTTAGCATAAATAAAGAATTAATTTGTATTGTAAGTGATTGAATATCTGGAAAATGAAGAATAATAATTAGTTATAATATAAGAATATTGTGATTAAGGTGATCTAAAAACATTTACTTTGTAGCACATCGGTTATAAAATGTAGGAAAGCATAATTTGGTCTCTATTCTTATAAATGGCATATGCTCTCTTGTAATTAAATGAACTTGGAATCCATCATAGAGTTTTGATTCCTGAGAATATATTGTTATTAGGCAGAACAGAAGGTTATTAAATTCGTATTACAGATTTTCATAAGTCTTCAAGACAAACTCTTTGTTAATTGCCTTGTCCTGCTATTTATTTACCTTATGAATACTTTTTTGATGGGCATTATACTTAAAAGTCTCACATTTGGTAAATTGGACATATACTCTATTTTATGGTTTCTTAAAAATTGTTATTCCCTACAACAACTCTAGAAAATTAAGTCAAAGAACAATTGAGGAGAGGTAGATTTCAAATTAATATACCTGATGTATATTCTCAAGGATTAATCAAACTAATCAATGTTTGTTTAACTATTAGAGAAAATCAGAGACCTAATATTCTCTAAATTTTAAGAATGAAAGAAGTTAAGGATGCTCTAACTAGACCATATTATGAATTCTCTTTAGATTAAAGGAGGCATTTAATGTATTGGATCAATAGCTCAGAAACAGCTATTTCCAATCCAGTTTAGTATTCATTTAATGAATTTGATTTACATTCTCCAAGACAAATACAAAAAGATGTAGTTATTAAAAAAAATTTCAAAAATACAAAATTACCAGAGATTTTTCAATAAAATTAAAATTAAAAAAAGATATCTACAGACAGGTTTCCAGAATCAGACAATATTAAATCTGAAATCAAAAGAAAAGAAGACATTTATTTACAATAACAATTGTTGTCAAAAACATATACAAATAAATATTTTTAAGGCATAATAAAGCCCATTAGTTTTCACAAGAAAACATAACCAATTTCCAATAGTGAATTTCCAAAATTTTCTATTCCTTATTAAAAACAATTAGATACTGTTTTTTAAATTTTATTGAACAATAAAAAATAAATATGTGATTAATGGATTGGAGAACCTGAATATATGTTTTTAAGATCATAGATCAAATTTAATGTATTTTTTAAGATTTATAAAATAAGAAAGCGGATAAACTACTCAGTTATATGCAATCTAAGCATCCAAGAGTTGACAGCAGTTTTATATTACAGTAAATCAATGACATTGCAGATTTAGAGGAATAAAGAATCTTTTTTAAAAACAAAGCCTGAAATTAATTTATTTTTAAATATTATGTATCGAAAGCAGTTAAATTCACTTCTAAATTATTTATATAATAAATGTCTTAAAGTTTATTAAGAAAATCTCGAACAAATTAGGGTGATTTAAGTCAAAGTCATAGTTCACCAGTGATGAATGAAGAGGGAATGAGAAATTTCAGAATTTAATTCTCAGACTTATCCAGAAAAAGGTTAAGTGATAGTGGAGAAGTCAAGGATCCAACAATCTATAGTCGAAAAAAATCAAGACTATCTTAATTTTCAAATATTAATAATAGGCAAAGAGATTAGAGTGATCATAATCTTAGTATTAATTAGTACACTGCTACTACAAAATAACATTATCAACTGAAATGGAAAGAGCTAAGTGGATTACCCAAAAATACTGATTTACAATAAATACTTAGAACATTTCTTGTGAAGTTAAAAAGAAACGCTAATATTTGGGATCAACTTAGCTATAAATATGCTAACTTTAAAGAAAACTATCTTTAAGATGAAGTTAGATTGTAATCTTAGTATATATCATACATGAGACAATCTTTCCATTACATTAGATTATTGTCACTTTTAACGGTTCCAATTTAAGCTGGAACTCTTTATATTGATTAATGGATTTAAGGCTTTATAATTATATTTTTGATAATTGAATAAATTGATTAGTTATTAAAAATAAAATTGGTAAAATTAAATATGTTTTGTAATTTCATTTACATTGGAACCACCATATTATTAAATTTTGATCTCAATTTAACTTGGAAATTAATTTTATTGATTTTATCCTTAAATGGACTTTTATATTAATTTTAATGGAATAAATGTACTCTTGCTTTATTACTTTTAATCTATATAAATTATTTTGCAAATTTATGGCTATTGATTAATTATAATGATTGTACATATTTAGATTCCCTCATTTGGACAATTAATAATTGTGTATAATATTCACAATAAATAGAAAGTTACCATTTAATGCAGTTGATACATAGACGGAAAACTAAAATAATTAAATCATCAGTGTAGCCTTTTAAATATTTTCGTTTTACTTTTAGATACTTTTTATTTCAGTTTTAGTAAAATTCTCTTTTTCATCTAGTCTGTATAAATATTTGATTTAATATTAGATAGGAATTATTTGTAGATTTTTTAAAACTTAATAAGGTAGATTAAAAACTTATAGATGAGGCTAAGGATATATTGAATTAAAATATTCATTCTGATGAATTATAAAGAGTAACTTAAAAAATTAAATAAAATAGGTAAATAATTTAATGTAGCAATTACCAATAAATATATAAAAACCATTATTTTTTATAATAAAGAGTAAAAAATTGCAAGAAATTGCTTTTTTTACTTAATATTTTTCTAAACAATCAATTGATGAAATTGCATTTGAATCTGTGTTGAAATTTTGCAAATCAAATGAGATTATTGTAGAAAAAGGATAGTAAAATGAATAGATTTATGTTGTATTATAAGGTGAGATTGGAATATATGATAATAATATTTATCTTTAAAGTTTGCCAATGAATTAGGCTTTTGGGATAGAAAATTTAATAATGAATTAAGGACATAACTTGACAATGAGAAGTAAAGGAAATTCAATTTTAATATAAATAAATCACTCTTAATTTATTTAAACAATAAAAAAAATCAATAATGATTTAGAAATATTTCATTCAATAAAAAATGAAGTTTTGTTTATGAATAAAATTGAATTATTACTTTAAAGTTGTTATGTTTGTGGATCATTTGAACATTTAAGTTCTTAATGCAATAAGGTGCATATTAATTTGAATAAGAATTTAGTTATAAGTAGACATTTATACACAAAACCATAGAAGAGAAAAAAGTTTGATAGAAAATGGGATCATAGAGCGAACTCTTTATACAATTATAAATTAGTAAAAAGTTGTGGGAGAAGATTAAAATGGAATTATGGAATTTAATTACCAGAGTGTGATGTTTATGAAAGAGGAGAATATGAATATGATGATGAAGATAATGAAGAAATTTATTAAGGACATCTTTCTTATAAAGATTTAACAAATCCATCAAGAGTAAGAATTTAATCTAATTTAAGAAGAGTGTAGAAGTTGTTTCAGGTTAAACTTTAAAGGATACTTTTTATAATGATTATATAGATAATGAAGAATAATTATAATATTATTAATTGTAATAATAATAATTATAATAATAATAATAATAAGAAATAAATCGACATTCAGGACTTAAATAAACATTATCGACAGCTGGATTTTAAAATGATGATTTATATTTTGGAGATGCTATAAATATCCAATTATAACACAAATAATTTACATAAAATAGCAATACATTTAAATCATCAAGTGGATAGACATATCAAAGTCAGAAGAGTTAACAAATAAAGTAATAATAATAATAATAATAATAATAATAATAATAATAATAATAATAATAAATATAATAATAATAATAATAAAAGATACCATTCTAATCAAAAACATATGCATAGAGTCCATTAGGTACAAATTAATTTTTGATTGCAAACAATCGTAATTCTTAACCAAAATTAACATTTTCTTATGATCCTTTTTACCATGAATACAATAATAAATAAACAATGGGATAACCTTAATAAGAATATTAAACAATGATAAGGCCATAATTTAGATCTTCTACAAATTATATTCCTAGTGGTGCAACATAATTACCAGTTGTATCAGAAGAAAGAGATTCATAATTAAATACACCTTAGATAAACTTACCATATACATCAGCTAAATCAATAAGTTCAGTAGGTATATCAAGTATTGATGATATTTAAAGAAGAGATGGATAAAATAATACTTACACAGGTCCTAGAAGGATGACTTAGAAATAAACTAATACAATAGCAAGTACAATTAGTCCAGATATACATAAGAAGAAATCAATTTCAGGATCTAATTCAAGATCTTATTCAGCTTTATCTTCAAGATAGATTCAGCATTATAGTGATCTAGATAATTTATTATTTAAAATAAATGTGAAAGATAACTTTGACATTGATTAAATCGGAATATATTAATAATTCAAGCCTTAGAATAATTATGATTGTGTGGTGAATTAAATCAAAATATAAAGTAAGAAATTAATAAAATAAAAGAAAATAAAATGAAATTTATATAAAATAAATTTTTAATTGAATGTTCAAATTTCTTGTTAGGCCTTCATTATTGTTTTCAAAAAGAACAACAAAATTAAAGAAATTAATACAATCAAAAGAATTGGAGTTTATAATGGAGGCCCATAATGGATTATCTGCTTTAATAGTATAGGAAGCAGGTTTTAAAGGGATCTGGGCATCTGGATTATCAATGTCAGCCTAATTAGGAGTGAGAGATTGTAATGAAGCTTCATGGACATAATTATTGGAAGTGTTAGAATTTATGGCTGAAAGAACCACAATTCCAATATTAATGGATGGTGATACTGGATTTGGGAATTACAATAATGCTAGAAGATTAGTAAGAAAATTAGAAGAGAGAGGGATTGGAGGTGTTTGTTTTGAAGATAAGATCTTTCCTAAAAGAAATAGTTTAGGAGAAGGTGCTTAAGAATTGGCAAATGTAAAGGAGTTTTAAAATAAGATTAAGGTGATGATAAGACTTATTTTAGGCTTGTAAAGATTTTTAGAGAGACTAAGATTTTTAGATAGTGGCTAGATGTGAATCATTTATAGCAGGATGGGGTTTAGATAATGCATTAGAGAGATGTGAAGCATATAGAAATGCTGGTGTAGATGCAGTATTAATACATAGTAAGAAAAGTGATTTTACAGAAATTGAATCATTTTTGAAGAGTTGGAATAATCGATTACCAGTTGTAATTGTACCAACTAATTATTATACAACACCAACTGAAGAATTTAGAAAATTAAGTAAAAATTTATAATATCAAATAAATAGATGTAAGTTTAGCTATTTGGGCAAATCATAATTTAAGAGCAAGCATTAAAGCTATGTAAGAAACAAGTAAATAAATTTTTGAAAGATAAAATTTAAATGGATTAGATAATATAGCAAGTGTTAAGGAAGTATTTAGATTATAGAATGAAAAGGGATTAGAACAGGACGATAAAAAATATTTATGATAAATTATTATTAAATGCATTTATTATATTTGATATTAAATAAACAAATTCTAATAATCAGAATATATAAAATAAATTGAATATAATTTAATGGTATCATCAATCAGCATTTACTTTAATATGGAATTTAAAGATATTTGAATATGTATTTTAGGATTGTATCTGCTATATTTTTATTTGAATTTATGGAATGTAAACTTGGAAGGTAATTCTAGAATATTTTGATCATAAGATTCAGATGGCAACTTAATTCAGGAATAATCAAATGTATTTATTTTATTCTATAATTTTTAAGTACATCTATTTCTTTAAGATGACATGGACATCCTTTAGGATAATTATCATCAAAACTATGATATTTAGAATAACCATGAGGAGGAGCTTGAGTTAATAAAATTACAAACTTCTAAGAATTTTTATTAGACCAAGATAATCTAGTTTATTCATTCAAGCCATCAAGAACAGCATTTGGATAATCTGATATAGCAGTAGCTTTCTTAGGTTTAACATCTCTAAGTTTTTAAAGCGAAATATCAGAATCAATAAAATCACTTAAAATTAATGTAGGAGATGATATTTCTTTATGAGGATGATGATCATGATATAAAATTAAAGCAAATTATATTTTACCTAAACCAAATCCATCTTTGATAAAATGACTTATTATCTTTTAAGCTATTTAAATATTCTATTCCTCAGTCTAATCAACAATCAAGGCAATTTAAATAGATTTTATGTAATGAGTATTAAAACATTCAAACTTGTGATTAATAGAATTCATTCCTTTATCATGCCATGCCAAATAATTACAATATTTATTACAACTCTAACATTTAACGTTACACTTTGATATTTCAACTCTTTTACTACCTCTAACTGGTTATTCCCAACCGAAAATCTCCCAAAATTATTTACATAATACATTATCAATATTATCTTACATATGTAATGCTTTCAAATATTTTGAAGATCTATTTAATTATTATTGATAACAGAGAAACTCATCAACACATTCAACAGCATGATGATGTCCTCTACCTAAACGAATACAATATTCATCACAAGTTTCAGGTCTACAAAATTATATATCCTCATCTTTTTAATCTAATTTAAAACATGATTATTAAGGCTCTATGATATTATGATATATCGTATGATGTAGGTTTGTATGTCCAGATTCTAAATAACAATACGCTTTGCATCCTGGACATTATTAATCACATAAATGTTTACGATTTGAACAAGCATGTCCTAAATCATGACTATTCTCTCCTATTGGTATTAATTTAAAACATTTTTCCTTCCTCCTTACTTACTCATATATTGTCTATCCATATAAAGATCCTGCATTTGATTTCCACATTTTTACACGTTTCACATATCCATCAACTGTACATATTCCTGGCAAATTACATAATTTATCACATTAATGATGACAATTACAAAAATGCTCATTCTCTAATTCATGAGAATGCTATTCAGAACATTATCTTTAACATCCCAAAGAACATGATTTATTACAATATCTCAAATTACACATGTGCTTATGCTCTACAAAAGGATCTTAAGTACATTATTCTGCACAATATTAACAAGTCTCTTAACAAATATGTTTACTTTTGCAATAATGCAATGAATTGTTTTAATGTCCAATCCTTAATATACATTAATTACAACATAATAAACATTCTTTATCACATTAATTTATATTCTCACCTTTCTTTAAATGATCACTTGAATGTGATTATAACAATTCACAATTTATTTCTTCGCATAAGTGAGTTTCACTCCAACATTTATGTTATTTATTAAAATGCTAAATTTATTCTTATTCTTTATTCAAACCCTCTTACAACTCTATCATATTATTAACCTTTTTTATTCTTCCTTCAACATGATATATTTATTATTGTATTTCCTTCAATGCTATTGCCCTTTAAACCATTGTGCGATCTCCCTTTATTTTTGACTGGCTTACTTGTAATTCTTACAATAAATTTCTTTCCACAGCCAAAAATTAATTTAAATCTGCCTCTTCTTCTAAATCTAATTACTTTTATATCATTTAGATTTTAGATTTCTTCTTCTAAATAATACCTCTTAGTTTCTCTATTTTTGTTCCATTTTTACTCAAATGTCCATTATATTAAGTACACAAGGCATAACATTTACTACATGTTTATCCACATAATTTATAATTATGCAGATGTAATTTTAATTCATTCTCACAATCTAGTAATATATTTTACTTCATATCTTTATCTAAATCATAGATTTATACTAATTTTTATTCTATTTCTTTTTATATTATACTCAAAATGTAACTAATTCTTTTAAATGTAAATTATTAAATTAATTTATCTACTTTTGTAAACTTTTACATAAAGCACGTATCTTATTCAAAATGTATTTTCACAATATTTAATGCTTATTACAATAACAAATTAAAATTTTCTTCCATTGATGATGTTAATACAATTTATTATGATATATTAATAGGATCTTCTTTTTTAATAATCCACAATGGTAATTCTAACCAATAGATGTTTGATTATTCTTTTAATTTATGTATTTAATAATTTAATTCATAATCTTAAACATTCCTAGTATCTTTAACTGATAATTATAACAAGGTAATTTTCATAGAAGTAAATAATGATTAGGCATCTTACCATCTTTATGTATTTTTTGCATTTTCTAGAATTTACTCTCTAATTTAAATAACATCTTTATCAAATTATTCTAATTCAAAATAACTCATAAGTTAAGCACTTACTCCATTTTTTAATAATTATTTAAATAATTCATTATTAGATGAATTAATTATAGAATCTAATTATCCATCTAATTCTTATTAAGCATTTAATGAACTAGCCTGATATATATCTCTTACTAAAATCATTAATTTACTTTAAAATAATTGATTACCTTTTAATCTAGTATTAGCTTCTAATAAATTATCAAATAACTCATTCAAATGTCTATCATAGGAAGAACATTGATTGATAATTGTCAAATCACTAATTGCTGTAAGATATGATAGAAGTGTAATTTCTTCAATGTTTTTCCTTCTTTATCCAAACAAACCTTCACAATCTAAGATTATAAATTAATGACCTTATAATTAAATTTAACTACACCAAATTCCATCTGTACATCTTGCTGATGATACTCCAAATCTAATACCAAATATTTAATTTAATAAATAACTCTTGCCACCTGATTACTTTCCTAAAATACTTACTACATATATTGGTTTCTTATATTCACTTAATTATTCTTCTATTATTCCAAAAGATATCTGTTTCAACTATCTATCAATTTAAATACAATCAAAACTCTAATTTAACTTATTTAATCCATCACTCAATACTATCAATCTTTTACATTCAAATGTACACAGTTATATTGGCACTCTTGATGATAATACATTCAATAATGTTCTAGAATTCACATTTACTATCTAAAATACTTCCTAAATACATAATTCTGAATATTTTTATAATTATATCTTATAAAAGCAATCTTAAATTTTATCACCACATTCTTTAGAACAATAAAATCTACTTAAATCTTACACAAGTCCCAATTAACTTGCATTTCTACCATAAACTATAAATGATTATTTTATTAAATCCAAAATATAATTAGAAGATTGTATCTCATAATTCTAATTACCTGTCAATTTACTCTTCTTATTAAAGTTTTCCAATTAATACAATTCCTACTCATCTTAACTCTTAGCCAGAAATATAAAACTATCATATTAATCACTAAATATGTATATCTAATCTATTTAATATATTGATCTAAATTTTATCGATTAAATTTTTGTATTATTAAAATCATATATATCTACTAATTACAATTTAAACAATAAATAAAACTTCCCTGATCCACATACCATTAAATTTTAATAGTCTGAATCAAATTCTTTTTCAAAAACAAACCCTTCCTCATCTTAATAACTCTAAAGTTACTAATTAAATTCTTAATCATTTGATGACCATTTATATATTTTCTTATCATCTGACAATAATAAAAAACATTCATATTCCTCAGAATAACTATACTATATAATATAGATTGTATCCTCAAAATCTATTACTCTTTCAGTATCTATACATTCCTTATCTTTATTAACTGTTGAAATCACTATTCTTTTTGGCAAATTAAATTAAAATAATGTCTATTATTCTACTGTGTAATAAAAATAAGGATTATTTAAGTCTGTATAAATCACAATCAAAACTGGTTTCCTATTCTCCTATAATAGATACACATGATAACAAATATTCTTTTATTCTACCATTACACATTTCATTATCAACAAATAATTACTCTACTTACTTTCATTTTAATTATATAATGGAAAAAAATCAACTAACTAATAACTATGGTAATTTTATTATTAAAACTTCGTCTCTTTCTCCTTTGATATATTTAAATCTTTATTCAAAAATTCTATATTTTTTAATGAATTGTCCATATTCCTAAAAATCTTAAATCTCTACAATTTCAACTCTACAATGAATTCTTATCCTACTCCATTCTCTATTTCAATCTTCTCCATTATATGTTTTATCTTTCTATTTACAAAGTCTTACATCTTTGAAAATTCTCTATTAATATATTTTATCACAATCCTTATCAACTTTGCCAATAATTCTTGAGATTTTAATAATATATTAGATGTCTTAACCTCTTTAATCAATTCTGGTCCTTTCAATACTTCAGTATTATCTTTGAAAGATTTTAACTTTCTAAAAGCATGATTCAAAAAGAACTTTGCTAATTTCAAAAAATTAAACTCCTAAGGTGAAAATTTCAATTATAATTATTTATATAATCCATTCTCTACGCTATCCTTAAAATATGTGAAGTAATGTGTCATTGAAAAAACAACCTCTTTATTAATCTTTTAAACATAATTTCTCTCTAAAACTGGATTTGGAAATTCTAATTCCTCATTAAATCTTCCATATAACATTATATTTTTCACTTAATCTTAATAATAAGATTCAACTAGTTTACTGTACTCTTCTTATTTCAAATTATAAAAAACTATCGAATCTAATGAATTCTTATAATATTAGTTATAATTTTAAATTTCCTTTATTCCAAGTTTCTACTAAACTTCTACACATCTACAACTATTTGAATCTATCTCTTCTGATTAATAATTCTACATCTTGTTTCTTTAAATTTAATTATCTTTTATTGGAATCCATTTTTGTAATATTTGCTCACTTGGCAATATAATTATATTCTAACAAACATCAACTAAAATTCTATTTAAATTTAAATTTTTACCTAAATAAAGTTATCTCTATTTATTCCACTACTTAATCAACCTTTTTATTTTCAGGAATAACATAGCAAAACAATAATAAACTATCCAAATTTATCATCCCAATACAGGCTTGTGTAGCATTTGATAATTCAACATCTAATTAAATATTCACATTGTATCTTTTAGTCACATAATCAATCATTTTGTCTTTATACCCATAAAGCCCAAGTATATTGAGGGTTTTGTCTTAATCAGACTTTAATTAATTTAATAGTTATTTTATTGTGGATTTAATTAAAATCTTATCTTCGCTATACTCTTCAGTAAGATCTTTTTGAATTGTAAATGCTGTCTCGAAATAAAAGAGCTGAGAATTCATGACTAAATAAATTCAGGATTTGATAATAATATTGGGAAATAAAAAAATTGGGGATTTTATTAATTCCTGATAAAAATTAGACATGATTATTTCTGTAAATATAATTATATTTATTTTTAATAAAAATGGGATATTAGGCTTATTAACCACCAATAGATACAAAACATTACAGTAACTTAGCAATTGTATTAACATTTATTGGATTCTGTTTCCTATCATATTTTGTTATGTAATTATAACATTAAACATATTAGCTACCAAATTACATAGAATAAATAATAAAGATCATTAACCAAAGAATTATCAGTTGGCTTATTTGCTTCATTATTTTTATCCTCTGGGACACTATTTAGTTTTTTAGCTTTGGGATTGTATTTTTGAGTGAAAATTATATACAAATTAAATATAGATTTCAATTTATTACTTATTTTCTTTAACAGGTTCTTTTGTACACGAATTGGTGGTGCTTTACGGTAAAATTTTTTATTTAATTAAATAGATGAATAGAATAGGAAATATCAATATAAATAATAAGGTTTATTTTGAATAATAAGAATTAAAAACAAATAAAATTGAAAAATATATTCAAGAAATGAGTTTATTTTAAAAAATAAGGTTTCGAAATGAAATAAATTATAAATTTGATTGATATCATACTCAAACAGATTGTATTAAATTACTTAATAACTCTTATTGTTATTGGTTTAATAATTATTGAATAGGTAATTACTATTATACAATAGGATTACTATAATAAGTTTTGAATTGGGCACTAAAAAATTTATCTTCATCATTAAATGTTTTATCAGTAGCCTTAATTTAATTAAAAAAAGGATACATTTCTAGTAATAACAGGTTTTAATGGTTAGAATCCAGAACTTGAGGTTACCTCTCTATCAGTGACTCTACCCATAAATTTTAATGGATTTCTTTTTTTGAGTGTAATATTTTCAACCATAGCCTAAAAAACTAGATTCCAGGTTTATTAACTTAACAATCTAAAATTTGATATGAATAATATACGATCCTATAAATAGTATGGTTGATAACATAGTAAAAATTAATTTTCTTTCATTTCTTTAGGAAATAGATTTAATAATTCCTAATTCATTAATTAAAAAGCTTTCTAATAATTAAGATGATATCTTAGAACATTCAGTAACTAAAACTTCCACTCCATAAGTTGTAAAGACATGAGCTAATAAAAGAAACACTTCTTTATTGATTAATCTTTAACTCAAATGTGTTGCCTTTGATTTTGAAGAGATCTATGGTTAAGATTATTATTATATTTAGTATTATTCAAAAATAATAGATAAAACTATGTTTGTCCATTATTAATTTGATTTAATTAAAAATTTAGATAATTCTGTATATGATGGAGTGCTATGTGAGACTATTGCTTTAAGTATTGCCTATAACTATGGTATAGGTAAATTGGTTCCTTAGAATCCAAATTAAAAGAAAATAATATAAGCTTAAAATAAAGATGAATTTGATTCATTCCAATTTTATATTTCAAGAAAATTCTATAATAGATTTTAATAGTATGAAGTGGCATTTGTTTAAACTTATAAAAAGAGAGAATAAATTTGTAAAACAAAATTAGTAACATCACCTTTATTTTCTCTTAATAATTCATCAAGTTAATTTAAAATACTCTATTATAATTAATTGGCAGCTTCAGAATTTTTTGCAATTATGCATACATCAATGACACTTGCAATTATCTCAAAAACTAAATGAACATTTTAAAATTCATATTCTAATTTAATGTTCTTTAATAAATCTTGTAACAAATTACATAAAGCAGGAATAGCATTAAAAATTTCTTACTTTAATAGATTAATCAATGAATTAGTAAGTTTCAAACTGTAAGTCTCTAATTTTTATTATTATTTAATATTATTATAACAGTCTGTTAAAATTAATTATAAATACTAAGAAATATTAACATTTTCAAAGTATAATTAATGATTAGCATAATTTTTGACATCCTATCTAACATTGATTAAAGAATAAGCTGTATAACAAGCGATATTAGATAATGTAGTTTTCTTACTTAATTGTAATTTAGATACTAATGTAGCAAGTGTTGGCAATTCAACTTTATCAATAACATTTCTGAAATAAAATAAATATCTGCAATAGAATGCTAATTAAATAGGAGTGAATTTGGATTCAACTGATTAATTCTATTATTGTAATTCAAATATTTATCCTAATTTTGGTTTTAAACAATGAGTATAAAATCCAAGAACATTTTCTTATGATAAAATGATATCAATTGTTCCATCTTTTGATGTAAATGAACTGGTACTAGCTTCAATAATTAAATTAATAAGAATGATTTCATTATCAACTCCATTCATTCCTGATTAAATATAAGCTTATCTAAAATATATATATATTAATATATACAGATATTCTTAAATAATTTGATTGACCTACTAATTGAAATGTTTAGTAACTGTCTTGAATAGTTCAACAGCTTAAGCCCTTCTAGATTCTAAATCACTTTATTCAAAAAATTTCTCTATAAATTCTTATGGTTCATCTTAAAACATTCCAATTTCATCCTCTATTTAATAATATTACATTTATATTACTTGATAAGGATAAATTCCTGATAATAAGACTCTCTATTAAGACTTTTATATTTTATTCAAAAAAGGCTTTCATATCTTACCAAGCAATTAAAGTCTTGAAATATCTCAAAGCACATAATACAATCTGAAATTAATAATTATTTATATATTTACTTTATCACTATCTCTTCCAGAACTAGTTTAAGTACAAACATTCCAGATTTCACTAGAGAATACTTGAATCAAATCACCAAAATCATCACGATATTTCATCGCATATAATAGAACACATCTAAGTGCTTCACCTTTACATTTAAACAAATATTATTCAACACCTTAAACTGGCTAAAGTCGAAGAACAACCTTCATAAATTCCATCCAAGATTATAGGTTATCTTCAAAATTAGGATGTAAGTCCTAAATTATATAAATTACTAATTTAATTACTTAAAAATTTAAATTGTAAAAAACTTTTAGTAATGCCTTCAGAATTTCATATGATAATTTCAGATTTTGAAGGGTTTCTATTTATTATATCAATGATTTAGCTAACAATAACAAATTGTTATGGATTGTATCGCATGTTATAATGATTTCTTCATATAATGGATCACTCCTTGATTGATAAACATATTTTTCAGTCAATTTGTATATTAACTTCACAGTTTTGTATACATAATCTGGATGGGTTAAGGATTGATTTAAATCTGCCATTAGAGAAGGCCATTAAGTTGGAAAGTCTCTTTATGCAACATAAACAATTGCATCTTTTAATTAATGAATCAAAGGTGCTTCAGACATTATGTAAGCTCTTATTATGTGTTACTTGATTGTTTAGACTACATTTTGAACATATTATGCTTAGTAGTCATCAAAATTACGATATTCTTTAAACCACAATTTTAATTCAATTGCAGCTCGAAGACCTAGACTAATTTCATAAGCTTAAAAATAATCAAATAACACTTTAGGATATTATATATCACCTCTTATTTGTTGTAACAATAGCTCCCCTTATCTGATTTTCTCATTTGTACCCATATTGATAAGTTAAAATGCTGTGTTCAAGTCATTCACTATATTCGAAGTCACAATCATAAATTTTAAATTAAAATATTTTTTGTCTTCTATTACATAAAGGCATGGTATTTAAATTTATTAACATAAGGAATCCTTAAAATTATCAAAATCAGAAGTTAAAGAATGCCTACGCATATCAAAATCCGAATTCATTGAATAAATCAATCTAGATTGTTCTGGATGTATATCAGCCTTAAAAGATTATATTACATTCAATCGAAAAGACAAGTATATTAATATAAACTCTGAAATATCACTTAATGATGACCTGATTAATTCTCAAAAGATTTCTAAAATACTTGCTAAACTATAAAGTTATGGAGAATAAACTCAATCTATAATATCAAGCATTTTTAAAAAGTCTGCTCCATTAAACAATAAGAAAAGATGCTAATTACATTCTTTGAAGTAAATCCCAGAAATAAACATCTAAGAACATGTTCATTATATATGCAATGAAATTGTGGAAGAAAATGAAAATTGTATTATCTAAGAAAAAGAATTTGATTATCATTTATAAGTAATCACAAATTAATTGGATTTAGAATTATTTGAAAACCAAAAAATTCTGTCCATCTTGTAAAGAAAATATTTAGGCGGCTTTTAAGCACTTTAAATTATAAATTCCCTAACCTGATTGTGCATGCAGTATTATCTGTTTTATAAAATATGATCACTTAAAAAATGAAATTATAATTCCATATGATGTAAAATTTTTTTTTGATTTTAGGCAATTCTATTAAATGCATTGTTGAATAAGGCATAAATACAACCATTTTATTAGCATGCTTCAACAAAAGAAGATGCTTAAGAAGAATTGTTAATTTGTGTAGGACTTTTAATTAAAGATAAATTAACATATCTTTTTAGAGAACATTAAAGCAAATAATTTATAAAATATACTTTCTATTAATAAATAGGAGATATTTTTAGTAAAAGATTAGAGAACTGTAATAAATTAAAAGAAGGTTATTAAAGTAAATTGGAAGAATTGGAATAGTATTTAATGAAAGAAGATGAATAAAAAGACAAGTAAAGAAAGAAGAGACAATTAAAGAGAAAGAAAAGAAAGGAATAATAATTAAGTTCTGATGGATCAGTTAGGACAAACTATCTTTAGGAATCCTCTCGACTATCAATTTCTCCTTCAAATAGTGAGAAAAATCTATTAAAATCTTTTGGTTGGTAAGGAAGTCCATCAGTTTCTCCATAAACGAGAAAAGAGTTAGAGATATTATAAAAAGAGCATCTAAAAGAAATAAATAATAGAAGAAAATAATTAAGAGAATAGACAAAGTAATGTTGGTGTGAATGGTGTCACCATCATAAATAAAAATCATAGTGATGATATACATATTTTTATTAGAAAACAACAATTTTAATTGATTAAGTAAATATATTTAATATATACATAATTATCAGTGTTTAATGGCTGTTCGTTTTTCAACAATACCATCATATCTTAATACTAATTCCTTATGTTATTCTTCTTCTACTTTTAATTCAATTAATTTTTTCTCCAAAACATTTTCTAATTATGTAATCAATTATTCATATTCTTTTTACATTTACATTATTTCATTATCAGTTTTCCTATTAACTTAATGTAAAATCTCTTATCTAGTTTAATTATGGGCTAGTTTTCTCCAATTAGTAAATACTTATCGAGGAATTCTCAATCTAATCTATTTTATTTTTATTTTTACTTAGAATAATTAGATGCAAATATTTTCATTCTTCGAATATAAATTTAAAATTTAGCTTATTATCTTAATGTTATAAAGACTCTTTTTTATAAATTTTGCATATACAATCTTCTGGCAATTGAATATGAAATTCTTAATTTATGTTAGATATCGCCTTTAGTTTTAGTAAAATCTAACTTTAAATTCCATTAATACTTTTAAATAAGTTTTCTAGAATTTATAATTACTCTTATGTGTCATTATACCCATCATCAACCATTGAAAGATTTCCTGAATACATTTCTTCAGTGAATTTTCTACTTTATTCTAAAAATGCTTAGACTGTCTTTTCAGACCATTCATCCAACAATTATTTATTCTTTTTGGCAAATTCTAAAAGAACTTTAGTTTTTAATTGAGTAGTGTCCATTAACGATTTAATTTAAAAAACTACTTTTATTATTTTTTTATGTTTGGAAAATGAAAATAAAATATTATAATATTCATTTTATTAATTACAATGTATCATTACCCACATTCGAATTTGAATTCACAATTTTTAATTTCAGTTCCATCCTTATTGGTAGCAGTAGCATAAATACATGTATTACCAAAAAGGAGTGTAACTTTAACAGTTTTATCTTCAACAGATTATAGAGGTTTTCCAATATCAATACATAATTCCCCTAATTATTATACGCCTTATTCATCAACGAATTCCACTTCTCTTTTCTCAGTCACATAAAAAATTATTCTCATGATAGTTTATCTTGATCTAACTGGACAATATATTTTTGTATGTACTTCATCACAACTAAAAAAATTATATCTTAATAATACCCAACAGCATCTCCTTTTCTTACAAAAGCATCAAATACATCTTCACTAAACTCCTCTCCTTCAATAATAACTTTTTTTTTAATAGGATGTTTTTCTGCATCAAAAGTTGTTAATGTATTAATTCCATAAGTCTTTTTGGCTATTCTACTTGTTATTGATCTTGGACTCAAACCAAATAGACATGCTCCTCTTATTACAGATACTTAAGGACGTCTAGGAACTAAAATTTGTATAGCATTATTTTCAAATCTTTTAATAATTTCAGATTTCAAAAATGGAGATTCACTAAATCCGCCTACCATAAAGATAAAATTCACTTTTTCTTTCTTTTGTTCAACTTATTGTAATAAATGGCCTACTTTATTTTTTATATTTTCAAATAAAGTCTAAAAAAATGAAGCCATCAAAGCTGAAGGTATTTCTACATTAGAAAGACCTTTTAATTTAACTTAATATTCTGTAGCATGTTTTTAGTTATGTTCTTTAACTAATTATGATAATTTAGCTGTATTTAATTCTTCACCCAAATAAGAAAATTTAATCATACATCTTTCATCCTTATTACCTTTAAACTTTCTTTTTAAAATTTCAAAATCTCTTAATATATCTAATCTAGCTATTGCATTTTATTAATAAGATCTAAATAATTTTTATCCTAAAAATTCCTTCAAAAATTCTTCAAAATATAAGTCTACATATTTTGATCCCCATTCACATCCTCCTGAAGATGGGATTAATTCATTACATAAGAATTTTTCATTAGATTCACATAATAATTTATGAACAGTAATATCAACTGTTCCACCACCACAATCAAGTACCATAACTACTGAATTTTTGGCCATTTATTCTTTTAATGTTTATTCAGCATCTTCTCTACATTAAATTGATGCTCCTTCTGGTTCTAAACAAAGTAATAAATTTGGAGAATTGAGACTTTCTACAATTCCTGCTTCTACTGCTGCTTTTCTCATAAATTATTTATGTTCTTCACTCCATAATGCTGGAACTGTCAAAACCCATCTGATTTTTGTTGATATTACCTTTCCTACTTGTTCTTTCAATTTTGATATTGCTTTATTGCTTATATACTTGAGGGTCTCTTTTATCAATAACATTAATGGTAATTCTCTATTATCAAGAGATCTTGCATTAGTATGCATGTGATATAAATGCATTTTATACTAATAAATTTATATCTTAAACTACATTTTAAAATAAATAAGCTGTATCTCCATCATCTAATAAACTTGCATATCTTTATAGTGCTTATGATCCAAATTCAATTAACTATCCATTATTATCAAACAATATTGCAGTCGGAGTTTTTTAATCATCTGAATCATCACAAGGATTAAATACCTCTATTCTTGGTTTTCCTTCCTTATCTAAAACTTTTGGAGCTAATCCAAATCTAAATTTATTTAATCTATACCCTGATGCTCCTGTCCCAAAATCTATTGCTATTACATGTGTGAATACTGTATCGTCCTTTAATAAGGCCATTATTATTAACTGCTTTTATTTTTTAAATTTAAAATATAATATATACTTTTAACAGCATAATTTAAATATGAAGAATAATTATGTCAAAGATAATTTCTCAAAACCTCAAGATTATTTGGATGGTACTTAAGATGAATTGAAAGCCAAAATTAAAATCTTAATGAATAAATTATAAATCACTAAGAAAGAAAAAGAAATTTTAACTAAAGATAATCAAAATCTCTAATAAGAAATTTTATAGATGCAATCCAATCTTAGATGCATGGTTTCTGGATTTGCAAATACAAGTATCACATTTCCTATGACTAATGAATTAACTAATTCCATAGCAGAATTTTATAAATGTGAATGTTTTGATATTTTTTTTGATGTTCTAAGTCAAGAATTAAACATCAAGGGAATTATTTATTTTTTCTAAACCTCCATGTATCGAATAGATAAAATCATTAATGAATATTTTACTCCCTTATTCAAAAACATATTAGATGTAATTTTTATTTTATTATACAAGATTGCTTGTTTAACTACAATTGAAGGACCTATCATTAATGTTTTGAGAAAATCTTTTCAAAGTAATTATAAATAAATTTATGAAAAATGCATGATAAATCTAATCAGCGTCAAATTAGAGTTGCAAAAAAGTCTTAAACTCAACAATGGCGATATAATTGAATCATTTTTAAGTAAATGTAAAATAATATACTACTAGACAAGTTGGCAGAAATAATGTTTAACTGTTTCATTAGTGATCCATCCCTATGTTTTGATATCCAATCAATTGGACAAAGACATTAATTTAATTAAAGTAAAAATGACCCCATAGATGGATTCATCAAAAATAAAGAAGAATGTATTATTTTAATGCCAGGAGTGTATAAAAATTAGGAATAAATGGCAAAGTCTCTAGTATTATCATATTCCTATTAATTAGAAAATAACTGATATTAATATAAATAATATATCTAAATAATAAATAATTAGATATAAATAGTTTTATTTTATCTCCAAAACATATATAAAATAACTCTTTTAAAAATATATATAAAATAATTAATCAATAAAGCATCATTTTGTTTTTAATAACTCTTATCTCTAAATTTAAGTTATTCATAGTATAACAAACCAGATATCAGCATCAAAATAAGTACTTAATAATAAAATAAGTATTTTCTAAATTTTAGATTGAAACCAAAAATTTTTTATGTCCAGCAATTTATCAAAATGAATGTGAAATAAAGAAGATGAATACTGAAATTAATTAAACCAATTATTTAATATAGAAGTAAAAAATGACCATTTGAACAATAATTGAAATCATATATATTATAATATAATTCTAACTTTGTTATTTTTAGGTTAATTTTTTTATTTCAATTCTTTAAGAATGGCTAATCTCCCTATCTTTAGACATGAATTACACTTGTTTCCTTGAAATACTATTTTAACTATCTTCATTCTGAAGTATTTTTTTCAAATTATTTGATATCTTCCTCTTTACCAACTCATCAGTAGATCTAAATCGTTATTTAAATTTATGTTTTAATAATTGAACTCTTGATTCAATTATAAAGGATATTCATTTTATTTATTTTTATGCATTTGTAATATCCTTAGTGAAACATCTTATATAATTAAGGAGTGATGAAATGGAGAAAGCAAAAACTAAGAAATATCAAATTATTCTCTTATGAAGAATAAAAGATCCTTCTAAAATTCAAAAAGATAAAAAGTTTGAGAAATCATTTTGTTGTATTTGGTGACAAATTTATGTAATTAGATTAAATTAAAAGAACATATATTTTATGAATAAATTATTTCATAAAAAATACATCAAATAGCATTCGGAATTAATGTTTTAGGAATCGTTAATTAAGCCATGTGTATTACGTTGCAATATATTGATTGCATTCAAAAATATATTACTTTTTATTAGTTAACATTATAAAGTTATTTAAAATTTTGGATAAATGAAAGATTTTAGAGAATAAAACAATTTTAGATTAATTATATTGCAAGGTTCCTCTTTTATTCTAGAGTTTCTTAAAAATTTAGAGTATCATAGGAATTAAATATTATTAAATTTAATATATTTTTTAACGGAATGAATAAAGAAAATAACAATAGTATTCTTACTCAAAATTAAAATGGCAGAAAAACAATGAAGATAAATTAAAATGAGATGGATTAATTCGTGAATTCAAGAATTGTTCAATTATAAAAATAATTATTAGAAAAAGACTTAGAAATTGAAAATTTATCCAAACTTAACTAAGATCCAAAAAATTAGAATTCAAATAAGTATAGATTAATGGAAATCAAGTAATAAACACTCACAACTGAGAATTAATAATTGAAAACTCAATTATAATAATATGAATCCTTAAATAAAACTTTACAAAAGAAGTGTGATTAATATTAATTATAGATTGATTAATTAACTGCTGTTTTTGAAGAGACTTAAAAATAATTAGAATAAGAAAGATAAGATAAATATAATATTTAATTCTAATAATCATCCAATCATATGGATGTTTAATAAGAGAAGATATTAATTAAAACTTAATTAGACAATTTAAGAAAAGAGAAAAGTTAATTGATTCTCAAAGTTAAAGAATTAGAAAATTCATTACAATTACATGAATAGAATACTAATTCAAATTGTTCAGAACTTTCTTTATTGAAGTAATAATTATAACAGTAAATTCAAAAATCATCAGAGTATTTAGAAAAAACAAAATCATTAGAGGTTAAAAATACTTTATTAGAAGCTTAAAGTAAATCCAATCATTCTCAAAATGATGAATTAAGAAATTTAAGATCATAGGTGATATAATTATAAAAAGACAAGAATTCACATCTTGAAATATAATAAGATTTAGAAACAAAATTAAGATTGCAAACAGAACATGTTTTAAAATTATAAAATTTATTGAATGATAAAACTAAATAATTGGTTAAATGTTAAGATAAATTAAATTAAATTGAATCAATTGAAGAAGATAATTCAATTTTGTAATAAGATTTAGAAAAGATGACTAATTCATTGGAAGAAATATAATTAGAAAATTAAAGAATAGTAAAATTTTAATAACAAAAAATTGATCAATTAAAAAAGGAACTTTTATAAACAGATTACATTAGAGAAGACAATAATAGAAAATAAGAGGAAATAGCTTAATTAAAATATTAATTAGAAAAAAAGAAAGAAGAATTAGAAAAAGATAAGGAATAATTACAAGAAGTAAAAATGTTATTTATTAATTGTAGTTTTAATAATAAAAAGAAGCAGCAAAATAATGGGCAATAGAGAAAGATAATTATTAAAAGAAAATAAGTTTATTAACTGATGAGGTTGATAAGATTGCTAAGCAGTAATATGATTAGTTGAGAATTCAAGTGGAAACTTAGATTTAGATGAAATTTACAACTGAAAAAGTATAATTAGAAAATCATATTTGGTAATTAAGTTCATAAATTAATGACTTATAATCTTCATTAGAATAATACTCTACAAAATTTAGTTAATTAAATATAGAAAATGATCAATTAAGAGAATAACTAAATGAAAAATAAGTTACTTAAAAAACAGTTATAGTTTTGGAAGGATAGTTAAGAAATACTTGTAGTGAACTTGAGAAATTAAAAAATATGTTTACATAAAGAAACCAAGAATTAGAATTAGCTAAAAATAAGATTTTAGCTTTAGAGAGTTGTGCAAATTATGTATAAGAATTAGAAAAGAAGGTTCAAACTTTAATGTAAGACAATTAGAGATTAAATTCAATTATTATGGATAGATGTAAAAATAATTGGTGAACAGTGTATATAAAATATATTAAATAATTCACTTTTAATTAAATAATTGTTGTTACTTTAATCTTTAGACAAATCTGGGTAGATATAAAGACTTTTTTTAAAATACCAAAACAGGATTTTAATATTCAGATGCATTTAAAATACTAAAACCAGTGGAATTTTATAAGGAAACAATTGAAGTTTTGAGAGGAATTTGATTTTTATGATTAATATCACGAAATGATTTGGTTTATGGGTTTGTTGATTATTTCAAAGTTATTTGTGGAATTTTTTTTGGTATTCTTTAAGTTTTAGGTTGTTTAACTTGAGATCTCATTTCAGTTTTCAATCTGAATTCATTCTAATATCGTAGAGGAGTTCGAAAACTTATTGTGTTTTAACGAGATGAAATTTCATTTTCATCTTTTTTTTTTCTTATTGGGATAGTTCGTTTCAATAATTATCTAATTTCTTATTCATAATCATCATCATACTATGGTTATTCATCATAACAAACATTTAAGAGAGATTCAATAGCATTTCTTTCAATTAATTAATTATGCATAATAATTTATGTTAATACAAAGAGTCTAAATAAATTAAAGTTAATTAATCTATCTATAAGCTTTAATAAATAGCTTTGGTCATTAAAAATCTTTTCTCTTAAATTCATATAATCATAAACTTAAGAAAAAATAATATTAGATATACTGAATTCAATTTTTGATCCATTTAATTAAGAAAAAAAAATATACAAAAATTAAAGAATTCACAAAAAGAAATATAGAGCAAGTCAATAATCAATTTCAAAATTTTATTGAATAATTTATATATGACAATAATAAAAATTGAATTTATTATTATTGGAAATAATAGAATATTTAATTAATCAAATGAATAAATTTTAACACTCTTCTATTAGATATTTTAAGTCTATGGTTTCACTAAAATAGAAATATTTTAGAGTTACAGATATAAATTTTTTACAACATCTAGATCAGCAATGAAGTTGACTTTGGATTTCATTAAAATTTTTAGATATTTTTTATCTCTAATAAATATTTGGTTATTGATTTAGGAGGAAAATATCAAAATTGGAAAATGGAACAATGATTATTTTAAAGTAGATTCTAGTGATTTATTTCTTTAAACAAGTAAATTAGCTGCTTTAAACTTCTAAATAATATCAGAGAGCTATTTCTTTTTAAGTTCAACAATAGTTTACTTATGATTCTAATAATATGAATATGGAGATACAAGTTGTTCTTTTTAGATGGATCTTTGCTGAATTAGATTCTTATTTAGGATTTAAGTTTAAGAATCAGCTTTAATCTTTTTACCCTCTTTTTTAAAGACTTTGGAGGCAATCATTACATTAAGGGCATCATAAACTCTTCGTCTAACATTCTATTCATCTTTTTACTGTGATATTTTTTAATAATACACAATGTTAAATTCTACCTTCTTCTTGAGTCAATTCTTAAACAAGATTTTCTGCAACATCCTTATAGGAAGTGGGTTAGGATTCAAAAACAATCTATTTAACTTTGATTGATAAATTTCTCAGTCCTACAATAAGAATAGAAATTTTTCTATTACCTTTTTGAGATTTGTGAGGTTCTTTTTAAATTTGATAATTTGACACGGTTGATTGCAATTATTCTTGAGTAGATCTAGAATGAAATAGATAATCAATACTTTTTTAAAGGAAAAACTTGAGTAGGAGTTTGCTATTTAAGATTAGAAAATTTGTGTGTTTTATCAATGATTTGTTAAGATAATGGTTATGATTAAGGCAGATTATCAAATGTTATCTATAAGGGTTGAGGTTCAAAGAGCAATTGTGAATGGAATGTTTTAGATAGATTATTGACTTGAAAAGAGCAATTCGGAAGAAAAAGATCTTTTTGAGAAAGGCTAACGGATTAAGACTCTTGAAGCATTTATTCTGGATTTGGATTGACGGAAGGATCATATAATCTAGAGTTAACATTATGATTAGTTATCATTATATATTTGTTTAATTTAAGTTATTATCCAATCTGATCTCCTACAACTGTTCATTTAATTCAGATTCCTAAAGTATTTAATAGACATTAATACTTATTCAAGCAACAATTCATATTATCCTAACTTGTTTAAGAAATCATTGATAGCCTATTATTTGACTTATAAATTTTATTTTAGTTTCACCATATAATCAGCTACTACCACTTAATTTTGATCCAATGAATTTAATAAAATCATATCCTATAAAATAAATTGTATGATTACTGATTTGCATATCTCAACCATCACATCAATATGATCTCTATGGAATACAATAATTTCATCCTCTTCTTATAATACTTTATTCACTAATTCCTAATGTTATTATGATAGTAATTAATTTCTCTATTCTTATATTTCTAATTCTGGGTCTACTTCTTCCAATAATAAATTATCTCCATCTTCTCCTTAAAAATCGTCATTTATAAATGTGTCTTGTTGCGATTAATTTACACTATTATCCAAGTAATGTTGCATAAAGGTGTTAGGCACTTAAACAATTGGATTCATTCCTGGAATCAATGGTTATTGCTTTTAATAGATCTGATTATTGCTATTTGTATATGATTACTAAGGATATTATTAAAATAATTATTGTTATGGGAATTGGCTTTACTATTACTGAAATAATAATGGATTTTATTGAGCAATATTTTATTTTGCTATATTGCCATACATCTATGGTTAATATTGTTAAGGTAAGGGGTTTGTGAATTATTAAATATTTGGTTATTGTTACTATTAATATATATTTTATTGTTATGGATTTATTATTGGTTATTACATAAAAAATTATTAGTTAGGCAATTATGTTTGAGATGTTGATTACTATTATTGTTGATTTGCTTAAACACTTTTAGATTTTGGAATATTTGATGGCTATTACTATTATGGTTATTACTGTTTGGCATATGGATTAGTGAATTATTAATTGTATTATTATTATTATTATTATTATTATTATGAATTAGCTGATAAAGTTCTAGGTGGTTATTATGGTTATGGTTAAGGTGCTAATTATTACTATTATTAACCATATTAAAATTATTATTAGTATTATTATGAAGATGTCATATTATTGGTATATTATTATTGATATTTCTGATTGTTCATCTAACTTAATCCTCCTTATGATCCTTATGGGCCACTATACAAATCATCACCTTCTTCTTCTTCAGAATCAGGATTTCTATACTCTCGACGGATTACGTTGGTATCTAACGTAATAAGAAAGATACTAAACCTGTTCTGGCTAACATCAATTCTCTATTAAGTGCATCTCCTCCTGATTTTTGTTCTTATGGTTTTTTCAACTCTTTGACTCTATCTGCATATCTTAATGTATTGAGTGTATGTTCACTATTAGCACTACTTGGTGATATGTTACCAATCATGACAGTTCTACAATTACCTATCAAACTATCTTTTAGTACGAGAGTAAGTTTACTACCTCTAAAAGGAGTATGATTCTTATTAAGATCCAATGCTCTAATACATTCCTTTAAAGCTAAAAGAGATTTATTAATTTCAGCTCCATCTACTCTAGTTGTTTTATCTTAATCTCTAACATCAGCTCCTCTTTCACTACCTGCTAAATCAATAAAAGAGAGTTTGCCATGAACTAATTTGCCTTATTTTAAATTTATTTAAAGTAATGCATGAGATCGTGAAGACTCTGAATTCGCAGAGTTTTAAGAAGTGACTCTAGAGTTCTATCCATGTTGAATGATTTGCATAACTTGCTGAACATTTTGAATTTTTTTTTCAGTTAACCCTTTGATTTAAACATTACCTTTTGCATCTTCTTATGCAGCTAATTAAGTTCTGTCATTCAATAGATCAAACAATTTTCCACAATATATTTCATAAAAAGAAATGGTCACATATAAATTGCTATATTCAGGCTATAAGTATAATAGTGATGTAAATTACTCTTTATAAAATGCCAAAAAGGTCATAACTAGCCATTAGATAAAGTCCAGGAACATTTGCTTCAGGATCTCCAAGCATTGTAAATGTTTTTCCACTTCCTGTTTATCCATAAGCAAAACAAGTGCATTTTGCTTTGTTAAATGCTGCTTCAATAATTGGACGCACTGCAGTTGAATAAACTCCTTCATTATTCACACTTTCATCAAATGCTAAGTCAAAATTGAAGTGATGCTATTCAACATACTTGGTCAGATCAACTTTCTACCTAAAAAAAAAGAGTATATTGGATTTCAAAATGCATACTTGATCTCGCTTAATAATACTGTTGCTTAATCTTTAACTTGTACAATATCCTAATCACCACGGGCTAATTCTTTCTTTCCTAGGGGTCTCTTTCTGATCACAACTGTTATTTTTGGTCCCTCCATTAATTAATGTAAATACAAAAAGATCTCAAATCACGCATACAAGAAATACTACAAAAACACAATATTAAATAAGTCGATTTAGCAAGAGAAATAGGAATTCATCATAGTACTCTCTCACTCTGGATGCAGAACAAAAATAAACCACGCAAACAGGATATTTCCAATTCACAAAGNGCTAACATCAATTCTCTATTAAGTGCATCTCCTCCTGATTTTTGTTCTTATGGTTTTTTCAACTCTTTGACTCTATCTGCATATCTTAATGTATTGAGTGTATGTTCACTATTAGCACTACTTGGTGATATGTTACCAATCATGACAGTTCTACAATTACCTATCAAACTATCTTTTAGTACGAGAGTAAGTTTACTACCTCTAAAAGGAGTATGATTCTTATTAAGATCCAATGCTCTAATACATTCCTTTAAAGCTAAAAGAGATTTATTAATTTCAGCTCCATCTACTCTAGTTGTTTTATCTTAATCTCTAACATCAGCTCCTCTTTCACTACCTGCTAAATCAATAAAAGAGAGTTTGCCATGAACTAATTTGCCTTATTTTAAATTTATTTAAAGTAATGCATGAGATCGTGAAGACTCTGAATTCGCAGAGTTTTAAGAAGTGACTCTAGAGTTCTATCCATGTTGAATGATTTGCATAACTTGCTGAACATTTTGAATTTTTTTTTCAGTTAACCCTTTGATTTAAACATTACCTTTTGCATCTTCTTATGCAGCTAATTAAGTTCTGTCATTCAATAGATCAAACAATTTTCCACAATATATTTCATAAAAAGAAATGGTCACATATAAATTGCTATATTCAGGCTATAAGTATAATAGTGATGTAAATTACTCTTTATAAAATGCCAAAAAGGTCATAACTAGCCATTAGATAAAGTCCAGGAACATTTGCTTCAGGATCTCCAAGCATTGTAAATGTTTTTCCACTTCCTGTTTATCCATAAGCAAAACAAGTGCATTTTGCTTTGTTAAATGCTGCTTCAATAATTGGACGCACTGCAGTTGAATAAACTCCTTCATTATTCACACTTTCATCAAATGCTAAGTCAAAATTGAAGTGATGCTATTCAACATACTTGGTCAGATCAACTTTCTACCTAAAAAAAAAGAGTATATTGGATTTCAAAATGCATACTTGATCTCGCTTAATAATACTGTTGCTTAATCTTTAACTTGTACAATATCCTAATCACCACGGGCTAATTCTTTCTTTCCTAGGGGTCTCTTTCTGATCACAACTGTTATTTTTGGTCCCTCCATTAATTAATGTAAATACAAAAAGATCTCAAATCACGCATACAAGAAATACTACAAAAACACAATATTAAATAAGTCGATTTAGCAAGAGAAATAGGAATTCATCATAGTACTCTCTCACTCTGGATGCAGAACAAAAATAAACCACGCAAACAGGATATTTCCAATTCACAAAGTACCAGAATAGAAGAGTTATTGGAAAGATGGATCGCAACCTTCCATGCTAATAAAGGTTAAGGTATGGGTACAGGACAATTCAGACTTCCTGATAGTAGAGCTTCATAATTCTGTAATTTCTATTCACTTACCAAATTTTAGTATCCCATCACACTGTCAGACCTGTTTTGCCTATTTCTAAATTTCATATTCTCAGAAATCAATATTAAAACTCCATCAAGTAATAAAGATAAGAAATCATTTTACGTAAAACTTAAGAGTAATTGAAAAATAATCCCAATATCTCATTACAATAAGCTTTAAATTAATCTGTAAGATAATTACTTATTATATACTCAAGGCTTAAGATATTCCAATTGAACCTCCTAAACATCAATAACTAGTTCCAATTACTATTGATTTTGAATTAGATGGTAAAAAAATTTACTAAACCTTTTGTTGGAATTTAAATGAATCTCATATGATTCCTGAAACTTTTGCAAGAATCATAACTGAAGAAAATTAATTGCCTTCTGTAATTGAATAGGAAATTTGCACTCAAATCAAGAAGCAAGTATAAAATTATAAATGTTACTATCCAACAAAAAATGAAATGTTAAAGAATCTACATGTAGATTTAAGAGTAGAAAATATTCATTTCAAAGATCAATTAGAATGGGATATGAATAATACAATGAATTCACCAGAAGCATTAGCAGAAGTGACAGCCAAAGAAATGGGAATGCCTGAATAATATGAACCTAAAATAGCTCATGCATTAAGAGAGTCAATATCTTCTTTACAAAGGTAAATGGAACCTAAAACTGGTGAAGATTATAGCAATTTAAAGAAAAGTACAAGAACTTTGATTGAGAGTACTACAAATTACAATTAATTCAAAAATGTTATGTTTTCAAATTAAATAAATGATAAAAATTGGGTGAGATGTGAATTAGAATATGATCATTAATTTTAATGGGGACCATAAATTGAGCTCCTTGATTCTAATGCTTTAAGAAATGTATAAAAATAAGAGGATCGTAAAACTAGATATGTAAGGAGATTAAGATGATCAAAAAATTATATATTGATATATTGATTTATTTTTTTATATTAAATAATAAAACTGATGGAGGATGGAAATCAGAAACAAAATCTCTCCTTCTAAATAGCATAATTAGAAGAGGAATACAATAATTATATAGAGTATATTGTTATTTAATTTTAGCTCCTCTGAAGTTGTTATGGAATACTATAAAAATCAATAAACAAGTGGATTGGATAAACATTTCCTAAAAATTGAAGAATGGTTAGATTAGGATGTTGTAATATATATATTCATTATCTAAATAGAAAGGCAAATAAAATCTTCCATTGGTAATTGAAGCAGAAGATGGTGTAGGTAAAAAAACTTTACTTGTTAAGTGGATTGGATATCATAATGCTAACAAAAAAGGAAGATATTAAGATATTATTATTCCTCATTTTGCTATGGTTGGAGGAAATAATAGTAATTATTTCTATGCCATATATCGAATATTGGTTAAACTGAGAGAATTGTTAAATATAGGTTAGAAAGTAGAATTGCTAGAAGAGAAACTTCGAAAATACTTTGCTTATTGGTTAGATGTTTGTAATTCTTATATTGAAAATCAAATTTTGAAAGAAGCTAAAACTCTTTATAATAGAATCATCCTAATTTTTGAAGGTGTTAATCACTTTTTTGATTAAGGCAATGGAGTTCCCAAAGAAGCTAATGTTTCATTTTGGTTACCTCAATTCTTTCCTCCAAGAATTAAAGTAATTTTAACTGCCTCTAAAAATTCTGGTGCCATATAATATCTTCAAAAAATCAATTCATAAATTATATCTATCAAAGTTGAACCAAAAATTATTGAAAAAATGATAGAAACACATAAAAAAAGAAAAACATTCCTTGTAAATTATTCTTAATTAATTTTATAGTCTGATTCATTTAAGGATAAATTATTAAATATCCTAACATAAACTAAATGTGAAATGAGTTCAATATTTTGTAAAACATTTCTCTCTCTTCTCATTCCTTATCCTAGTATTGGAATCATTGGAGAAAATGATGTAAGGCCAGAGGTTATAGAATCTTTAGTTTCGTAAATTGATATCTCAAAACTATAAGAAGTTGCAAGTTTAGAAGACTTAGTCAATTTTATCTTGGATCATTATTAGGCAAAGATGTTTAAAGATTAAGATAAATTTATCAAAATGTTACTATGTTTTACAATAACATAAAAAGGATTGATGATTTAGGAAGCACTGACTATTTGCCAATTAAATGAAAATGATTGGAAGATATTTCTAGTTTTCTTCAAAGTTTATTTAATGCATTATAAAGAATATTGGATTATCAATAATGATATTTTTAAGAGCATTATTTAAAAAAGATACATAAAAGAAAATTCTTTAGTTCCTAAATTACATGAAGAAATAGCTGATCATTTAAATAAATCCACAAATTCTATAAGAAAATTAGAAGAGCAAACATATCATTTATTTATGGCAAAAACTTATTTTAAATTAAAGGAAATAGTATCAGCTATTGAGAATTTTCTATTACTATTTAATCCAAATAATAAATATGATCTATGCCGTTATTGGTAAAAATTAGAGGAATAAGGATTCGATCCAGTTATAGAATATAATAAAGCTATAGAAGGATTTGCTATGCAATATCATCCTAGTAGTGAAGATATCTTTAGAATTATTGTATAAGTATCAAGGTTTTTAAAAGAATTTTGTGATTTTGAAACTTATCATACTCCTAGTTTTAGACATCCACCTATTTAAGGTATTGAAGATGAATTAGATGATATTGGTTTATTAAATGAACTTTATAGAATGAATTTATGTTATATAATTGATGCTAATCCTAAAAAAATAGGTAGCAATGATGAAAGTTATAAATCTCCAGAGGAAAGAATTAATGAAAAAATTGAAAAACTTAAATCTAAATAAGTTTTATAAAAAGATTAAAAATAAACAAAAAAAACTGGAAAGGAAGAAGAAAATAAAAAAACAAGTTTATTGGAAAAGAAAAAAAAACCAGAAATACTTACTAAATTAGAAAAATTAAATGTTGATATTCCATATAATAGAGAATAAGTGAAAAAGTTTTTTGAAGAAAAAATTGGAATCAGCAATGTACAAGAAGAAAAATTAAGAGAAAAAGAAACAGAGGAAAACAAAATATATTAAAAATTAGATAATGGTTAAATTTCAATGAGAGATTTAGATTTAAATTAAAGTAAGGATGAAGATGTTTAATTGAAAAAGCCTGGTCAATTGAAATTAACACATAATTAAATTTAAATAAAAAAATTAGAAGAATAATCTTTAGTAAGTGAACGAAAACCTACTGATTATTATTATAAAAGATGGATTTGGATTCAATTTCCTTGGGTTTGTTTATCTGTTCATAGTGATTATTCAGCAAAAATGAAATAATGTTTTGCCAAAGCAACAGAGTATATGAGTGTTTAAGAAGAAAAAGCATTTACAAAATAAGCTTTAAAAATAGCTATTGAAGCAAAACTGAAGAAGAAAATGATGTATCAAAAATAGGAAGATGTCAATACAACAGTTTTAAACGATAAAGAATTATCTGTTATTCCAGTTAAATAAGAATAGAATACTTCTATATTATCATTGATAAGATAGTAAAATGAATTGCCAGGTGTAAAAGGGTTTAGAAGAGAAAAATCTTTAGCAGAAAATACTTTTAATAATTAAAATTTCAAACCTTCTTATAGAGAAGTCAAATCTACAAAATAACATACAACAAGCTTGTAATTTTTCATAACAGAAGATTAGATGAGTTTATCTTAAATTCATAAAGAAATAGAAGAATAGAAGAAATAATAGTAAATCTAAGTTGATAAAAAATAATAAACTCTGCCTGCAATATCTAGGACGTAAGAAACTTCTTTAAATACAACAATGAGAATTATTGACAAATCTAAAATGCAAAAAGAAAAATACAAATAGTTTAATCCTGAAACTATTAACAAGTCGTCTTAATCAATTTTACCTAGATTAAAGAGTGAAATTGCTTTGCATAATGGTAAGGAACTTTACATTATGTTATAATAAGCAAAAGATTTGAAGCGAGAACTTGATAATATTATTTATTAAAAGTAATTTTATTAGATAATATTTTAGTTAAGCAGCTACAAAGAAATTAGCAAATTTAAGAACACTTTAACATAATGAAGGTTTTGGTACAGATGTGGATACGGTTTCATAAATTTAAGAAAAAGTAAGTTTTTTGGTAATATATTTTTTTAAAGATTGAAAACCTAAAACAATTGAGAGAAGAGGCTGAACATGATTATTTATTAAGTATGGTGCAAGATAGTAGACTGAGAATTATCATTAAAATTAGTGGAGACAATAGATCATATAATGAAGAATGGATTAGAGACTTAAATTATTTATAATGCAATTTAAACAAACTTATAAAATACGAAAAATAAGATATCAGTAAAATGGAAACTGAAATTAGATAAATTCATACAATACATATATAATATGTAGATGCTTTCAATAATAACATGAACTATTCAAAATAAATTATTGATTAGATTAATAAAACTGTTATATAAAAAGAAAACTTTGATCATTTCTTTTAACAATCAGATTCAATCATATAATAATAATCGACTGAAAAGATGCAAAAACTCTAATAACAATATGCTTAGAATGAAGATAAAGAGTAATAAAGATTGAAGAGAATTCAACTTGAAAAAAATAGCAAAGCAATCTCTGATAAGCTTGAAATTTTAAGGTAAACTATGGCACATGTTAGTCAATATATAGAAGTAATCAAATGTTTATAATATTATTTATAGGTTGAAAACCCTGATTATGCTAAAGAATAGAGTTTTGTAGTATTTTTAAATTAATTAGAAATTAAAACATCTTTAGAAGCTAAAATTTCATTCTAAGAAGATTTGTTGAGTGATTTGCATCTTTAATTACATAAAAAAAAGATTTATTTAGATGTATAATAAACATTTATTCTGAAAGACTTTTAAAAATGCTAATTAAAATGAACACAAGAAATCCCGTGAAAAGACAATTAAATATATTTAAGGAAAAATTTAAGACAATGAAACTATATAAATGTTAATTGAAAAAAGAGATTAATAATTAAAATAGAATTAAGATAAAGAAAAACAAAAAAATAAATTATCACTGTCTTAATTAGATTATAATGTATTTTAGATATAATAAATTTTAGATTAGCATTAAAAATATTAGATCAAAGTTATAATCATGTAAATTTAAAAGCACATCTGAATAAGGAACTGCATCAAAAATATCTTTGATTAATGATGTATTTATTGAATTGATATTTTTAAGATATATGAAGATTTAACTAAAAGGTAAAATTTCATCAAAGAGAAACTTGGGGAAGAGATGTTTTAATAATTCTTAAATAAAAAATTAGATTTTAATAAAATGTACAAGGCGGCATTTAAATACCATTAAGATCCAACTTTAACATAAATGGAACCCTATTGAAGTTTTATTAAAATAATCTATATAATAAATCACATTAATAGTTTTGCTCTTAAAAATTCACTAATATTTATCCTAATAAGAATAGGTGACTATAGCACATGTATTTCCAGATTTGATACGAATAAATCCATTTTCCCCCCAAGTTTATCCCCATGAATTTTTAACTATCCAATCTCCTGTTTCTTCATATCCTACAACAACAGCATAATGATTCAAAGTAATTCCACAATTAGAAAATATTCCAGATTTATAAAACTACCAATTTTAAGCATCTAAACCTGCTGAAACTGGATGACTATTCAATGCTTATTTCATACTGTATTCTCCCACAGCTGATGAATACCTGATAGGATGATAGGTGCCATTTAATCTTTTACAGGTTTAATTATATCCTACATATGGATACTCTGTAGAAGTTGCAACTCCATTAGATATGGCAAATTTATATCCATTTATATTTGAACCATCCGTACATCCTCTAGATAACTAATCACAATCAATCAAATGCTATTCAGATAGAGATACATTCTTATTTTAATATATCCTCTAATAAACTTCCATTGTACCTGTTACAGAAAATGCCCAACCTGAATTACATTATCCTTAATCTTTAACTACTGTGTAATTTCTATAATCAATTGAAGCATTCAATCTTGAATTTCTTAATTAAGTAATTTCTGGTGATTATCTGATATCATAAACTTCTTGTTTCATCAGATACAAACATTAAAATTATTCCTCAGTAAGATGCATAAATTAGTTTAGTCCCATTTTATAAGTCTAACTCTCATTTTAATTGTGTTAATTGATTTTCTATAAATTTGTTTGAAAAATTTCAAATCTGTATTAGTTCTCTTCAACTAAAAATTTCATTCCGAATTCAAACTTCCAATTCTCATATAACAATTATAAATTTGAAATATTATCTTAATCTTAAGCTTTTAAATGCAAAGATATCAACAATAAACTTGTTAACATAAGAATGCTTATTTATTTTATCATTTTTAATTAATTACTCGATAAAAATATATTATATTTGTTATGAATAGTTATTAATATTTAAAATAATTTTGCTTTTTTCATTATTCAATTATATATTTATAATAAAAATAAGATTCTTTGATTCAACATTTCTTTGTATTTCTTTATAAGCATTAATGGGAATTAAAAAAATTTCCTTTGTCAAATATGTAACGAATGTTGTAGTTAACGATTAAAAAAATTGAATAGGAAAATTTTACTTATCATTTTAACATTAATTGTAGTAAATTATTTAGCACAATATTTATTATAGAATGAATAAGATATTCCATAATTAAAACTTTCGATTTAAGAAAAATTAAAAAATTAAAAAATTAAATAATAATAATTTTTATGAAATAATTCTTAGCAGCTGCTTTAACAATCCTACTTATGACAACAGGATATTATCATCTTGCTGATGAGAATACATCGGATTTTGAAAAATGGGCTAAAAAAAATAATAAATATTATACAGAAAGTGAAAAATTGTACAGAATGGAAATCTTTAATTCTAACAAAAGAATGATTGAAGAGCACAACTAAAGAGAAGATGTGAGTTATGAAATGGGGGAAAATCAATTTATGACTCTTACTCATGATGAATTCGTTGACCTTTATTTATAAAAATTAGAAATTTAATAAGATTTGTTATAGGAGGAAATTCCATAAATATAATTAGAAGGATTATAAGCAGTTGATTGGAGAAATTACACAACAGTAAAATCCTAAGGTCAATGTGCTTCTGGATGGGCATTTTCAGTTAGTAATTCATTAGAGTCATGGTATGCTATAAAAGGATTTTAAAAAATAAATGCATCAACATAATAAATAGTTGATTGTGATTATTATTCTTAAGGATGTTCTGGAGGTTATAATGCATATGCTATGGATTATGTGAAAAGAGTAGGATTAGTGAATAGCTCAAGTTATCCATATGTTGCCAAAAACTAAACTTGTAAATAATCAAAAAATGGTACATATTTTATTAATGGTTACTTATTTGTTGGTGGATAATAATCTACTGTATAACAATATCTAAATAATTATCCAATATCAGTTGGCGTTGATGCTTCAAATTGGTAGTTTTATAGATCAGGATTATTCTTGAATTGTTCATCAAATGCTACTAATCATTATGCTTTAGCAGTTGGATTTGACACAGCTAATAATTGGGTTATCTAAAATTCATGGGGAACTACATGGGGTGAAAGTGGACACATCAGATTATATCCAAATAATACANATAATAAAAATAAGATTCTTTGATTCAACATTTCTTTGTATTTCTTTATAAGCATTAATGGGAATTAAAAAAATTTCCTTTGTCAAATATGTAACGAATGTTGTAGTTAACGATTAAAAAAATTGAATAGGAAAATTTTACTTATCATTTTAACATTAATTGTAGTAAATTATTTAGCACAATATTTATTATAGAATGAATAAGATATTCCATAATTAAAACTTTCGATTTAAGAAAAATTAAAAAATTAAAAAATTAAATAATAATAATTTTTATGAAATAATTCTTAGCAGCTGCTTTAACAATCCTACTTATGACAACAGGATATTATCATCTTGCTGATGAGAATACATCGGATTTTGAAAAATGGGCTAAAAAAAATAATAAATATTATACAGAAAGTGAAAAATTGTACAGAATGGAAATCTTTAATTCTAACAAAAGAATGATTGAAGAGCACAACTAAAGAGAAGATGTGAGTTATGAAATGGGGGAAAATCAATTTATGACTCTTACTCATGATGAATTCGTTGACCTTTATTTATAAAAATTAGAAATTTAATAAGATTTGTTATAGGAGGAAATTCCATAAATATAATTAGAAGGATTATAAGCAGTTGATTGGAGAAATTACACAACAGTAAAATCCTAAGGTCAATGTGCTTCTGGATGGGCATTTTCAGTTAGTAATTCATTAGAGTCATGGTATGCTATAAAAGGATTTTAAAAAATAAATGCATCAACATAATAAATAGTTGATTGTGATTATTATTCTTAAGGATGTTCTGGAGGTTATAATGCATATGCTATGGATTATGTGAAAAGAGTAGGATTAGTGAATAGCTCAAGTTATCCATATGTTGCCAAAAACTAAACTTGTAAATAATCAAAAAATGGTACATATTTTATTAATGGTTACTTATTTGTTGGTGGATAATAATCTACTGTATAACAATATCTAAATAATTATCCAATATCAGTTGGCGTTGATGCTTCAAATTGGTAGTTTTATAGATCAGGATTATTCTTGAATTGTTCATCAAATGCTACTAATCATTATGCTTTAGCAGTTGGATTTGACACAGCTAATAATTGGGTTATCTAAAATTCATGGGGAACTACATGGGGTGAAAGTGGACACATCAGATTATATCCAAATAATACATGTGGAATTCTAAATTATGCGTATCAAATTTATTGAGTGATTAATGCAAATTATAAATAAATATAGATTTATAATTATTCTACAATCTTCAAACTCAAATAAAAAACAATATTTTTTTTAATATAATATGTTTTTTAGAATATTAAGGTAAATCTATTCATGAAGATAGTGTCTAGTATTAATAATCTTATCTATTTATAATTTATTTAACCCTACTAATAAATATTCATGTTATCATTATCATAGAAAAAGTAAATATTATAATAATCTAAAAGATGATAATTAAAAATTACTACTATTCTTTGTTATTGCTCTTCAAAGAATCATAATTCTTAGAAATATTTGTTTTTCTATTATCATCTTAATTTTCTTAATGAAAACTTTCATTTTCACTTTATGGTACTATCTGAAGAAAACAATCGATAAATATTCAAAACATTAATCTAAAATAATTAGATTTTTGATTGGATGATCTAGAAATAAATTTAAGAATAATAATATTTACAGCCTGTTGCTTCTAAATTTAAGGTTATTATTCTGTGATAAAAATTTAATTTGTAAGACTGAGAAATTCTCCTAATTGAAAATCTGATGAGTGTTGAGACAATTTGAATATAATAGGATAATCACTAGTAAGATATCCTTAGCTATTTCAGTTCCTCGTTCGGCATCATCAATTAACTATTCTCTAATGATGTCAATAGGTCTGGAATAATAGGTTCAAGAGTATTTTTATTCATTTTCAAGCCACTATTCTTATAAGCAATTAAAACAGAGTTTATTTAATACATATATACTATATATAAGGGCTAGAATGAAATGTAATAATATTATTATTATTTTAATAAAATATATTTTTATTTGAATTAATTGTACTTTAAGATATTCCACTTCTTGTATCCACATAAATTAATATCTATATTAAATCATATTATTATTAGTTTTTTCTACAAAATTTCTCTCAAAGAATTTTTTCAATTTTATTGATTATGATTATTTTTTCATTATATATGAAAAGTAAATTTGATCTAAATAGTTTACTATAGTTTTACAAGATAATTCTTAATTATTTAACATAATTATCATTTATGGTACAATAATATATCTTCCTTCTTAAAAAATATTTAGATATTATCGAATCCAAACCTTAAATATCGTTACTAAAATCCTTTCTAATCTTTCTTTCATTAAATATAATCATATTAATTCGAGTTTTTAAAAAGGACTTGTGAACTCTAAATAAAAAAAGTCTGCAGATTTTAATTTTTTTTCCTGATATCATATTATACAAGAGTTAACAGAATTACAAACTCAAAATTATGATACACCCAAATATATCAGAAAGTACGTTATTTATACATAATAATACCACTAGAATACAATAAATAATTGAAAAAAATAAAGATTTAATCAAAATAGTAAGTATAAATTTTACCATATTTACTTGAATAAAAACCAATCTTGAGAAAAAACCCAGAAGAACTTTTCATTACAAAATTATTATTATTAAATAATATTTATTGAATTATTCATAAAATAATATTAATTAAAAAATAATTTATATTCTGAAGATAAACAATTGTTCTGATTTATTGCCTTTTATTATTATATATATTGCATAATAAAATATTAACAAAAAGGAATTTAAGCTAAATTCTTCTACTATTAATATTCTTAGCTGTAGTAACATGATAATTTAAATTAGATTAGTTTAAATTAATTAACATCTAGAAATGTATCCATTTATTATTGTAAAATATAAAATATGTGACAAAATGTTAAAAAACTGAGCAATATTGATCCCTATTTACAAATTTATTTTTCCCCTAAAATTGTTATACTTGCAAGACTTATTGTAAATTAAACTAACAATTTTAATGAATGATCATTTTATAGAATTAAATTAAATAAACTTATACATAAGATATTCTATATTTGATAATTCTTAATGATATTCCTAATCATAAATCATATTATTATTTTATGCTTCGATAAATCTTAACAATTGCCACTATCTCTTTGCTTTTAATTGGAAATAACTATCAAACATCATCTTAATCATAAACTGAGTTTGAGATTTGGTAATAGAAGCATCATAAGATGTATTTTGGTGAAGAAAAAATATATAGGGAAACAGTTTTTTAGGCTAACAAAAAAATGATTGAGAATCACAACAATGATGAATAAAGATCATATGATATGGGTGAAAATCAATTCATGGCATTGACCTAAGATGAATTTATTTCATTATATTTAAATTAGTTGGATGCTCCAAAATTAGAACAAATAGAACAAAGAGAACAAATTTTTAATATAGATGAACCCCTTAAATAGATTGATTGGAGTTCCTTTAGCACAATTAAAGAATAAGGAATATGTGGAGCTGGTTGGGCTTTCTCTGTCAGTAATTCTATAGAAGCCTGGTATGGAATTAGAGGAGGAAGAAATATCACAGCATCAGCTTAATAATTAGTTGACTGTGACTCCTATTCAAAAGGTTGTTATGGAGGATATAATTATAATGCTATGCATTATGCATAATAGATTGGATTAATGAGCAGCTATTATTATCCATACGTTGGATAACAATAAGGATGTAGATACAATAGAGGAGAATTTAGAATTAATAATTATTAGTTTGTAGGTAATTAATAATAAACTTTATAACATTATTTACAAAATTATCCTGTCTCTGTTGGTGTTGATGCATCAAATTGGCAATTCTATAAAAACGGTACTTTTTATGATTGTGGACAAACCGTAAATCATTATGCTTTGGCAGTAGGATTTGATTTTGGATACAATTGGATTGTTTAGAATTCCTGGGGTTATGGTTGGGGAGAAAATGGGTCCATTAAATTATCTCCAGGAAATACCTGTGGTATCCTCAGTTAAGCATATTAAATTGTTTGAAATCTATAATCATAATATATATATTTTAGAACAATTTTATCATATTTATAATTGCATTATTATTAATATATCTAATTAAACTACAACCACTTCTTATAATTTATGTATTTGAATAAATTAATAAATTTTAATTAATTCTATACTTATTTTGTATGTTTATTATTATTAATTCATTTTATAAATCAATTACAAATGACACACTTTAATTTTATGATTAAATATTTGATAACTTTTAGAACATTATTTAATTTAAATTTGAAGAAGGTTCTTGAATATAGATGTCTATATATTAACTTTAAAGAATCATAGAAATTAAAGTCTCTTAGATCTTATACTTTTTTTTAACAAACTGATCTCTTAAATTTAAAATTAAATTAAATTCAATTAAACTTCTCTTAAAAATAAGACATAATATAATTTCTTTAATAGAAATATTAAAGGACAAACTTGAAATTTAAGATAATCAGATTTTAAAGTGCTAAAATTTTAAATAAATACTTAATCTAAAGAGAAAATTTAATCTAAATAAATTAGTAAAATATAGATGAAATGCTTCGTTATATACTTTCAATAAATCAATAGCATAGTTAAAATAAATATTATAGATAAAAATATAGAGTTAATATGGAGTAATATTTAAAGTTAGAAAATGTTAAACCCTACTCAGAAACAATATTTAGAATATAATATTTATAACTAATCAAAAATAATCAAAGCCTTTATTTTATCTCATAGTACGAAAAGATCTCTCATGAGTTAAATTATGTTTTTATTTTGGCAATTTAAATAAAGGGAGTGTGGTATAACTTGGTTTTTTAATAAATTTTTAGAGCTAATAGGCATCAGCATCTGTTAAATCTTCTTCATCATTATTGATTTTTTCTTCTTCCTTTTTCTTTTATTCCTAAATGAATGTTAATTTAACTCCTGGTTTCAATGGAAAACCTTCAAAATTATAAGGTTCATCATACTATGTTTTGACTTTTGTTGAAACCTTTAATTTAAATAAAGCTTATTGATTAATTATATTTTCTTCAGCAAGAGCTTCTGATTATTTTTTATCAACTCTTCCTTAAAGTTTACTTTTGACTGTATTAACAATAGGACTTAATTATTTAACTTACTCTCTTTTTCTCATAATGCTGCCATCAGAGTCATAAGCTTGATAATCTTTTAATGGTTTTTTTGATAATAATAATTTAACTTAAATCTATTTAGCAGGATGAATGTATTCATTGTAAGGTAAATTTTGATCTCTTAGTTTAGCATTTCTTTTATCTTTTTTCTTCTTTGTTGCTTCTAACCGATATTTATCATCAGATTTATCTCTATCAACAACTAGGAGATATGGTTTAGGATCATATGTTTCAAATAAACCATAATCTTTTTTGATTTCAATTTCTTATTAGGATTAACTATCAACTAATTTAATTGATTAACGTTTCCATAAAACTGATTAAACATGTTGAGTAGTGTGTCTATCAAAAACTGGAGTTTACTTTAGTTTAAATTCTTATATACTGGTTCATCATCATGAATATCAATTTAATCAGGGTCACTATATTCTAGGATATACAGTTCTAATAGCTATTAACAATGTTCTAATGCAATCATTAAATAATTAAAGATAATTATAATCAATAATCTAACTAATTATTATAATCTGGTCTGATTTTCAAATAATCGTCAAAATCTAATGATTAATTTGGATGAAAATATTCTAAAACATCTTCTCTTTTGAGATTCATATCATTAGGAAATGGCTAATAATCTAATCCATTAGTCATTAAAGGGTGATAGTAAATTTATTTATCAAAAATCATATAAACAGGATCTTATTCAATTAATTATTCTATAATATTGTAAATATAATTACCATCTTTAGCAATATCAGTTAATTAATTTTTCTTCTTACGTCCTGCTCTACTTCTTTCATTTCTTGGTAATCTTTTACCATTTTCTCCTCTATGAGCATATGGATTAAATTTTTGATGATGACTTCTACATTAACTAGGAGTTCTTGTTCCTATTAATTCACTCATTTATTTAAATATTTTAGATGTTTTCTTCATCATTGATGAATTCATAATGTTTTCATATTGAGACAAGAAATTAACATATATAGTATGTTCAACTGCTGACCAATGACCTGTATTAATATTTTCTTTTCTTGCCTTTTTTGTTTGATTAGACTTATTTGATTTTAGAATCTGTTTTGACCCAGGAGGTAAACCATCTGTTACAATATCTGATTGTAATTTGGGTAATAAAGTACCCTGTGTAATTTGTACTAGTGAATATTAAGGTTAAACTATAGGTTTGATACTAAAGTGCTATAGTTAAAATAATACAATTCCTCTTTTTAAGGTTCTATGTATGATGCTTTAGTTTTAGGAAGCAATTCCTTTTAATCATTTCTTCTAATAAAATCAAACTATATAATAATACTTATATTTTTTGAACTTCTTGGGCTTATTTTGAGTTTATTAATCCATAATAATTTCATAGTTTACTAGTTATTAAGGGCATTAAAATTAAGGATGCAATTGTAAATCATTCATATTCTAATTCATTGTATATTCTATTCTTTGATTTTTAGGTAGACTTTCATTTTCAAAATAAAAAGTAGGTTGATAATCAATTGAAAATGGATAGAGAGAATGAATCATAATAGATGAAAATATTTTTATATAAATAAAATATTGAATTTAAGGCAATTGTTTTTTGTGTGTTGGTAATCATTTATTAATAGAAAATAGGTTTTTTATAGTAATATTATAATTTCAATATCTTTATATTGGACTATTTCTAAGTTAGGACTTAAGTGTAGCATCATGGATAGATTTGTTGGCTAATAATTCAGCTGGAACTCCTATTCTACTATTGTATGCAGCTCTAGATACTAATGTTTCAGGAAGTAGACTCTTATCTAAAATAGTATATTTCTCTATCATCTCTGTTAATTCTTTATTCTTAATTGCTAATTAATTTTAAAGATCAGCAATTTAATCAGAAAGTAATCCTACTTATGTATTGTAAGCATTCTTTAGATTTTCAAATTAGTAAGCAGCACCTGAATCCATTTTATGTCTTAATTCATCAATTTCTAAATTCTTCTCTTATTCAAAATGATGTAATTTCTCAATCAATTTATCATTCTCCTCTTGAATACGTTTTTAAATTAGTTCAGCATTATTTCTTTAGATTGTAAGATTCTCACATTCTTTTAATTTATTGTTATACATATCAAATGTCTTTTGAATTTCATACTTTTAATGATCTATCTATTATTCTAATTATTTTTATTTCTCTCTATTTTATGTATCTATATCTTTTATTAATAATTTTAAGTCTTAAATTTCTTAAAGTTTTGATTTCTCTGTTTCAAATGATTTTAATTTAACAAGTTCTAATTCATTTTATAGACTTCTTAATTTATCTTCAAATTCTAATTTAATTTAAGAATAATTCTTAAGATTTTATTAAATTTCTTGATTTTTATGGTCTAACAAATTTTTTAAATTAATTATTTCTTAATTCAATAATTAAATCTATTTTTAAAGATCAATTTGCATATTTTCATATTAGATAGTTAATCTTTCAATTCTAGCATGTTGATCAGCAATTTCTCTATTTTTTTCATTTTCTAATAAAATAGTTTTTCTTTTTTGATCTTCAATAGTATTAATCAATCTTTAAATTTCTCCATCGTAGTAATCTTTTTGTTATTATTTTTCAACAACCAATTTTTAAATATCTTAATTTTTATGATCAATAATTTCTTTTAATTTTAAAATTTCTTAATGTAATGCTTTTAATTAATTTTCATGTGTCATTTTAAGACTCGTAGTATCATTATTATGTATATTATCTAAATTTGTCTAGATATTATGATTTTCTTATTGATGTAATTATTCATTGTTTAATATTTATTTTCTAAGGATTTCAATTTCAATTCTCAATCCAGAAATATCTTAATCAGATTGTATCTTTTATTTTTAATTTTAATTGATTAAAGTGTCAATTTCTTAAGCTTTAATTTCCAATAGATTTTTAAGTTTATTAATCTCAGATCCTTAAACATCTTATTAATTTTCATGAGCTGTTTATTAATTTCTTAGATTAGTTTCTTAATATAATTCTAATTTTTATTTTTAAGCTAATAATTCATTTTAATGATCAATCTAAATAGCACTTAATCGAGATTTAGTAATATCAATTTCATTCATTAATCTTAATTAAGTATCTTAAAATTCAGTTTTTTATCTTTCAATTTATGATTATAATTATGCCATTTATAATGTTCTATCTTCTAACATATCTCTAAGTTTTTTGAGTTATGCTTCATACATATCAGCCTAAGAATTATTAGATCGTTTAAATGTTTCTTAAACTTAAATTGTTTAATTATCTGCTACATTTCTTTAATCTGATATAATTCTATTTTTTTCTTAATCCAATGCACTGCTTCTAGCATTTGCTTTTTAAACTTCTAAAGTGAGAGTTTTGATTTCTGCTTCATAATTTTATCTGATCTACATAAGTGATCCCATTTAAGCTTCATATTTTTATTTCCACATTTCTGATTCACTCTTTCTTTACAAAGCTACTTTCTAAGCTCTTTCTAATTATCCTTATAATGCATTATTTGATTCTAACACTTCTACTACTTTGTATTCTAAGTCACCACTCTTTTATTAAACCATACGTTAAAGTTCATTATCAGCCTTATATTTGGCCAATTCACGTTCAAGTTCATAACATTTGATTCTATAATTTTCAGCATCTTCAGACACTATGCTAAAGTTCATTTTATTTTAAAGAGGTGAATGAATGTATGGTGATTGATTATTTAAAGGATGAGCTTTCTTTACAGTCCCTGGTTAAGAAAAATCTTGACTTGCAAGGACTTATGAATATTTAGTTGGTGAAATAGTTCTTGGTTACATACTGAGGTTCATTAACAATTTATTAATAAAAATTATTGACACCCGCTTTAGCTTAACGAATACTTTTATATTACATATAAAAATTATAAATATAATTTATTTATCAATAATATTTTTTAACTCCATTTTTTACACTTCATGTATAAATATATTATAATCTACTAATTTACAAAAATTAACTCTTAACTAAAACTCTATCCATTAATAATTATCATAAATATTAATTTAAAATTAAATAATATTTGATTCATTTCTTAAAACCTAAGAAATTAATATACTACTTAGTCCCTATATATATATATATAAATTTATGAAATTCGAAAACATTAAATCCTGTTATTTATATTTAGAGAGGAAAAGAAATAGAAAGGTAAAAAATGAGAAAGATTATCCTAAAATAAATACTATGTAATTATTAACTTAATTAGAATATTTTGATATAATTGAAATAAGATTCTTAAATTAGTAAATAATACAAGTAGATTAATTTAGGTATAATATAGTATATTAATTAATAAAAATAAAACTTATTTTGATAACATATATATGATTAATTTGGAAAATTTTGATCAAACAAAATTCAAAAATCCCATTCTTGATAGGTATGATATCTAGAATACAAAAGTCCACGATCAATATAGGCTTGCCGTATTATTGGAATTCTTCCTTAAGAGTTAATTTAGATATCTTTATAAGAATTAAAACAAAGAAGACCAGATTTGAAACTGGACAAACAAGATTGGTAAAAATTCTGGGAACATTAAGAAATAAAAAGAAATCATAAATTGGAAGCTTGTATTGAGACAAGATAATAAATAATTCAAGCAGGTGGAATGTAAGGAAATGATTAAGAAGATTAAAATTTTAAGGATTCAAAGATGTCAGAATAATAAAGTAATGCAATAGAGAGAGAGAAAAAAGAATTAGATAAAATGAAATAGCGATAATAAAAAGAAATAGATTAAATGTTGGAATATGAAAGAAGAATGTAAGAGATTAGAGAAAGAAATGAGGAGAAATAAAGAAAATAATTTGAAAAATAAATTAGAAGAGAATAGGAATTATAAGAAAAAAGAATTTAATAGGAATAAGAAAAACAAATGAGAGAGGAAGAGAAAAAAAGAAAATAGTAAGAAGAGGAAAAATATTAAAAGTAATTGGCAAATGAACATTTTAGAAGGGAATAAGAAAGAGCTAAAATAGAAAATGAAAAATAAGCTTATTTAAAATTTGAAGCTAAAAAGAAGGAAGAGGAAAGAAGATTAAAATAAATGTAATTCTAATAATAGACTTAATAAATATAACAATAATACGAAGAAGAAATGTAAAAGAAAAGAATTATTATGTAACAAAAAGAAGTTGAAAGAATTCAAACTATCGAAATTTAAAGATAATAAAGAATTTAAGAATCATAATAAGCATAATAGGAATTAGCTATTAAATTAGTTAATGCTAAAGTTAAATAGGAAGAATAATTATCAAATATGAAGAAAGTATTTATTTGATTTTATGAAAATTTAATTAGTCATTTGATTTGAAATAATAAAAAATTGAATAGAGAAGAAGAGAATTTGAAGAAATGAAAATGTAAAAAATGTATGAAAATTAAATGCAAGCTATGTAACATTAAGAAAAAATCAAAGAAGTAATGGAAAAGAATTAAATACAAGAAGAAAAAAAGAAATATGATTATTATAGTAAGATATAAGAGGTAGAATAAAGAAAAGAGGAATTGGAAAGATTAAAATAAGAAGAAATTATTTAGAGAAAATAATAAATTTATGAAAAGGAATTGTAAAGATAATAGGTCTTATAAAATAATGAAAAATAGTTAGAACAAAAGACTAATGATTTTCTTAAAAAATTTTAAGAAAAGGAATAATTAATTTAAGAGGTAAGCAATAATTGAATTATTTAAGAAATAATTTGAAAAATAATAAATATTGCATGAGTAAAAAGTTAAAGAACTGCTGAAAGAATAAGATAAGAAGGAAACATTAGAAAGAATTATGAGATTGCAAGAATATGAAAAAGAAATACAAAGATAAAAATTACAAGATAAAATGAGAAGAGCTGAAATTTTATAGATGGAGAAAAATTAAATGTTAGAACAAAGAATGTTAATTAAGAAAGAGATTGGATTTTAAAAATAGGAATTAATTTAAAAATTAGAATTGGTTAAATTAGGAAAGCTTGATCCATCAGCTTTAAATCCTGATGGTAATAGTATTCGTGGATCTAATAGTTTATAAAATAGTTACCATAATATTCGGCGTAAAATATTATATTATTATTAATAGCATCAACTGCAAAATATTCAAATACTTTATCAAATAAAGATATAAGATAAAATATTAGACCAAAATCATAATAATAAAAAGTTTTAACAAATTCTTCAAATACTTAATTTTTTTCATAAAATTAAGGTAAATTTAGTATGTCTAAGAAACATGAAAATTTAGTTGATTAATTGAAAGTTAGATAAAATTAAGAAATGATCGATGTAACACTTTATTTATAATATATTAGGTCCTAGAGGAGGAATAGTAATTAGAATTTGAAAGAGAATAAGCTATGGCTAATGCAAAGAATCAAGAAGAATAAAAGAGACTTGAAAAATTATTCTAGATTGAGAGAAATAAAACTAATTAAAGGCTTGATTAAATTAAAAGGTAATTATTTAAATAAATAAAATTAGAGAGCATTAAAGATAACTGGAAGATTTAAAAATTTAAGGTTGAATTTATAAATTTATTTTTTGTAATTTAAATATGTATTATATTAATAACTCTATTAATTAATATTTATTAAGAGAATAAATGTCTTTTATATTCTTTAAAAAATATTGAAGTAATAATAGATAAAATATATTTGAAATATATTTTATAACAATTTTGATAAACATTTTTACATAAATTTATTTTAATAAAAAGAAATAATAAATAAAAAAAAGGAAATAGAATGATATGGAATAAGTTAGAAAACAAAATTAAGTTTAAACTCAATATATTTTAGAATTCACTTAATTTCTATTTCTTCAACAGGAGTTTATGGTCCAGCTTTTTTCAGATTAGATTCTGTTCTCCATTTTTAAGCCCAACTCTTAATTTTCATTAATGAAACTAAAGAGAATGCATTATCTATATCAACTTATGATATTTCCATAACTTTATCTTCTTAATCCCTAATAATATGTATATATAAAAATGAAATACATTTCATCTAAAAGATTAGCTGAACTTTAATTAATCCAAGGATGTTTAGCTATTTCTTATATAGTTGGTCTTTTCTTAGGATCTTTATTTAAAATAAAATGTATAAATTCTTTAAGTCCATCACTAATGATAAAATTCTATGGAAAAATAACTCTAAATGATAAAATATAATTAAATACTCATTAGATGATATATTTTTAAGAATATCAGGAATACTATTTCCAGTAAATGGAACACTTAAATATGTAAATGCAAAAAATGTAATACCAAGTGCCCAAATATCAGCAGCCTTACCAGAATAACCATCTTTAGCTGTTTCTTTATTACATGCTTCTGGAGGCATAAAATAATAAGTTCCTTAAGTATTATCAAGAACATCATTTTTAGAACCTACAACTTATGAAACACCGAAATCTGCAATTTTAGCAGTTTTACCTGAAATCAAAACATTTTATGGTTTAAGATCTCTATGAACAATTTTATTTTTATGAACTAGTTATATATATATAAATATAATACGGAAAGCTAGACCTTTGATACAATCTCTAAAAAGAGATGAAAGTACATCTTCTGTTAATTCTTCATCTTCATTTAATTTATAAAATTTGCCTTCATCATCATCCCATTCAATTAATTAACCTCCTTCAGCAAATTCAAGAACTATTTATATGAGAAATGATTAAAATTTACCCATAAACAATTTATCACTAGTTGGATTATCAATTACTTCATAAAGTTATATAAGATTATTGTGTCTTATTTTTTTCATGATTGCTATTTCTTTTCTAACATCTTATAATGCATCCTTAACAACCAAATCTATTTAAAAATAGAAAAGCATAGTTATACTTCCATTAGAATCTTTAACAAACTCTCTTTATCGTTTTAGCTTACTCTTTTTTAGTATTTTTATGGCAAATCTTTAATTAGGTTATCCTTTCTTATGTGCCAGTTTAACTTTACCAAAAGCACCTTATCCTAAGAATTCATCGAAAACGTAATCATTTAACATTTTTTATCCCTATATATATATATTATATATATATTTACTTCTTCATTTTTAAGTGTGACTGCTTTAACAGTTTCTCTAACTTTTTTGTTTTTCTAATAAAGAACTAATATAATAAATTACTTTTGGGATTTTAACCTTAACTAATGTTTAAGGTTGAGTCTTTTTATCTTATTGTTACTAAGAATCTTAATGATCAGGTTAATAAGGTGAAGCAGATGGTTCTTAAATCACTTAATTAATTCTTGTTTCTTTTTTCTTGGCACAAACTGAACCCATTATTAAATTGAATATAATATATAATTGATCTAAAAAACTTGTTTGAAAGTGAATATTTGATACAAATGGAATTATTAAAGAAATTTAGAATCAACACAATTATTACAGATTAATAAATGATGTGTCAAACTCAAAAGTATCTTAATAAAGTAGAAAATTATTATAATTAATAGCATCATATGATATATTATATAATAATATTAAACAAATGGATGATCAATTTAATAAAATCATCGAAGGAGATGAAATGAGGAAATTTAGTGACTATTTTTAATACATATCAACTATTGGATAAGGTGCTTTTGGTGTTGTTGTTAGAGCTATTAACTTAACTACACATTAGGAAGTGGCTATTAAAGTATGTTATACCAAACTATAATCATAGATAATTAAGAAGAAATTGGTAAATAGATATGATTAATTGAAATAAGAATCAACTATCTTAGCAAGTTTAAGACATGAGAATATTGTTAAGTTTATAGATGTTAAGGAAACTGATACTAGAATTTTGATTGTTATGGAACTTATTCAAGGAGGTATATACGATTCTACAATCATAGGCTCTTTAGAAGATTTAATGCACAAATTGCATAAGAATAATTCATGGTTTACAGAAGAATAATGTAAGACCATTATTAGGAATATTTTAACAGCATTAGCATATATGCATAAAAATAATGTTGTTCATAGAGATTTAAAACCAGAAAATATTTTAGTTAATGAAGATTTAAGTTGTGTCAAATTAAGTGATTTTGGATTGAGTTCTGTTTAAAACTAATTAATGACAAAGTAATGTGGAACATTAATTTATATGGCACCAGAACTATTAATGAATAAGATATATAGCAAGGTATATATTTATACTATCATTAGAATGTAGATATTTGGGGAGTTGGTGTAATAATGTACATGCTACTAAATAATGGATAACATCCATATTATAAGTCTGGAGATAGTCTTGATTAGATTTTGTAGATGACTAAACTCATGCATGATTAAAGCACATTAACTTAGTAACAATCTAAAATGATATAAGAATTTTAGATTGTAATACAGTTTATTTAAAAAATTGACTGAATTGGACCAAACAAAAAGATATAGAGCTGATTAAGGGTTACTTCATCCATGGTTGAATGAGTAAGGAGATGCAGAAGTTCCATAAACAATGGAGGAAATCTTTCATACATGGATTTAATAATAGAATCTTCTAAATCTAATAAAATCAATTATGTTCTTATCTAAATTAGGATATATGAAGAAATTAGAAAATAGAGAAATTTATAATCGAATTTCAGAGTAACAGTGTAAATTAAAGGAGGATAAAAACAAAAAGGAAGGGAAAGTAACAATAAATAAAGAGTTTTATGATGAATTATTTGAAGATTATCAGAAAACATTAACAGAGTAATAGAAAAGATTAGTGTTATAAAGTAAATTGAAATAAAATACTAATAGCCTAAAAGGTAGAGAGTGAAAAATAAATAAAATAATAGCCATAAAGCCAATAATTGTCAACGGTGTAGGCTAAATTATAATTAATAATTCGAGCAAGAAAACCTTCAAATAGTTTTAAAAATGTAGAAGAAGCAATCAATGATGATGTAGAGAATGAAGAAATTAAATTAGAAATAAATGAATCTTAACCTGATATGCTTGGTCCAGATAATGAAATGTAAAATGATGTAAGTGAAAAATCTGATCATAATTTATCTATGTAAATAAATCCAATTACAAAATCACCAAAAAAGAAAAAGAAATCACCTTTAAAAACTTAAACTAAATTGTTTATCTAAAAAAATGAAAGTCTTAATAATTCTCAATAAGGTATAAAAGAGAAGCCTACAAATTCTTAAGTACCAAGTCCTACCAAACTTATTAATAATAGTGTAATAAATAGCAATACTACAACTAAATACTAAATAAAATTGAAACCTCTTTAAACTTAAATAGATCCTCCAAAAGAAATAATAACAAATAATACTATTCTTAATTAAAATCTACCTAATTATGAACCTAATTTTCGCTCAGCTATTAGGCCTGCTAGATAAGCACATGTTCCAAGATTATCAAGACTTAGTGTAGATAGAGATTAAGTTTAACCTGTGGTTTTAGATTTATCTAGTATGGCTATGGGGGGATTTAGTCCTGTTCATAGTAATCAATTTTTATTTCCTACTAAAATCCCTAATTATTGTCCATAAAAGAGAGTATATTAAAATGAGTTTCATCCTTCTAAAGTATTAACATCTTTGGCTTCAAAAAAATCAAATGATCATTATAATTTTATCAATGGTGGACCTAAATGAGATAAATTAAATATAATTTGTTCTTAAATTAAATTTATAATTAATGAATTAAAACAATACAATAAATATTCGAGCTATTAGAAATAAGAAATCAATCAAAAAAGACTTATCTTTATAACCAAAGAACATTCATGATCAATATTATTAAGAATCTGATGATAGTGAAGATGAAAAAGTAATATTGATATATTTAATGTAGGTATTATCTAAAATTGGAAGATTGTAAACAAAAAAATACAAAGATAAAGATTTTATAGGTTATGATGAGAATTTAAACAAAATTTAGAAAAAAAAATAATTTTAAGATACAATTGATGAATTTATAAATAAGACAGAAAATAAAGATTGGTGGAGAGTAGTAAGAGATGAATTAAATAACTAAGATGTAGTTTTGAATGATAAACAATTATCAATGTTAGATAGAATTAGAAAAGGAAAAACTGCAATCAAATTAGCAGATGATGTAAAAATTAAATATATATATATAGTATTATTTTGAACATGAAGATTTTAATTAATTTGATCTATTATCATCTTACAATCCAAAACGTAGATTCTTGCCTTCAAAATGGGAAAGAATAAAGATTAATAAATTAGTTTAAGGTATAAAATTAGGCAGAATTGTATTAAATCCACCTTAGAAAGTGGAAAAGATATTTGATATATGGGAAAATGTTTCTGAAGATTAAGTTTTGAGTAAATATTTACCAGCAAGAATACCAGCAGCTAAAGCTTAATTACCTACTAATGTGTGTAGTTATAATCCTCCAGAAGAGTATCTATTTACAGAATAAGAAAAATAATAATGGCTACAAACTGATCCGGAAGATAGAGAAATACCATTTATACCATAAAAGTTTAAACATTTAAGGAATGTTCCTTCATCTGAATAATTAACAAAAGATTTATTTAATAGATGTTTAGATTTGTATTTAGCTCCTAGAATTAGAAGAAAGAAATTAATGATGAAATCAACTGATTTTCTACCTGAAATTCCTAAACCTGAAGAATTAAAACCATTTCCAACTAAATTAAATTTTGAATTTGGTTAAATTGATATTACTAAATCTGGTTAAGTTAAATAAATTTCAATATCTTAAGATGGTTAACTTTTAGGAGTATGTTATGAATTTGCTATTGCTTTCTTTGATACTAAAACATCTAAATGTCTATATACAAAATGGTAGGTTGCTGATAAATAATTTTTGGGTTTAGATTTTAGTTAATCTGGATTAATTTGTATATTATAATCAAATGGATTTATTATCTTAAACTCTTTTATTGATAAAAGATTACATCCTAATGTAGAAGATGGTTAAAATTCAAATAAATAAATCCCCAAAAATTCAAATAATGTTTTTGAATGGAACTTTGAATTAGATGATAATGTATTTCAATAATTACTTGAAGTTAAAATGCCTTATGATCCATTATATGTCTAATTTCATACTAAATCTGATTATCTTGTGAGTACCTAACCTCATACTCATGTGAAATCTCATTGCATTTTAGTTCATTGCATTAGCAAATCATCAACATCTATTCCTTTTTAAAATATGAAAGCATCCACTGAAGTTTAATAAACTATTTTTCATCCTACCAAACCAGAATTATACATCATGACAAATAAAAACATTTTTATTTATTCATTAACCAAATAATAATTATTAAAAAAATTATTAGCAGGTAATTAACAAAATTCAACAATTGCAATTCATCCTTATGGAGATAATTTGATTGTAGGTTCAAACGATTAAAAAGTATGTTGGTTTGATTTAGATATGGGCAAAACTCCCTTTAAAAAAATGAGTTATCATAAAAATGGTGTCAGACGTGTTATATTCCATAAATCATATCCTTTATTTGCATCTTGTTCTGATGATGGTATATATAATTCTTTATATAAAAGGAACTATTAATATTTTCCATTGCCGTATTAGTACAGATTTGAGTTAAGCTCCTGTAATTTTACCCTTGAAAGTCTTGAAATAAAAGAAGAAAGAATCTTTAATGGATATTGCATTTCATCCTACATAGCCATGGATTTATTCTGCAAGCAAAGAGGGTGTAGTAAGTTTATGGACTTGATGTATATAAATAATTATAATATATTTTATATGCTTAAAAAAAATTAATGATTTTTTTTTAAATCCCATATTAATGAAATCTATATTGGTAAAATACTTATATTTGAAGAAAATTAATAATTTATTAATTTTATCTTTACAATTGACAAAATAATTAAGGAATCTTTGAAGAAATTGAATTGATTTAATATTAATCAGAATTTATCAAAATATATATATTGATTGTTTAAGTTTAAAAATTCAATCTATTTAAAAAATATATTTTTGGAGTGTGAATAGTATAAATTTGATAGAGTAGATGTAGATTATATAGAAAATAGATTGATATATATATAAAAATGAGATTTGAAAAAATAGATAGTTAATTAGATTGATAAATAATTAAATATATATTAATGACATTTTGTGTATTGTTTGTAATTTTTGGAGCTGTTTTGGGTCAACTAAAAATTCAAAGCCCTAAAGAAACAACAGACTTTCCAGATGCATTAAGTGTAGAGTATTCAATTGCAAATTTTGGCCATATTCCTTATGGTAAAAAAATGAGTGCATTACTTTTTATACCTCCTTCTATTGATGATTAAGATAAAGTGCTTAAGTTATGTGATGAGCCTATTATGAGATCAGAATATCAATATAGTTAATCTTATGGTGATAAATGGTTGATTGTTAGAAGAGGTGATTGTCCATTCACTAGAAAAGTAAATTTAATGTATATTTGTTTAGGCTATCATTGCATAAAAGTTATAAGCAAAATTATTGATAATAGTTGATAATAGAGATGAGAAAGTAGAATAAATAATGATGGCTGATGATGGAAATGGATATTAAGTAGATATTCCATCTGTCCTAATCTCAAAAAGTGAAGGAGAAAAAGTAATTTCATATTTAAAAAAATCCACTGCATTGTATTTAGTAGGACATATTGAATTTAAATTAAGTTAAACATTAAGTCAAGTAATTATAATTATATAATTAATAGACTAATGTACTCTTTGGATTAAATATTGAAAATAAAGACACATTCAGATTGATTAATGAATTCAGACCAATATATCTTGAATTAAAGAATGATATTAAATTTTCAATATTTTATGAGGTCTTAAGATGTTTTACATGTGAAAAAGATGAATGGAAAATAGAAAATCCAGATTGTTTAGGAGGAGGAAGATATTGTTAATTTGATCCAAATGGTGTTGCTTTTGGATCTGGTTCTGATGTTCTTAAAGAATAATTAAGATAAACATGTATTTGGTAAGTGGATTCTGAACTTTGGTGGTCTTATATGGTAATTTATATTATTATTTTATATATAGAATTATTTCACTAAAAAATGTACTAAAGAAAATGAATTTGATAAATGTTTTGAATCATTTGTTAATTCTGAAGATAAAGTTAAGATATAATAGTGTATCTAATCATCTTATAGAGATTAAAACAAACTTGAAAAAGGAGAAAATTCCATTTTGGAATCACATTTCTAATTAAGATATCAATCTGGAATCATCTTTTATCCTGGAGTATCAATTAATAGTGTTGCCTATAGAGGAAATATAGAAGCTGATGAAATCAAAGAAGCTATATGTGCTAGTTTTAAGGAAATGCCAGAATAATGTAAAGAGTAAGTTTTAGTTATTTCACCAAATCTTTAAGTTGAAAATTCATACTTTTGGTTAATTATTGTTGTCATAACTTCAAGTGTTCTCTTTATTTTGTTTATAGTTTTTATCTATAGACGAAGAATGAATTTGATAATGGAAAAATAAATAAGAGATAAAGTAGGCGAATAAGTTAACAATTATGTCAGATTTTATGAGAGCAGAAGTGAAAAATGATATATTAATATTAAATTCTATTAAAATTTATTTATACATATTGTTATCAATAGCTAAATTAATCTGTTAGGTAAATAATACTAATGATTTTAAGTATTTATAAATATTTTTAATATTAATTATTTTATATAAAAGGCTTTGCAATTTATTCAAACAAATAATGTAATAAAGCTCAATTTAGGGAGTGTCAAATTAAAGAAGATAAAGAATAAATTTTATGAATATCAAAAAAATTCTTAAAGAATGAGGCAAAATAAATTCTAAACTGATATCGATTTATAATAAATAATAGAGAGAATATTAAGTCTTTGATTAGTTAGATTAATAAATTTAATTGATTTCCTTATAGAATAAATAAATTGAAAAAGATTGGTATGACTATCTATTTCATTATAATAATGATTATGAGTATTATAAAATATTTGATATAGGTAAACGAATTGAAGAGATTAGATTAGTATATTTGTATAGAATGATTAAATGTTTATGTTTTTTATTGATAGATTATAATAAAAATATAAATATGATAAAGAGAAATGAAAGATTAAAAAAATAAATAGCACCTTCTAGAAATTAAGGTTAAAATAATAAAGCGTGTTTAAAGCCTCAAGTCTTTTAATTTCCTTAATTAATGAATAAAACTACTACATTTTCTGAAGCAATAAGATTTTAAGGTTAAATTCAATAGCCATTTACTCCTGAGACAATGATTCGTTAATCTATCAATAAACCTAGAATGATTGAGTAATAAAAAATAAAAAACAATTATGGAGTTTAACGTTTTTCAGCAAAGGTAGTTTCAAAGCAATAAAATGTTAAGGAACCAGTCATAATAAAAATAACAACTAGTAAGAATCATTAAATTGTTTAACATTTAGAAGAATAAAGTGAATATTAATTAAGTGAATTAGGAACATTTGATGATTTAATTTAGCAAATTTAAGAAAGAGTATTGGCAAAAAATTCAAATATTTTATAATTAGCAAAAGACATTTGTTAAATAGAGACTATTGATTTGAGAGCTTTATAATGTATACCATAATTAATTAAACATCTTGTGATTTCATCAGTTTAATAATAGCTACAAATATCTTAAATATTATCTATTTTATTTACATTAAGTGAAGAAATAATAACTAGAGATGATCTTGATGAATCACTTTTAGAAATAATTAAAGTTTATTTATAGAAAGGATACGAATCTAATCTGTAAATGATTGTTATTTTTATTAAACGATGTGGATAGATGATTTATTATATTAGATCCAATAAATAAAGAGTATTAAGTGAAATGATTATAACTTTATTATTAAAATTCAATGGATCAAACTCATTTGAAGAATTACCACTTAAATTAGCATTTAATATAATATTGAGACATAAATAAATGAGATTATACATAAAAGACAATTAAGATATAATTAAGTTAAAATAACCATCAATTATAGATTAACTTTACAGATTTAAGATTAAAATCAATTGATTGATAAAATGAACTTAGTTTATATATTTTTATTATATCTTAATATCTACCTTAAATAATTATAAAATAATAAATAATACTATATATATTAATCAAATGAAAATGCAAAACCATGATAGAAACATATAAAATAGAAAAATTGGATAAACAGAAATGACTTTCTTTTCTTCATTCATCATACTACTCATAAAGGATAGTGAAGCTATTTATAACATTAATAAAATTACAAAACGTTGACCATAGAAATGCAGCACCTACTATTATTAATCTAAGGAAAAATCCTAAATATGATTAAAGAAAGGTTATCAAAACAGCAGCTATATTAATTGGAAATACACAATAGCCTAATACACAAACACTTTAAAAGAATGATACTTATCCTCCTAATAATTTAGCATTAACTCTAATTTTAAATTAAATATTCAATTTACGTTATTACAGCAGATCCTCCCCACATAATAATAAAAATTGTACCAAATATAGAATCAGCTAAATTTTGATTTATTCAATTCATACATGATTGATTAGAATTAATGCCTAATGTCCTAATTCATAATATCAATATAGATTACATTGCCAATAATAATGATAATAATAATGGTCCCCATAAATCCCCTAATTTAAATAATATTTATTTTATTACAGTTTCTCAATTTTCTTCCTTATGTCTCTTTCATTCTAGGAATTATTACATATGATAATTTATATAGTATCATATTAATATCTCTCAACTTTATATTATAAACATTTTTACTAAAGTATCCAAAACTGGTTCATCTAAAGTGTTCATTTAAACATCTTGTTAATTCATATGTGCATAATCCACAAATTTTGCTTATCCTTAAAACATTCCACTTCCAAATGGAACTTATTGATTATCAGTCATTTATAATAATTATTTAAGAAAAATTTTATTTTATTTTCAAAAAAACAAAATGAAAATTAATATATAAATTTTTAATTCAAAACCTCATGAAAGGCTTTTTTTGAGGTGTTTTAGACTATCCTTAAAATGAACGATTATTAGGTGATTTACTTTTGGCATTATATTTGTCATTTAGTAATTCTTTATATTTCATTTCAAACGAAGATTAAGTTCTTGATTTTATTTGAAACTTACAATTTTATTGGGACTCTGCCAAATTTATCATAAATCATACCATCTTTTATTGCAATATCTCTAAGATAAAATAACCCCAACATATTTTGATATCCACATTATATTAATTTTTTCTCTTAATCAATTTTTACAACTATCACTTTATCTCCAGGTCTCAATGTAAATATGTCTCCACTTAATGATTTACATGTATTCAACACAGTACCCTATCTACTATTTTAATTTTATATTTATTAAGAATATTATTAATATTATTATGATATTGAATCTAATACTTTTTTCTCAGAAATTTAACTCATTCTAGCCTATTAAGGTATATTATTTGCTTAAAATTTAGATAAATGACTCAAAATTGGTTTATAATTTTATTCTATATTAAGTTAATTTTATTCTTGTTTATGAGAATTTTAATCATTGTTACCTTCTTAACTTTTCTATTATGAAAATCTTTTATTTTTATCTAATAATCTTAATAAATTTTGATTCTCATTTTTTTAATTATCTCTTGATGATATACCTGATGATTATTCAATAGATGATTTACTAAATGATTAATTTAAATGATTAGTTTCATCATCATTATTTACTTAAACTCCTATTTCCAATTTAAAATTAGATATAGGTTAATTTATCTATTATGACTATTGAGGTTTAAAATAATTCACTTATTTTGACAATTACTCTTAACGATCTGTATGTCGTCTTGAAATCTGAATATTTGGTTCAAAACTATCTTAACTATTTGAATGTCTACTCTCATCTTATTTTGTATATGTTTTAGAATTGTTCATTTTGCTATTATCAATCTCTTCTTAATATTTATTATTTGTATTTAGAATTCTATTCTTTTTTAAATGCTAATACTATTATATAGTACTTTCTAATATTTAGAATAATTATTATATACCACTCATCATTGCTGATTATGCTTCATTATCATAATCTTCTTCCATTATTTTTTAAAGCTTTTTTGTTTACAATAAGCCTGCTTCACTACTACTATTTGAATGTGAATCAGAATTAAAATCATTCTTTTTATTCTACTATAAGTTTTCTATAAATTTCTCTTTTCTCTATATGGTCTAACTTTGCTATTAATCCTCGTTCTTATTTATAAATTATTATGGATTTGTATTAGATGAATTCTAAGATCTCTTAATATCATAATTCTTTTATTTTTCAGCTCGAAAAAAATTATTCATTTTCTTCATAGACATTTTGGTTAACCGATTAAATTATAATCATTATTTTTTTTATTATTTATTTCAGTTAAGAAACTCAATAACGATCATATATAATCATTTATTTGTTGTTTAAATTAATTTATAGACAATTATTTCTTAGCTTCTGAACTTAACAATAATAAATTAATGGTTTTTTCATTTAAATAAAATTTTCATATATTTTAAATTTATTTACATCTCAATTAACCTATAATATTTTCTATTCATTAATTGGAATTCAAAAATATTTAATATTATTTTATAAATAATATCTCTTCAGAGTAAATAAATGACTGAAAGTTTTGAAATAAAGTACTTAGAACAATATGTGCTTTTCAATAATATGTAAATAGGATCAAAAGGAACAGTATTTAGAGGATGTTTATTAAATAATTATACAGAATCTTTAGCAATAAAATAATGTTAATTGAATGTAAGAGTTAAAATAAAGTAAAAAGAATGAATCTGAAAGCATAAAAGTCTTAGATCTCATAAAATTTGAATTAAAAAGATTGAAGAACATCAAACATCCTAATTTGGTATAAATATATGATGTCATAAAAAATCATAATATTCTATGTTTTGTTCAACCTTATTGTGAAGATGGGAGTTTATAAGATTATTTAAAAAAAGATAAACCAATTAGTGAAGTAATTTACATGTTCATAAATTAAGTCTGAGTCAATTCAATTTATGTAACAAATTATTGAAGGATATAAAGAACTACATAAAGCTAAAATTATTCATAACAATTTAAAACCTTCAAATATACTGTTACATAAAGGAGTGGCTAAAATCTCTGATACCTATTATGCAGGAATTCTTTAATAAACAATATTGAAAGGATTGTAAATTAAAGATTTAAATACTATAAAATCTTTACCATTCCCATGTTATTTAGCACCTGAAGTTTTAAATGGATAACCTTTTAGTAATAAATGTGATATTTGGTCTTTGGGTGTGCTCTTTTATTAAATGTTATATGGGGATTTACCTTGGCAGACAGATTCAATTATTTAATGGATAGATTATATTAAGAAAGTTGTACGTACTTATCTCTCTTAGTTAGCCTTTGCAATTTCCAACTAAACCAATTAGAAAATAAGCAATTAAAGATATAATATCCAAAATGCTTACTATTAATCAAGAAGAAAGAATCTCTTTTCAAGATTTGATACAAGATCCTATTCTCATGATCAAATCAGAAGATGCTTAAATTGATTTTCAAGGAACATCAGATAAAGGTACATTTTATACCTATGAAAAAGATGAATTCTTGTCTGTTATTAAAGCTAATAATATTATTCTTTAATAAAATTTAGTCATTAGATATTTATTTAAAGAACAATAAATACTATCTGAAGAAGAATCTTAATGGAAATAAAGTGATATAGAAGTTAGAATCTAATAATGCTAATTTGAAAAACAACCTGATATTAATGTAATATAAAACAATTATTATAGATAGATAAAATGTTTATCATGTACAAAAACTAAAAGAAAAAAAAAGATACTTTTTTAAAATTCTATAAGTATTTTATTTTTGAAAGAAATATTGCTTTCTTTTATAATTAACTTATTTAAAAGATTGTTTAATTACAATCAGAATGGTAAATTAAATTACCTATTGATTTTTACCATAGATTGATATATTTAATTGCTAAAAATTAAATTATTGTCTTAACAAGAATTAGTAATCAACTCCAAGCAAATGGTAATGAAAATTTTGATCAAGATCTTTGGGGAAAATTTTAAAAATCTTAAGTATTTAAGATTCTATATATAAAATTAGTAATTTGAGATTTTGGTAGCATAGATTGAATAAGATGGTCTTAATACTTTAGATTTTTATAATCAGATTGCAAAAAGATGTTAATAGATACTACAAGAAGAATATAATAATAATTCAAATAATTAACTTATAATCGGTATGATTAAGAATTTCTTAGCAGCTTTAAATGAGAATTTTGAAGCTAATGAAATTTTTAATGTGCTTTATAGAGAGAGTATTATTGAATGTCTAAAAATTATAAAAACTTTAGCAAGCAAAGAATTATAAATTAATTAATTAAATTATTATCTATTGATTGCACTAAATCCATATGATGAATTCAAAGATATTAACTATGACTTCAATATCTTTTACGAAGAATCAGAAAATTATACATTATAAGAATTACAAGAAAAATTAGCAAAGAAAACCAATAAATGATTATTAAATAATTCAACATAATTTATCAGTTTTTATATAAATATTTAGATAATTTCATTTTCTACACTAAAAACCTAAATTTTCTAATAAAATTTTAATTTATTTGTTCATGTTTTATTGAAGTCAATATAGAATTGATTATATGTTGTTTTAAATTAAATCTAAAATTATTTTAATAGGAAAATAATAATAAATAAAAAAATGTAAATATCTGCAGGAAATAATTAAAAAGAAATTAGTTAAGATTAGTTTTTTCAAAGCAATGATAACAATTAAAAAGTTGATCTGTCAATAAATAGATTTAATATTCAATAAGAAATCAAATATAGTGCTTTTTCTCCACAAAATTTAGCATAAGGTTAAATAGTAGTTCCTTTTGATATGGATACACAATAAAATACTAATTAATTCTTATAATTGCTCTCAGAAGCAGATGAAGATTATAAGCTTAAATTTTTTCGTTCAACCTTATGTTTGTGGTTGGTCTGGGGTTGTACAATCTTTTTGATTTTGATCTTCAATCTAGGTAATATAGATCGATATTGCAGTCGTATAGAAAGATTAATAGAATTTGGTTCTTTGTTTGTTGGTTTACTTATTGTATCTCTGCTAAAAAATAGAATTGAAAAAAAATGTGTGAGTTTAGATTTAATAAAATCTGAATATATTGATAAGATACTATTTGTTATTATAGCAGTTGCTTCAGGTTTTTTTCATGTTAATTTAATTGCAATAATTGAATGTTAATTAGTGGGGAATATATCATATAATAGCAATTATAATTATAAATTGGAAAAAGAAATACTTTATGTAGGAATATTAGTTCATTTATCAATTTTAATATCAATCTTTTTTATTTTTGTAATCACCTTCATTTAGTAGAAGATAGACCCAAAATGTAAAAAAAAATTATTAATTTTTTTAGAATATTTCATTATTTCATTAATAATATCCTTGTTTTTAGGAATAATGTACTCTGCAGCTTCTTTAAAAATCGAAGTGATTCCAATCACACTTATTTTTATAATTTTCTCATTATATGGTACTATTGTGGTTTTGTCAGGTTAATAAATAAGTAATGGTAAAGTAATTTATTAATTTTATTAATTTAGTATTCTTTGGATAAGAAGTAAAAATATATGGGAGCAGTTCTATAGTACTTGAACTTATTTTGGTTATGCTTTTGATAATTATAAAATTTAATATATATGTATATATAATAAAGTATAAGTAACAGATTCTTAGAATAAATTGGGTATTTTTCAGATAAAATATAATTAATGGAAAAAAATTAAAGTTTAATTAATAAAGTATCACCATTTGCTTAGATTACAGAAGGATAAAAGTATATAATAACAAAGAATCTACCATAATTAATATAAATAGTTTTAAAGGATGCTGCTGAATTTTAGTCAACTCAAATATAAAAATTAAAGGCTTTATAATAGTTAAAGATGATCTGTTGTATAGCTGATATTGGAGAATATCTAACTTAAATATTTAAATTATTGGCTAAAATTTACACAAATGATGATAAATATTATTTGAATGAGGTAAATTTTAATGATTTATGAATAGTGCAGATAAATATGTTATGTGATTGGATTAAAGGTATAGATAGATTATTATTTACCAACCTTGATAAATTAAGCAAGATTTGAATTACAAGGACAATAATCAAAAACTTTATGCAATTTGATAAATATGATAAGTGAAACAATAGTACATGAAAATGATAATCTTGATTTATAAAGTTTAGTATATTTGATTGGAGATATAGAGAATGTATATTCTGATTGTTGGGAAGTGATGGAATGTGTTTATTACTTAGAAGATCGAATAATTGGTTAATCTTAATAAGAATTACCAATATATGTAAGATAATTATTTCAGGGTTTATTGACAATAAGATCTTTTAATAAGATGGATTGTGAAGGATTACTTAATTAATTATCTAAGAAATGTGGTTATACGAGTGTAACAGATTTACATGCGAATGAAATTAGTTTGATTCTAGAATAAATAGTGAATTAAGAACACTTTAAAACATGGAAACATAATACTAGAGAATTCTTAAAATTCAAGGCTATAGTAATAGGATGTGGAGATGGAATATCAAAATATATGCAATAAATAATATAAATAATGAAATATTCTTTAGGAGGTGATTAAGAAGTTGAATTACGTTTGGAGGTGTTATTATTATTAGATAAAGTAGTTTAAATTTAATCAATTAAAGATACTATCAAAATGTATAGTGCAGTATTGATATCATAATTATTAATATAATCAATGGTTTGGAAAGCAAATAAACCAACAGTGAAAGTAAGAAAAGCAGCAGTAATAATAACATTGTAATTAACAGAAATGTTAAATTAAGAAGAAATATTAGAATTATTTCCAGCTTTAGCTGCTCCATTAAAATCATGTATGACAGATGATTGGGCACCTGATTTAAGATTTGCTTCAAGTAAATTAGCTACAAGTTTAATAAAAAAATGTTAAATTTTAAATTATGAAATAATAAGAGATTTCTATCCTTCTCTTTTAGAAAGGTTAGATGATTCTTAAAATTAAATAAGAATCGAAATTACTTTTGCAATTGCTGCATTGATGTAACAGAAATATGATTCAACAACTATTTTAGAATATATAGTAAAAGCAACTTTAATACATTTGGATGATTCAAGTGAAGAAGTTTAAAGAGCTGTTTTTGAGTGTTTATCAAAATGTCCAGAAAAAGGAGTTGTTTTGAAAGAAGCTGAATAAGCTATCAAGAATTTTAAGTATCCACGTTTATGTTAGGAACTTATTAAACTAATGAGTTGAGTTTATATTTAATATTGATATAAATAATTATATATATTTATTAATATGAAAACTATCGATAAATATACATTACTTAATCAAATAGGGTAAGGTTAATATGGAAAGGTATACAAAGCTAATAAACATAACACATAAGAATATTATGCAGTTAAAGTTATAAAATTAAGTAGATTTAAACAATTACCTAAATTAACATAATTCACAATGAATGAAGTAGAAACATTAAAACGAATAAACAATGTAAATGTGATCAAATTTGTTGAATTATTTAATTCTAAAAATAACTTATATTTGGTATATGAGTTTTGTAATGGTGGTAATCTTGAAGAGTATATTCAAAGAAGCAGAAATCTTAGAGAAAGTGATGCGATGGATAAATTTGCATAATTACTTAATGGTTTTGAATCATTATAAAAAGAGAATATTTTACACCGAGATTTAAAACCATCAAACATTTTATTGCATGATAACATTGTCAAAATTGCTGATTTTGGTTTTTGTAAAAATATAGAACCTTTTGATCTCACTTAAACAATGGTAGGATCCCCTATATATATGGCACCTGAAATCTTGCTTGGTGAACCATACAGCTTCTCTGCTGATATTTGGTCTTTAGGAGTTTGTCTCTATGAAATGCTTTTTGGAAGATGTCCTTATGAAGATGTGACTATCCCTAGATTAATGTATCAAATATAAAATTAACCAGTAATCATGAAAACCATATTAGTTAACTATTCCTTATTAAGTATCTGATGGAATTGAACGTCTATTAAGAAGAATGCTCACTGTTGATCCTAGATAGAGAATTTCTTGGCAAGAACTCTTTTAACTTCGTATACCCAAGAACCAAAAGAGTGTCTCCCCCTTGAACAATAGTAATAGAAGAGGTGTATCTCGTAAGTGTAATATAATTTGATATTAGCAATTAGATAAAACTCCTCACCTTATTAATAAGTCTTTATCAAGAAAAATAGTCAGCATTTCTCATAAAAAATGTCTGATTCTAATGAAAGCTGGCTTCATAATAACATCAAGATTATTTTACAGCATAGAAAATTATTACTTGAACACATTCAAGCTATCATCAAACTACTTGAAGTTAATGACAATGTTCATGTCCCTTTAATGGTACTCTTTATGATTAGGTACATTTAATCCCAATTAAAATTAAATGTTGACTCTCTCATCAAATTAAGAGAATTCAAAAACACTCCTCAATTCGAGAAAATATCATCTATATATAAGGAAGATGAAAGGTATTCATTATTATATATCTCTTTCAGCTAAGTTCTTTTAGTCGAAAAACAAATAGTCCAAGAATTGAATAAATCGCAATGTCCTTCTGATAATGTCACTTCTGAAGAATTCTAATGGAACACTAAATAGTTTTTGCGTACGATCTCTGATGATATCCATTCATCAGAATTACAATAATATTTATATAGGTTTTTAGATTCACTCAATAAATGATATAAATAATATTCATATTTCATATTTTAACCTTTTTATTTATGTCATCACCCGTTATCCAAGCTTGTATCTATTTTTAGCATTTTGTAAATGCTTCATATTCTATGTTATCAACTATTATTTAATATTTTTCCCGCTCTATTTCTATAAATGCATTAGGAGATGTATTTTATATCATATGAACAATTAGTCCTATTTACTCTGGTGCTAATTGTTTCAAATTATTAGAAAACTCAACCTTATCATTATAAGTCACTTATTCTTAGGGTTCTTCTTAATAAACCTCAGATGGATTCTCTTTTGTTTTTGGTACCACTTAAGGAAGGTTTACCAAAGGCAAATAATTTTTAACATACTTCTTAAATAATCTTTCTAATTTCTCTGCTATTTTCGTTATCCACTATTAATCTTAATTAAAATACTTACACTAGTTGATCCATTATACAATTTACAATTATCCCAAATTAATTATATTTCATCTAAACACTCTTCGACTGTCTTATATAAATTGTTATTCAATTTCTATTGTACTGTACCTAAGTCCATTGGTCTCTTAACTATCTAGATATAATCAGGTAAATTCAATCGCTTATAATCAACAGGCTATCGAAACTCTACACTATCATTAGAATCAATCAATTATTAAACTATTTGATTAAGCCTTTTTTATTCATCTTTATTAAGAGGTGTTTGAGTATTTTTTATCATTTTTTGAGATGGTATTATTAATAATTAATTAAATATTTTAATCAAATACATTTTAACTTCACATAAAGATTATTTTCATGAATTATTTTGTAATCATTTTAATTTCATATTTCATCTTTTATAATAAATAATTATTTTTCTTTTTCTAATCAGATGTTAATAATCTTAATAATACATTTATTGGAAAATAGAGAAATTAAATTTTTATCACAATTTTTCAAAAAGCATTTGTAAACTCAAAAGCTTATTTTAATCAAACTTAAAAATTATTAGAATTAAATATTTAGCAAGTTAAATTGAATTACTTTATACAGTTATTGATGATTAATAATTTGTAGATTATAAATATTCAGAGTAAATTCTTAAATTTAGATTTAAAAAATGGCTAACATTTTCTTATAATATGTATAGATTACTAACATATTCATAATTATTTTGTGGCAGAGCATCATATAAAGGATTCTAAATTCAAAAAAATTAAATTATTATAAATATTATGAAATATATTTGCAATTAATTTTCATTTAAAGTAGTAATTAATTTTTAATTTAATATACAGAACAGACTTCTAAGAAACATTTCAACCTTATTCCAACAATTATCTAGTACTCAAGATAATAAATCCAACCCATATTTTACTAGAAGTATGATGCAGTAAGAAAACCTTTTATATATAAACAAAAAATCAGAATTTAAAAATTATTATTTAAATGTTTTACTATCAATAAATATGTCAAAATTATAACTTCAATTTTCAAGCCTGTGAGTTTCTTTATACAAATCTGCTTTATCCTAAATTGTCTTCTCCTAAGTTGCCTTATCCTGAATTGTCTTTTCTTATTTCTTCTTCTCTTCTTACTCTTTTTTCTCAATTTCAACCTTTTCTTTATATAAATCGACACCAAATAAATTAGTTCCTGCCTCAAAAATTCCTATCTCTAAGGCTTCTTTAAGTTTGCTATTTAACTTTTTGGTGATCTAAAATTATATTTTTGTTTGACCAAATGTTACAACCAGTATTAAACAGTCTATTATTACAAATATAATTCTCATCACAAAATATATTACAAAAAATATAAATAAGCCAACTATGTATATTATTTGCATTTATAACAATCCAACAGACATAAATAATCTAAACATCATCTGTCCATTTTCCTTTTAAAATACTTACAAGCAATTTTCAAACAGGCACTGTATCAAGAGTGTAAATTATAGTTTACCATAAGGTAATACAAAAACAAAAGTTAAAAGATCAAAAATGATTGCAATTATTCTTCCTACAAACACGAATATCATAACCAACATATACGGCAGAGAGCAACTCATTAAAAAGCATAATCCCATTTTGAAATAAAATTTATTTGTATTAATATTGATCAATTATTGATTTATCAATTTTTTATTCTATTTGCCTTTACAAATGCTTGTACAAAATTTTCTAAATAACCTAGTAAAGATAGATTTGATAATCAAATTTACAATCAAAAATAAATAAAATTCTAATTTTTTTTTATGTAAAATAGAAGCATTTTTAATTGATCTTTTTCTTATGATTTCCTCAATAAAATTGATATTTTGTAGAATCTATACTAAAATCTATTAGATAAACTGAGATTGGAATTCAATTTAATCTAAAAAAAATAAATAATATATTTGATTATTTGAATGAATTAGATATAGAGAAAAAAATTTAATAAAAAATTTGAATTGTTATAATTACTTGAAACAAAAAATCAACGGTTTTCTTTTTAAATTAAATTCTATCGGTGAGTAATAATAATAATCTCAAATTTCAGGTTTGTAAAGAATAAGAACTATATATTAATATGAAAATATGTAAAATTAATAGATTTCAATAATTATAATTGAATATTAAAATAGAACATCATGAATCATAATATTAATTTAAATTTCTCTAATCTTCATTTAATGTTTTAATATTTTTTTATTTTAATTATCTGAATAAATAACAAATGTAAAATAGTAAAGCTAAAAAAATAACTAGAAATATGATAATTAATGTTGTCATCCAAATGGGAACTTTCTGTTGAATCTAAAATAAGTTAAATAATTAAATACAATAGGGTCAATATCTTAGCATTCTTTTTAAAAATCATACTTTTAATTTAGGATTAATTATTTGAAAAGTTGATAAGAGCATTATTTTGAATCTGTATTGCATAAATTCATTTCTGTGCCATTATAGAGTATTTTAATGTAATGATCATGAGAGATATCATCTTACCATAATTCCCAAATAATATTTGAAGCAAATCCTGGATATGTATATATACAATTTTTGTTATTTACTTCTTGTCCTAAGTAAACTTAAGCCATACATTCAGCTGATGTAAAATTTAAAGCAGAAGCTATTAATTAGACATTTATATCATGAGCTGAATAAATTATGTATTTATATTGATTTTGTATCTATGATTGATTCAAAGCTGAATCAAAATAGGAGAGTAAAGATTCAAAAAAAGGTGATGAAAAAATGGATATCTATCTATTAAAATAATAAAATAGAATACTGCCATGTTTGATAAAGTTATAAAGCAATAGTCAGGGCATATAGAGAGTCAGCTTGTTTGAAAGTTGTTTAAGTAAGAGTAGATGGCATAGGATAATCGTTATATATACATGAATAAAATGTATCCATATATTCTGTAAGTGTAAATATATTGAATTCAAGTGGATCAATATTCATTTCATTACAAAATTATGTTAAAGTATTTTGAGCTTTTTGAATAACATTCATAGTTAAATTAGATTCCATATTTTAACTAAACATTTCATAACCTTTAGGACATATCAATATTGATAAAAGTCCTTCATCAGTAATAGCTTCTTTCATATGAATTGGTAATATCTAAAGGTTATAATGAATTGCAGATTGACCAATATCAGTTGGAGATTTAGCACCTGGATTTGGAGGAATCAAATAATTATCTGAAACATTAGGTATATTGGGTCCATTATTAGAATACATTCCTTATAAATTACTCATGGCACTCATGATTGTACGATTAACATCAGTTGAATAGACAACTATTTCTGAAGCATTATAGGTTTCATTTAGAAGTTTATAATCTTTAATATATCTCTTTTTCATCCATTGACCCAAGGAAAAATGTTATCTCATTCCTGTTGGAGTTAGTTCACCATTTAATAAATCATTTTACAAAAAATATTCACAATTCCAATTACAATTAACAGGTGTTCTTGATCCATGTCTCCATATAGCTTAAATAAACAATAATTTATCAGCATTTGACCATTCAAATAAAATAATTGACAATATTAGTGCAATTTTAATTTACATCTTAAAAATTAATTAATCAAATTTGCCAATTAAGATTATATTTCTAATATTAGTTATAAATATTTTCTATATTGTCTAAGTAATAATATTATTAAAATTATTTATATGATAAATTTTATTTAATTTTAGTATATACAGAGATTTTTATAAACAACACCTTAAATAATAAGGTTACATTCAGATTACACATTGTAATTAAAAAGAATATTAATTTAATTTATTTAGAAATTAATTTATTACTTAAATAAATAATTGATGTTTCTTTCAACATCTAAAATGACTTTTTCAAAATTTTACTATCATAATTGTCAAGTCTTTAACTCAAATATAAATTATTTGAGTTACAACTAGAAATTACTTTCAGATTTATGAAATCAAATTTAAAATAGAATTGATAAGTCTAAATTAGAGAACAAAGATATCTTAGAGAAGAGAATTAAAATAATTGAGGATTTTTTAGCATTAGAAACATCAAAGGATGAACAGAAATTGAAAATACTTACTAGATTATACTCATAAATAAAGTTCTGAAAGAGAGGTTCAAAAATAAAATACTTATTATAGACTTTTGATAATAAAAAAGAGTAAGATTTAAAATTTTTTCTGATAATATTGCATTTTCATTTGCGTAAGAAGATTATATTAGAAATCAATAAGAAACTAAACATTGATAATAAAAAGAAATTAACATTAATATGAAGATAAAAATTAAGTTAAAATTGCTAAAATTCTTCAATAAATTAAAATTTTGAAAAATGAAATGGTTTCAGAAAGAAAATCAGGGTTAATTATTAATTTTAGTATATAGGGGAAGAATTTGAGAAAGTTTGAATGATTAAAATAGATACTGAAATTAATAAATTTTTAGATTAATTATTTTAAGAAAAAAAAGTGAAAGAAGAAAGAGAAGGAAAAATATTCAGAATAATAGAAGTTGTATATAATAAAATATTTCAATTAAAAGAAGAGAAAAAAGAAGCTAATTCAGAAGTGTTATAATGATTAGAAGATGCTTGGATCAAAATAGAAAATAATTTTAGATATTGAAATAATTTTATTAATATCATATAGATTTTAATCTAGTAAGATATTTAGAAACTGTTATTTCATATTGTAATATACAATAGTGAAATTTTGCATGAATTATTTTTATTAATAATGATTCTATAATTGATGATAAATCATGCCTATTCCTATCCAACTTAGAGCTCAAGTTCTGCAATTCTTCTTTACAATCCAAGTAATTGTTATTGTAAGGCTGTTTTCTCTCCTTTCAGAGCAGTAATTTACTATTATAATCTAGAGTTTTCAGCTTTCTAATGAGCAAAATGTCTATTTATATTTAATTATATTTTACCTTTTCATTTCTTCTTCAATTCTCATAAGTTCATTCGTTAATGTTTTTTTAACATCTTAAGTTTTCATGCTCAAAACTGATTCAAGAGTATCCTTCTCTGATTTCAATATTTGAACTTCTTTTTTATGAAAATTCATCTCATCTTAGATGCCTTTAATAGTTTCCTAAAAGAATATAATATATCAGTTTCATTACCTCTAAACTCATTAATTTACCCTTTAATGATGCAGGATTTTAAGATCCTGCAAAACTTTAACCTGTCTATCCTAAATCATTTTATTTTGCAAGTGTATTTCCAGCTGACTTAAATGCATTGCTCATTGAAAATGTCACCTTTATATTTTTAAATTAAAATTATTATTAATTTATCAAATAACTTAACACAATATTAATATTCTAATTATACTTCAGTCTTCAATGATTTCATATCATTATAAATCACTTTTATTCTTTTTATAAAGTTTTATATAAGCTTTTTATATATTATTACTATCAAAATATTATCTCAAATTATAAATTTATAATCAATCATATATTATTTTTTTAATTTTGATGACTAATTAATCAAATATGATTTCTTTAACATAGATTTTATTTAATACTAATTAAATTTAGATCATTTTTTTTATTAACACATTTATTGCTTTAGAATAATTAATATTTAAAAATCAGTATTATTATTAAAATTATTAAAAAAAATGAGCTCTAATCCAAGTTCACCTCCAACTCCATATAAGAATGGATCTATTCTTTTAAATAGTTATACAATCAAAGATATTCTGAAATAGTCCCCTAACAAAAAAATTGACCTTTATGCAAAAATAATTGTAATTTTATTCGTTATTTTAGGCAATTTCAGAAGCATAATACTGTGATACAAAATATGGTCCCCAGTTTACCAAAAATATTTGTCTCTCAGATGGTTCTGATATCATTTGGGTAACAAGTATTGTAATTTGTTTTAGGCATCATTATAATAAAAACTTTTAAATCAGCATTAGAACGATTTTATTCTAGAAAATCAGATAGTATTAAGAAACATGATTATTGATGAATAAGAAGGAGTAATTTAATTAATTGATGATATTTGGACTTCAGTATAGACGCCAGAATCAGTGGAAATTAATTACTTCACTTTATGAAATTCTTTTATATTTTATATTTTATTTAGATACTTCACTTTATGATAATTATTTTTAACTGCTTCATTTTAATTTATCAATTAGAATTAATCTAAAGAATAATTCCAGTTTATAAACATTTAATACATCCTTATTGAGACATATAATTCCTTCTATAATCTTTAAATGTACAAATTTAATCTATAAAACTTAAAATATTTTATGATTCGTAAACATTAATATATTAATGAAAAAATTATTATATATAGCCATAGCCTTGGCTTGTGTTGTTGCATTAATTGCTTTTAATAGTGAAATTTAAGAATCTGTATTTAAGAGAGTAAAAAGACATGATGTTTGGGGACCAACATGCAGAAAGAAATGTGCTGATAATAAAGGTGAAATTTGTGGATGGGTTTCATAAGGATGTTGCACAATGGTAATATAATTAATAATTTTAGGAACGTTGCTCAACTGGATTTGGTGGATAAAAATGTGAGGATGGATATAAATTACATATTCCAGGATGTACAACATCTTGATTAGATTAATAATATTTCATTATAATATCCATATCATCATGTTACAAATTGATATCTAATATCAAAAAGTTATTCAATGAAGCTTTTTCATTTTTTTAAAGTTTGTTAAGCTGATTAAAAATAACATATTGAAACACAAAAATATAATTCAAAAATATCATTAATGGTATAAAGAAAAACTTATTAAAAGTTATAAAATCTTGATTTTTTAAAAGCCAATTTCTGCCTTATCTTCGAGATCATTATTTTAGAATATCTTTTTTATTATAATGTTAAATTTAAATTTCATTGATTTTAATTATAATCAATTGAATTTTCAGATTATTTAATCTCTTTTGAAAATGATAATTGATATTTATCTAGTATTTCACTTAATTAATAACATAATTAATCAGGATCATTTATCGAATCCACTCCCTTTAAATTATCAATTTAAATATCTGTTAGAATGCTTTAATTATTATATCCAGCTCTTAATAATGCCAAAACTATGAGTAATTAATATACTTTGCAATTAAATTATTCTAAATTTATATTTTCCTTATTCAATCTTATTTCCTTGTAATAAACATCTTGCAAAATCCTCAAGATTTATATATACACAAGTTCAATATTCTCTACAAGTTTAGATTAAGAACCATTTATTTCTCTAACCTCTTGGAGCGATTTCATCTAACCAATCAACTTTCTTAATTAATAGATTGCTTTACTAAATTTTTAGTCGTTTATAAAATTATCAAAAATTTAATCATCTAATTTTAACAATGAATCTCTGATATCTTTATACTCTTTAATATTTTGATTATTGTTGTTATTATCTTCAACTTCTTTTTTCAGTTAATTTCTCATCATATTGTACAATAAGCAGAAATATTCTAAATACTCTTGAAATTAAGCATTAAAAGAGTGATACTTGAACTCTTGTGGAATACTCAACATCAAATCAAGTAATTTTTCACTTATTTTTTAAACCAATATACATTAATTAAGTGTATTATTCCATTATTAAATTTATGTTGTTTCTTATTAGATTTTAGATTTTGATTTAGGTTTACCAATTTAAGATTTTTGTGGAGGGATTTTTTATTCGATAATTTGAAATTATTAATTCTGAGTATTTGATTAAATACTTTGGAAAAATTAATCTTAATAGGACTAACTTTACTATAAATTTTTTGATTAGAATTAATGAAATAATTGATTTTGATAGAAATTTAATCCTTAATTGTTGAACTAACCTTAATTTGATAGTTATTATTATTTAACAAAAGAATTCTCTAGAGAATAAAATTCTGAATTTTTTATAAGAGATTTTTCCAAAATTGATTAGAAATTTGTTGTCGAACTATAAAGTAATGGTTATTAATATAACTATTAAAATGTTAATCTATCTTCAACATTGTACTTAAGCATAGATGATACAATTTCTCTAAGAGTTTAATTTTGTATCATCTAATATTTTGCATTTTATTCTTGAATCAATTCAAATTATTATTTTCTATTTAATTTATCATAATAAGGATATTCGCCTGTAATCATTTAATATAAACAAACTCCCAAACTATAAATATCTGCTTCAAATGAATAGGGTTTCCTTTATAAAACTTCAGGAGCTAAAAGAAAATAAAATCATCTAAATACCCATATTAACTTCTGTTCCTGCATAAGTAACTGTGACTGTTTATTCTTGAAACTGTTTAGCTAAACCTAAATCAAGCAACTTATAAGAAGCATTTAAAAAAATATCTAGTTTTTGGATTTAATTGAGATTTTTAAGTTTATCTTAATCTTCTCCATTTATAATTACACCTATATTTTCTAATTTTAAGTCTCTATGAATGATTTTATTTGAGTGCAAATAATGTAACCCATTTACCAATTATTTAAAAATAACAATTACAAGCTCTTCAGGTAATTTATTTTAGAAATAAATTGCCATCATAGTTTTTACATCCATTTCACAATACTATAAACTTAAACAATAAAATTAACTTCTAAAACTAAAAATAATGCAGAATCTGTTTCTTAACTTTCATACAATTTGATAACATTATCATTATCGCTCTAATGTAATAATCGAATTTCATTTTTTAGATAAGGAATAATACATGATTTTACACCTAATAAATTAACAACCTAGAGATAAAAAGAATGAAATTACTTTAATAGCAACAAACTCTCCTTATTAATTTTGGCATTTAAATACCTTTGAAAAGGCTCCTTCACCTGTAATTTAAGGGTTCACATACCTTAAACTAAATTATTGTTGAATTAATTCTTTATATCCATTATTTTTCAACATAATTTGTAATAGAAAAAGATTAAAAAAATAATAATGTTTTTTAGAAAATTTACAGATAAATTAGTAATAAACAAGAGATATTGAATAAAAAATATTTTAAATCTAATTGATATAGAAAAAATAAATAAAATTAAAGAGTAATGTTCTAATGAATTTATTGAATAGATTATAACATATAAATAGATATAAGAATTGTACATGAGGATAAAGAATAAAAAATGGATATAGATTTATCTGTGTAGATATGAATTCTAATGCATTATAATAAGTTATAAATAAAAAAATAAATAATGTATAGAAAATAAATACAAATAAATTAATAAATAAGAATAGTCGTTTTTATTATTTAAAATAAATGAGAACAGGATTATTAATTTGCCTGATATTGGGAGTATTGAGTGTAGAACTCAATATGGAGAGACATTCAGAAGAAGTTTTGGCTAAATTAAGAGAATCTAAATGGGCATCGTTCATAGTTGACTTTGCAGAGGTGGAATTAGGAAGTGGAGGAGCCTTAACAGAATTGGTTGAAGCTATCAATTAATTGATTGATTAATTAGAAGAGGAATTAGATGATATCCATCATGCTTATTCTAGAAGAACAGATGAACATAATAGAGATGTAACAAGATATGAATAAGAAATCTAAGATGCTGATAGAGGTTAATATTTAAATAATATAATTAGATATTTTCAATGGAGAAGATTTCATTGATAATGTATTGATTCCATAAAAATAAAGATTCTAAGATGCTCTTGCTTAATTGAAAACCAACATTGAAGAAAATAGAAGAATTCTTGATTCAGAAACAGTAAATAGAAAGAGATAACATGAATAATTCTTATCAAATATAGCTGAAATAAATGAAGCTATAGGTGCTGTTGATGAATCATTAGGATTATTATCTTAAATAACAAATCCATCTCTTGTTCAATTTAAGAGAGTTTAAACAAATTTAGGAAGAATTTAAACTTCATTTTAAAATCATTCTTCATTTGCTCCTATCATTAAAGCTTTACTTGAATTAGCAACAGAATAAAACTTTGCTGATTAAGGATCAGTTGCATAATTGGTGAAGATATTTAATGAATTACGTGTTTAATTTGTCGATACATTAAATTAAGAAACAGCAGATGAAAGTGCAGCTGAAACTAAATTTGCTGAAAGAGTAGCTTAATTAGAAAAAGAATTTGCTGAATTCTAAAGAGCTGTTCTTATCAAGAATTCAGAACTTGCTGCAAATGAATGTAATATATATTATATTTAAATATTAGAAAAACTTGGAGAAACTATAGTGTATGTTGGATAAAGAAAAGATGATAGAGCAACACTCTAAGCATAATTATAAGCTGAAAATGATAATTATGCTGCTGAAACTGATCTTTATAACAGAACTGTTACAGAATACAACAAAGAAATTGACATTAGTAAATAAGCACTTGGTTTATTAACCTAACCAAGCTTTGAATAATATGTCAAATCTAAAGTTGGAATTTGATTCATATTAACACATTCAAATCATATATTAACAATCAATATTTTTACTACATACATCATTATCATTTTTATTAATGATTTTAAAGTTATTATTGTTAGTGTTATTATTCAGAAGTTGTTTTTTTCATCTCTTCAAATATATCAGGTCTTATTTAAACAGGTAAAGATGTTTCTAAACCTCCAAATAGTTTTTCATTCTCTTCTTCTTTCATAAAAATTGGCTACTATTATTACTGAATCGAATGAATTAAACTTGGATTCATATACAAAAAACTCATCATTGGAGTCTCAAATTTATACATTCTATTTAATTCTGGATCAGAAGAAGATTTCAATGATTCCTTCAACCAATTTTAAAAATCTTAATATTATTTTAAAGCTTCAGGATATTAATTTACTCTATATGAATCTGATCTTATAGAATCTTAAAAAAATGAAAATGGATCTATTATTTGAGGAAATTAAGATTATTGAATTTGAGAATGTTATAAAGAAGGAAATTGTGATTAAGAATATTAAATTTATTATTACTATTATTGAGATTATTGAGTTTAAAACTAAGTGTATGAAATTTATTAACATTATTATTCTGGTTATTACTTTTATTAGTTATTCTCCTCATTATTTCTTTTTTCTTTTTCTTCTATTTCTTCTTCCACCTTAAATGATTATTAAATTTTCTTAAATTTTCTTATTTTCTTCATTCCTTAACTCTATTTTATACCATCCTCCTCTAATACTCTTACTTTACTAGGTACAATATAATAAGGATTCTATATTTTCCCATATTATTTTCTTATAAAAGAATAAAATCTGTTTTTGATCATGTTTTCCTAAAAAATATTTTTTTATTTATTTTTACAGGTCTTCCTGGCATTTTTTTTGACATATCTGACCATCTAGTACCCATTTTCTAAAACATTTCCCAAATCTTTTTATCTTCTTACTTAGTCCAAGGTGTTCTTATTATATTTGAATCCAAATGATTTACATATCTCTCTCTTATTTATCTACCTGTTCTATTTGGTATCTCATTTGCTATCTATTTCCAATTAAATTAATATATTTTTGTAAGTCTTAATACTTCTTTATCTTCTTCCTCAGTCCATTTTTGATTTCTTTCATTCTAACCTTTATTTAAATCTTCTTACTTCTTTTGGCTTTATTCTTTTCCATCTTTATGCACATTAAGATGCATTTCTACCTGGAACAAACTCAGCAATCAACTTCCAGTTTGAACCATGTTTGAACACTGCTGCCTACAATTTATTATCTTCCTCTTCTTTCCAATACTTTCGACTTTGCAATTTTTGATCAGAATCTTATTCAATTACTTAATTATTTCCTCTTCTTTTCATTCTAATCATTATATTTGTTGTTAAGTCATACCTTATTCTTCAATGAATAACAATATAAATTAATTTGTGAAAGTAATTCAACAATATAATTCGAACTATAATACAAAAATTGTCACTCTTAAAACATGCTCTATAAACTACTTAATATACATTAATTGCTCTATTTTTATTACTTAAGTACCATTCTCATATAATACAAAAATAAATGATGGTAAATTTAAATTTCATAAATAAGAAACATTTTTATTGTTTAATTATATTAATATACTGAAACTTTAATAAAAAATACATATAAACAAAGAACTCAATTTTTAAAATTGATTTCTAAATATTACAAGCTTTTTTCACAAAATAAATGAAATAGTTTTCAAAATTTACAACAATCACATTTCCTTAAGAATCTATCATTTAAAAAAAAAAGTATTTGTTAATTATTTAAGAATTAATTTTATTTACTAATAGAAATATAAAGATCTTAGTTTATTTTTTTATAATTATTCTTCTCTGTATTTTTATTATTTATTGGTATCAAAATTTTATGTTAAAAATTAGTGAATTTTTTAAGAAAATCGTGAAAATAGTTTGTATTTGTATTTTGGAAATTTTTAAAGAAATTCATTTATTAATTTATTTATAAAATTGTCATTAATATTTTAATTATATTAAAAGAAAAGCAATCCAATCTAAATGTTTTTGTATTAAATTTTAAAATTCCTTATTTTTAAACAAAACAGATTCTAATGCAAAACAACCTGTATATTATTGAAAAAACTATTAAATTAAGAGAAAATAATTTATTTATAAAGCTCGAAATTATCAAAAGATAATCGAAAGAATCAAATAAATGTCGAAATTTGATATCTGTATCAAATAATTATTTTTCTTATATTTTTGCTGATCTTTTAAGAATATTTTGTCTTGATTTTTTTTTTATTAGGCGAACAATTTTATTCTAAATAATTTATTTCATCAACTTCCAACACAGTGATATCTTCAGAATTGATCATATTAGTTTGAAAGTGATTATTCAAATTCGTCAACTCTAACTCAAGATTTTGATTCTAAGTTTTATTTTATTCTGAATATGAAATATTTTTGATTTAAGATTGACTGAAACAATTTTGTTTCAAATTAGTCAAATCAAATTTAGTTTACACTTTCTTTGCTTGATTACTATCTTCTGATAAATCTAATCCAATTCTCTTTTGTAAATATGAACCATAAGGTGTACCATCTTCACATTGCTCAAAAACATCATCTAAATGATTGGATTGCAAATTCTGATTCCTCTTTCTTTAATTAGCGTTTAAAAATATTCTCTAATATTCCATAAATTATATTAATGTATGAATTTGAGCAGAATCAATTTACTATAAATTCAATATTTATTCTATTAATAGGATTACAGCCATTTCTAAAATTATCACAGAGATAATGTTTTAGGAAAGTTATTTGATTAAATTTTTTGGGTTAATTGGAAATAATATAATAATCTATAAAAGATTTCAATAAATATCAGGATCAACAATCATATTTTATATTTTGTAAGAGCTTTTCTTCTTTTCAACAAGCCTGCTCTTTACGCAAGGATAAATGAAAAAAATATAATGCTGTTTGACTATAGCCTTCAGGAGTATGGACTAAAATTGAATAAAACATATTCATTTATAGATATCCTTCATTCATAGTTTTAATTTTTTAGGGTTTGTTAAATATTCATTATTCTATATATTCAACTTTTGTGATCTTTTTAGCTTTATTACATCAATAATAAATAGACATAAAATCTAAAATCTGAATTTAAAATTGCTTAAAATATTTTTATATATTCTAAATTATCAATCAAAACGAAAGCTATAACAATTAAAGATGTTTAAAGTTAAGCCTATTTTCGATTCATCTCTTACAAGCTTTTCTTTAAAAAAAAAATATCTTTACAAGGAGTATTTTAAACTTCTTTAAGAAAAGATTTCTATATATTCATCCTTAACAGTTTTAATAAAAAATCTAATTAATTTTTTTAGTAATAGACCTCTTTTTAAATATATTTGACAAAAATTGTGTTGGACTTAATTTTTTTTAGGTTTAATAGTGACAGCAATTACTTTACGAATAATCATTATAATGTAATAAGCTATTAGATATTTTATCTTAAATCTGATCAATAAAAAAAAAAATTTTTTAATTTGGTTTCTAAGTGAGAAATAATGCTAGTTCTCTCTTATATCATTTAATTTTTCTTTATCTCCATTTTTTTAAAATATATTTTATTTATTCTTTTCTAATTTTTTATTAGAAAATTTCTTTGTTTAATTAATTGATATCTATCATCATTTCTATATTTTATTGATGATTTTATAGGCTAGTGAAATAACTTATTAGCCTAAAATTTTTAAAGACAACTTACTCTTTCTTTCAGATATTTTCATAATGGTGAATTTTTTAAAACTTATTTATTTATTTTTCTTCTATCAAAAAATATTACTATTTTGTCTAATTTTTTATTTTACAACTTCTCATTTAATTATTCATGTTTAATCAGGATCCGATAGTTTGTTTGCTTATTTGATTTTTTATTTAGCTCAATTTTCAATTTATAAATATTAGGATTCCAAAAAATACTATTAATTTCAGATTGTATCATTACCCTCTATTATTATAGTAATTTCTATTATTTTTGGAAAATTCTGATAATATTTCTATCATAACATACTAGTATTTAAATTCGTTTTTTTATTTAAGTTAAGCAGCATATTCTATTGTTTTAAATTTTAAATGTACAAATATCAATTACATTTAGATGATACAGATTTGGTTTTACTATATGAATGATTTAAAGCTATCCATGAGTAATTATAATTGTATTTCAGGTTTCTTATTTAGGCTGTAAAGACTTCTTCTAAAAATACCTAATTAACTTATTGGTAATGTCTATTTTTGAAATTTAACGAGTTAATTTACTAAAATTAGGTTATTATCATTAACACCTAATTCTTAATCAATAGAATATAAGAAACAAAAAACAAGCACAATTTTTTTATTTATTTAGAGGGGCTCACATGTTTAGTAAATTTATATAAAATGGATGATAAATTGGGAATATTTTGAGGCGAGATTTAGATTTTTATCATTTATGATTTGTTTTTTTTTCTTTATAATAGTGAATGCACATAAATGGCCATATTTGCCAGTCATTAGCTACTATAATGTATTAGTATTGACTATATAGATTGCTTTTATGTTGGAAGCAGAGATTCACAACACTTAGTTGTATTTTATCATCGATACAGGTTCAAGTGTAACGATGATTGAATCTCATTATAATCAATCTCAAACATTTGAAAACCTAAACTAAACTTATGATTAGTAATATGACTTAGGTAAATGCAAAGGTGTATTTGGAATGGATCGACTAATCCTATCAAAATAGTTGTACATTCCTAAATTTACTATGGCATATGGAACGTGTTAGAAAATGCCAGTAGTCTAATTAATATTATTAGTTCTTTGATGAGTACATAGGTTTGATGGGTTTGTCCAACAGATTTCAAGTGAAACATGTTTTCGAAGATGAATAATTTCATAGTTCAATCTTTGGACTAGAGTTTAGAAAAAACAATGAGTCAAGACTCTATTACAATATCACAAACATTGAAGGGAAAGTCACTTGGCATTAATTAAATGTAGATCATAGATGGATGATTAATATGCTGGGTGTTTATGTTGATGAAGATGACGTGACTGATATTTTTACAGGAAGTGCTTTTTTAGATAGTGGATATAGTTGCTTAATTCTAACTAAAAGTAAATCATTATTCAATATAATTAGATTAATTTGAATACATATGGGAAAAGTATTTCAAATCTCTTTGTAAAATAATCGATAAATCCATATATTGCGATTGCAACTATAAGGATTTTCCAGATTTCACAATCTATTTTGAAGGTGCCAAAATCAGCATCTAATCTTCAAATTACTTTCCTTATTCATATAGTAATATATTTTTAATTCATTTAAGATGAACAACTTTGTAAATTATGTATTAGTCAACATAGCAGGGATTATTTAATCCTTGGATTGCCATTTATAATGTCTACAACTGTGTTATTCGATAAAACTAATCAAAAAATTGGTTTAGTTGAGTAAGAATAACTTTTATCATTAGTTCATTTGACATTAATTAAATATCTCCAATTTATTTTCATCTCCAACTAATTTTGGCTGGGACTTTAACAATAGTGATAATTTTTTATGCATCACAGAGGGAAAGAACTTTTGTTAAAATTGAGATTGAATTAAGAAATTTGAGATATTTGTGATTCTCATAAATGTTTATAGGTTTATAAATCAGTAAATAATAATTCAATTTTTTTTTGAATAACTTTATATTCTCTAGGCCAAAGCAGAATTCCCTTTGAACTGTTCAACAAGTTTCTAAATGATATCACTATTTTGATGACCACTATTATTATTTTGATTTGTAGCATGATGAGAAGAACCGTTATCTACACTAAAATAAATTTATAATAATATAAATTAACTACCTAAATTCTGAAGTCTTGTTATAAAATTGTTGTTTAGTATCCTATTATGATTATTTTTTCTAAGCATTCGAACCATTATTAGAATTTCTATTTATTGTTTAAAATTACTTTGGAGAATTTAAAAATTTCAATGTAGGTGAGGGATTATGAGATCTACTTTAAGGGGAATTTTAGGATTTAAATGTTTTTCTATTATTATTTTAACATTGTTACTTGATTCCTTCTTATCTTTACTTAAGGGATTCTTTAATAATTTTTAAATCTACCATAGAATTAGTTTGCAAAGAACGAACAAATTATGATTATTTTCTAAGTGTATCAGTTTATGATAAATTATCTAATTAAAAAAATAAAGTTTACTTAACTTAGATTATAATTCATTGATAATTTGATCTTTTGAAGACAATTAATTTTATAATTTAATTGTTAATTCATTTAATTCTAATTTTTCTTATTTAACTCCTAAAATTTATAAATTGAGTTCATTTATTTTTTAATCCACTGATTAATCCATTGGTTTTCTACTCATAAATTGTTCATAATCAAAATAAATTTTGGATAATTATCCTCTTAGTAATTTGATTTCTCCTAATTCAGCTTTTAGAGAAGATATTAAAGTTCGATGTTCATCCATTTTTTCTTCTTCATCCATATTAAGAATCATTTTGATTTTGTTTTGTAAAATTTAAATCAAATCAAATAAGTCTTTTTTATTAAGCTCTAGAGATTGATCAATTAGTTTTAAGATTTGTACAATTTTTAAATGAACGCTTTCATATTATGCCTAAGTCATACACTATTCTTTTTAATTTTTTGCATTCATTTCAGTGAAGGATTAGGATAATGATACGTGATAAGGTTATTTAATTGATTGTTATTAATTGATGTATGATTATTACAACGTTATTTAAGATTTGGATAATTACTATTATGGTTATAATTGATCTTAAGATTGCTATTATTTAAGCATAGTGATTTAGAATTTAGCATTATTTAGATCATTCTTGAATTAGAGAATCTATTTCTTATAAAATTCTTCTTTGTCATATAATTATTCATTCAATGTAGTAATTTTATATTCTGTTTCAAGTTAAAGTTCTATTTGTTTAACTTTTTCTTGATTGCATTTTTTTTTGAGTATATAATTCTCTTTTTCCAACTCTTTGATTTTAACATCCATCATAACAATTTATTCTTTATACTAAAAATATTTTATAAATCTTACGTCTTCTTTCTACTTGCTATTTTCAAGTTCAAGACGAGTAATTAAGTCTTTGTCGAAAGATTTTTTACTGAACTTAAGTTGTTAACTATTGACCATACTCATATTATCTAAATTAAAATCTTAACTTAAAGGTTTGGATTGCTTATTAAATGATAGATTAAGATTACATTTTATAATTGGCTAGGTGTTTATTCTTCTGGTATTTCAGAAAGAGGATTTTAAAAAGCTGACTTTGAATAGAGCATATCATCATCATCTTAATTCATACCCATAATTTAGGAATGCGTTAAGAATGGTACTCTTGGGGATGAAACATCTATTTAAGTTTTTGGAGTGGTTTCTGTATGAATTTCTTGGTCTTCTGGTTCCAGATGTTCAATGTTCCTTATGGCAGTTTTAGGAGTGTCTTTTTATTATTAAATATTGCAAGATGGAAAAGACACTCGATAAGGTATGTTGATGTCTAGTTCTCTTTTTATATGTAGAGGAGATTGTTCTTCTTCGTAAATCATCTCCATTTAATCCATTTATTAATTTACAAAATAAAGAAATAATATATTAGTATAACTAAGAGTTTCTTCGAACATATATTTTATCATACATTTTAATTCTTTTTCCATATAGAGCTTATTATCTAAAAGAATCCTTTAAAAATAAGTTATAAATAAAGAATTAATTAAAATTCTAATGGGAGCTAATCAAAGTAATCAACAACCATAACAAGAAAGACAACGAACTAGAAAGAGAGATATATTAATGGGCTTATGTATGAGTTAACTGCAACCAAAAGATGCATAAGCTCCTGGCAGATTGTAGAAAAGTCTTTCTGAGAATATGAAATGTCAAACACAAGACATATTAACGTAATTTATATGTTTCTATTATTTAGGAAGATGTGTGATGAGGAAATGCCAAAGTATTCAATTAAAATATTACAGTACTTTTTAAATTTCCTAACAATAAAGGAGTGTATTCAACTTAAACTGGTTAATAGAAAATTGAAATTCATGGTTGAAATGAGTAGTAATATTTTCTCAAACTTTCTCAGTCAATATTATTTGAGAAAATTGTAGCTACACTGTTTTGTAGAATATGGATTTCATAAAGGTTTTCTATCTGTTTTCTCTGAACAATTATTGAATATTGAGACAAATTAGGATGAATCGTGGATTCGAATTTATGGCAATTTTCATAATAGCATGTACTTTATTTTTATACAATTCCATAGATCCTAATTGAGAAGAATTGAATAATAAATATCATTCCAATACAAAATTGATTACTCTATAACTGATAAAGTTATAGAAATCTGCAGAAATCCCTCATTTCCCATTCCTATTTTAACTGATGATGTTCTAAAACACTCAACAACTAGCTGGTTTTAATTAGAAATAGCTCAAAAAACAACTGATTATAGTGCAGTTGAAAAAATACCTCTCTTGGATTAATTGACTGATAAATTGTATGAAGATTGTGAAGCTACTTTCAATTAAGATAATTTAAAACACACTTAATTATTGTTTGAATTAAGATGGATTATAATTGATAACTTTATTAAAGATCCTAGTGCTTTGGATTAAGATAATGTTCCAATATTATTGAAACTTTTGGCTTAAATTCTTCATTTTATTTATTAAAGATGCATTTTTAGTAGAAATGTCTTGATGATCATTAAATAAAATAAAATGCCAGCTTTATTTTTAAATATGTATACTGTATTATGGGAATCTTATATTGGAATTGTTTGGGCATTAAATAGATCACTTAAAAAAATGTATAACAAATTGGATTAACTTTTTAATAAATATTATACAACTACATTTCCTTAAATTACATTTACTAGTGCATTAGTTAGATTATGGACATAAATCGTTATCAAGGGAACTAAAAATATTGAAAATGATCCTATTGAAAATGAATTAGTCTTATCATTTGATACAATACTCAAAAATAAAAGATCACTTTTATTTGAGTATTATACCAAAGATCAAATGAATAATTAAAAATAATACATAAATCATACTATTAATGACGATTATTTTAAATACTGTTCAAGTGCAGTAGATAGTCTATTAAATAAATTTACCTCAAATATTCTAGATTTATCTCTACATGAATAAAGCATTCATTGGATTGGACACTCTTAAGTTAAAGTTGGATAACTCTATGGATAAATCTTAGAAATAGTTGTCAAGTAAACTAATGATCTTTACAACTAAGCATCAATCCAGTTTTCTACAAATTTTACTATCTTTAAAGATTATATTTTAGGTATTCAATATCATTAAAATTATAGCTGAAACTAGATATATGTAAGGAATTATGAATTAATGGACAGTCCAAGTTTGCATCCTACCTATTGGAATAAATTATTTGTATGAAAAAATTAAAATCAATCTCAGACAACATGTTTTATCTTGCTAATTAAACTCTTGCATTGATGAGGAAAGAAATTTTGAAGCTAATATCTTGGAATCTTAAATTATCCCTTCCAATCTTTAATTTATCCAATTTAATGAGCAAGACGAATTATCATCTAGAATAGTGAAAGAGGATTCTATTCTAGAAAGCTTTATTTGCTAAATTTTGAAAGAAGAGAAAATTTAACCCATAGAGGATTCTCGAATTGTATAATCTAATCAACCAATATAATAATCGATCTTATAACAATAGAGCAGTAATATTCCAAAAATATCCTCAACTAAATTACAGAGTATTGTTGAAGGAGATTACAGTAAACTTAGAATGCTTTCAACTTTCTCAGCAAGTACAAGAGTTAGTTAAATTACATAAATTACCAGTGTTATAAGTTAACAGATTCTTTCATCCATGAAATCAAACTTAAATATGTTTTAAGTCAAAGATATTAAAAATAAGTTAGAAAATAATTAATGGGCTGCGTTTTTAAAGGATATCCATATCTTAGAAATACAAAATAACATTATTATTGATAAGAGAAATAATCAAATTTAAATGAGAAATTTCATTAGATAAATCCCTCAAGATTTAGAAGAGTCCTTTAATAATATAATTGACTTTACAAAGATTTGGAATTTGTTAGATACTTCAAACCTATATTTATCTAAAGAAGAACTAAACAATTTTGAATATAATAAACAATTTCTTTAAAGGGAATTTTGTGAAATCGAATTTGGAAATGGATTATTTGCCTCATATTTCTAATAAATATGAGTTTCTATAATAGAGCTGATTGTTTATTTAGTAATTCATTATTTAATTATTATTTATGTTTCTACCTTGATTTATTTTTCAACTTAATTTTAATTTCTTGTTTAATGATATTCTCCATCCAAGTATTGTGCTTAAATCCATAGAATATGTTCTTTTTATATACTTTCTTTTATTGTTGTGGACTTTTGTTATTAAATGAAACATGAAATTGATTCAAAAGATTTAAAGTTATTTAGTCCCTACATCTTAATCCAAAATAAAAAGTAATTATCACATATGTTATTCTATGTCCTTTCATTCTTTATTAATTATCAATTTAATATTTAATTTTGCACTAATTTATGATAATGTGGTTTATACATAGATAGTGGCGATTGATTGATTGTTTTGTAGACTATTAATATTTATATTGGAATTTAAGGGCCTAAATATATGAATAGATGCATCTTTAACTGATATAATTTAAGTAGATTTTGAACGTCATAGAAGCTTTCATTATGATTGATTTGATACTAAAATAAACCTTTAAGGTAGTTCAAACACAAAGCAATAACAATTTGGATGGTATTATAATTTGTAGCTTTTTGGAATGATTTCAAGATTCAGTTATTTGAGTTAATTTTTGGTCTTTAATGATTTGGAGAGCACAACAAGAGACTAGTGATGGCCTTATTAATTTTGGTTGTTCAAATATTTGATTGCTTTTGCAACAGGATTTTCAATTGAGATCACGAGTATGTTGACTCAATTAGATGAGGGTGATGAAAAGATTCCCTAAATTCAATGTATCAAAAATATTTTGATAAAATTTAAATATATTTCTTTTTTTTATACGTAAGAGACATTACTTTAGAATTTTGTATTAGATAAAAAGAAGAAGAAATTAAAAGAAAATCAAGAAATTTTGAATGGACGTAAATTAATCAATATATATTATTATATTAATATGAGATAACAATAATCAAATAAATCCTTTAATATCCCAAATGCTTCATTTTACATTTCGATTGCATCTATGATTGCTATTGAATTATATTCTCTCTATCGATTTTCGATCATTTGTAAATCAAATAAGGTTAAAGGAACTACAGAAGGTTTATGAATCTAATTAATATTTAGGCTTTTTTGGAATTTTAAGAGATCATTCAGACCCATAATGGGGAGAATTTGCTGGACATTTGGCGGAAATATTGGCTTTTCAAGTAATTTTTTTGATTGGCTCATATACTGTTAAATATTATAGCAAGTTGGAAAATAAATAAAGAAACTTATAATACTATAACATTTTTCTTGGAATGATTTATGCTTTCTATTTACATAGCTTTGGGATGGTCTTTTAATTAATGATAATCATAGGTTATTATTTATTTTAAAAAGTAAAGAAATTCTTAACTATAAATTAGATATTTTATAAAATGAAATATTTTATTCCTATTTTGTGGATTCTAGCGTTAATGACTCTCTGGTCAAATGAAAAATTTTCAGGATATTCATTCATAATGCTATCTCCATAGTTAAAATTCTTAGAAGATTATAAAAATAATAGTCAATTAGTAAGATGGAACATTGTATTTAATATGATTTTATTGAGGATTATCAGTTTTTCTGTAGATAGAGTTTGGGCTTCTTAATAGAATGCTAGATACAAGTAATTTATTGATAATACATAAAGATATGATTTAATTCACAAAAAACAATCATTTAAAACATATCGAGACAGAGTACAAGAACCTCAACCTATAGATGAATATAACTTTTTAGGTTATCTTAGCTTTTTATTTTATGTTCCTTTGCTTTTTTCAGGGCCATCAATGGGCTACAATGCATTTAATTCTTAATTAAAAATCCCACAATAGCAAATGAATAGTGCATAAGTCCTAAAATATATTTTAAGAGTTTATTTTGTTGATTTGTTAACTTTTGAAATTTTTTTACACATTTGCTATCCTAACGCTCTTCCAAAAATCCGTGGTAATTTTGAAATTTTGAAAACCTTTTCAGCTTTTGAATTTCATGTTATGGGTTTCACAAATCTCATATTTTTATGGTACAAATTTCTCACAATTTGGAGAATAGCCAGAGGATGGGCGTTACTTGATGGTATTCTATGTTCTAAAATAGGAATTGAAACACCTGAAAATATGAACAGATGCATCTATAACAATTATAATTTCAGCGGTTTTTGGAGATCTTGGCATAGAAGTTTCAACTAATGGCTAATTAGATATATATATGTACCTTTAGGGGGATCTAAATATAAATCTTTTAATATGTGGGCTATTTTTACATTTGTTGCTTTATGGCATGATTTTAAATTGGATCTTTTACTTTGGGCTTGGATCATTTGTTTAGCACTTATTCCTGAGATTGCTTTGTAAAAATATTTTGACAAAGAATTCTTCTATAAAAAACCATGGTTTTTATGGTTGTGTAGATTAGGGGGAGGATTCTAAATTGAAATGATGTGCTTAGCTAATCTTATAGGATTTGGTAATGGTCACGAAGGGATGGATGTTATCCTTTAAAAATTTATGAGTTGGGAAGGTTTGTTGTGCTTCTTATTCTATTGTGTTATTAGAAATGGATTTGCAACAACTATACAATTTAGGATAAGGGATGATGAAAAAGCAGAGTCAAATGAAAAAAACTTTTGATAAGTTTTTTATTATTTAAATAGATTCNAAAACATATCGAGACAGAGTACAAGAACCTCAACCTATAGATGAATATAACTTTTTAGGTTATCTTAGCTTTTTATTTTATGTTCCTTTGCTTTTTTCAGGGCCATCAATGGGCTACAATGCATTTAATTCTTAATTAAAAATCCCACAATAGCAAATGAATAGTGCATAAGTCCTAAAATATATTTTAAGAGTTTATTTTGTTGATTTGTTAACTTTTGAAATTTTTTTACACATTTGCTATCCTAACGCTCTTCCAAAAATCCGTGGTAATTTTGAAATTTTGAAAACCTTTTCAGCTTTTGAATTTCATGTTATGGGTTTCACAAATCTCATATTTTTATGGTACAAATTTCTCACAATTTGGAGAATAGCCAGAGGATGGGCGTTACTTGATGGTATTCTATGTTCTAAAATAGGAATTGAAACACCTGAAAATATGAACAGATGCATCTATAACAATTATAATTTCAGCGGTTTTTGGAGATCTTGGCATAGAAGTTTCAACTAATGGCTAATTAGATATATATATGTACCTTTAGGGGGATCTAAATATAAATCTTTTAATATGTGGGCTATTTTTACATTTGTTGCTTTATGGCATGATTTTAAATTGGATCTTTTACTTTGGGCTTGGATCATTTGTTTAGCACTTATTCCTGAGATTGCTTTGTAAAAATATTTTGACAAAGAATTCTTCTATAAAAAACCATGGTTTTTATGGTTGTGTAGATTAGGGGGAGGATTCTAAATTGAAATGATGTGCTTAGCTAATCTTATAGGATTTGGTAATGGTCACGAAGGGATGGATGTTATCCTTTAAAAATTTATGAGTTGGGAAGGTTTGTTGTGCTTCTTATTCTATTGTGTTATTAGAAATGGATTTGCAACAACTATACAATTTAGGATAAGGGATGATGAAAAAGCAGAGTCAAATGAAAAAAACTTTTGATAAGTTTTTTATTATTTAAATAGATTCTTATTATCTAATTATCTAAAAAATTGCTATTTAATTACTTCATTTTGGCCTGTTCTAAAAACCTTTTTTCATATTTAAAAAATAATTTACAATATTTTATGTCACTCTTCAATTAATTTTATGTAAATTTTATACCTTTTTTGTTTATTTGTAAACTTTAAAATGTGCCTCATGTTTTAGCTTATATAATTAAAATTATAAATTCATTATAAAATATTTAATTTTACTTGTGGCATCGAAATTCATAATTTTCTAAGATGCAAAAATCAATTGTGTCTGCCCTGTTTCAAGTACCCCAATTTACAGATTTCGAATCGAAAAACCAATTTTATTCGAGTTCTAAATGCCTTAACTACATCGAAATTCGATTTGATAATTGAGTCTTCAAATCCAAAAATTCAAAAAAATACAAATGCGTAGTTATTCTTCAATTTTAGATAATAATATTCATCTAAACGAAAGCCTAATCATTATCTTCTGTTTTTGGAATATGATAATCCTTTAGCCCTTAATTTAAATTATTAGCTGCCTTAATAGAAAATTTAATATTTTCATCTATTTGATTTGGTATCTATAATACTCGTTGTACATTGTAATAATTTTTTTGTTCTTATATACTTTAAATATAATATTTCCAACATCCCTTCCACAATTATCTTTTAAGTATTTATTCATAACAGTCTTTTACTCCAAAATATGGTAGTGATCCAAATAAGTCCAAAAACAATCTTAATTGTTTTTCTCCTTCATATTTGTTTATTATTGATTTTTTCAACATTCATAAATTTGGTGACAGGTAATTAAAGTATGTTAGTTTGACTATTTGATTCATTGAAAATAGTTTCTCCAGTGTTCTTAATCTATAAGCTGTTTGATTATATGATCTAATTAATTTTTTTAATGTTATATTACTGAACCAGTGTTTAGCTATATTCCTAAATATTTTATGTTTTTAATCTCTTACACCATTTATATTTTTTTTGCATTATCAGGTTAATTATAGCTCAAAACTTCAAAACTTTATTGTTATTGATTTTTCCTCAAATCTATATTCCACTTCATTTTCCAAATAACATTATCTACCTTTTGTAAATTATATCATTTAAGCTTCTTTGTATGATTGTTCAATAATCTTAATTAGATCTAGATACTTCCATGTATACATATCTTTTCCATTCTCCTTTCTTCTAGATTGGGGTTCTATCTGATTTCGGTTTATTTTAACCTTTTTATTGGGTTTTTATTCATGATCTATCTTTTCTAATATTATAATTAGGAGATCTTTCCCTATCCTTTAATGTTAATGAAATTCAGTTTCAAGATGAATGAATCTAAGAATTATCTAACATTTTTTTGTTGTATTTTTAAATCTTAACCAAATGCTGATTATTCTTCATTAATTCCAACTTAACCTTTATAACCCGCAGTGGATTATTTCTTAGACCTCTTCCAAGTATCTATCCAATCTCTTAGGTATTTTTATATGTTATTTAATAGAACTTATTTATTTCTTTTATTAAATCTCCTTTTCTTTTAATATACTCATCTATTAATAATGTAAAGAAAAGCTTAATCTCGCCATCTAATTCCTGCAATTTTCTTGTGAATCTACACCGTTATATGCTTAATCATCTTACCCAATCATAATCATATAATGTTATTTTGCAATAAGATTAAATCTACTAATTCTTTAGAGATTAATATAAATGAAAATAATATTATTAATTTCAAAAAAAAATTTTTCACTAAAATTTTTTATAAAAGTTGAAATATTTAGAATCAAAAAATCAAGCAATTTTTTTATGTTTATTTTTTCGTTTGCTCAAATTTGTCTACCTTAACTTATTGCAAAATATCTACTATTTATTGTCTAAATTCTTTTTAACTAGTTATTATTTCTTAGCTATTCTTTTCAAGATGCTATAAAACTATAAAAGAATCTTCAATCCCTTTTAACCAATAATAATTTTCAGCAAAAGGTATTTTCTCTTTTTCAATCTTAGATATTTAACTAACAATTTCTGAATACTATGAGTTTAATTTTTATGAAAATTCATCATGCTTATAGGCCATTTCTATTGCTGCAAATTATAATTCAGTATCTAATTATTTTTAGTTTGGAGCCTTGACATGTAAAATACTTACAATATTATTAATTTTTTCTTTAAACTTTTAATTTTTATATTCCTCCAAACCAATATCAAAAATATTACAAAAAATATTAAAACCTGTCCCTATCACAGGTATTGATCCAAATATTTTTGATAAAGCCATCATTGATTTTGTAAAAATTTAGGAAACCTTTTCAATAAATGTTTCAACAACAACCTCATTATTAACTTGAAATAATTCAGTAGAAATTTATTGGCAAGCTGATAAATAAGACCCTAAGCGAAAACAAAATGAATTAAAGTAGTAGTTGTACTATTAATTTTCAGGTAATTTGATTTCTTAAATCTTAAGATCCAATTTAATCGCATCTAATTTATAGAGTTATTCAACCCATTGTGTTAATTAAACTATCTGCTTTTTTTAATCCTTTTTATTTCTACAATTTTGGATTAATTTTGCAAGATATTAAGAATTTCTGAGTGAATGAATAGAAAATTCCTCATCCTCAAAGTTAATTTAAACAGATTGCTCTAAAGATAAAGAGGATTACTAATTTAAATTCTAGTACCTTTCTTAAATTTCCTAAAGTAATTCTATCTTTTTTTTTATATAGTAATAATTATCAATAGATAATTTAAATTAGGTTAAAAGTTTTATTTTATCGAAATTTTATATAGTCTCCCTAGCTTTTGTTAAACTTTTTTATGCTTCATCATCATCAAAAAGCGAAATTAATATACTAGCAGATTAAACTTAATATAATGGATTTTTAGGGTGTATTTCTAAACACTTTTTTATGTCTGAGAGGGCAAATTGAAATTATTGCAAAAATTCGTGGAGAAGACCTAATTAATATATTTTAATCTACATCGACTGTAAAATGCTTAATCAAATTATGAATTTAATAAGATTGCTTAACTGTAATCATTTATAGCATTTTCATATTAGTTCAATTTTTCAAATAAATTTCCTTTATCTAATATTGAAATACCTCTATTAAAGTAAATATTTTCATTTTTTGGATTCAATTTTAGAGCATTATTGTAGTCTGCCATTGCTTCGTCATCTTTATTAAGAGTTTCGAATAAATTCCCTATTGTTATATTTTACATTCTTACCTCTATTTCCAAGAGTCTCAATATCAATTGGATTTAATTTGAGCACTTGATTGAAGTCTTCCATGGCTTCGTCGTAATAATTCATTTAATAATTTAATAATCCTAATGTAAAATCTAATTGTGACCTCGATTTCCCAAAGCGTTTAAATGCTTAGAATTTAATTCTAATACTTTATCATAATCAGCTAAAGCTTTTTCTTATTAATCTAATTATTAAAACAATAATCCTAATAATACGTTCTTTTGAAACCTCGATTATATAAGCCATCAATTTGTTTAGGCTAAAATATAAGCACTTTGTTATAATCATCTAATGATTGTTCATATAGTTGCATTTTTTGAAGTAGAATTCCTAAATATCTCCTAAAATTAACCTCGGTTTATCAATGTTTGAACATCATTCGGTTAAATTTTAAGGGACTCGTTATAATCTTGCAAAGCTTTTTAAAAATGATTCATCAATTATAATAAATTTCCTACTTTTTAAAATCAATATGTACCTCTATTAAAATAAATATTAGCATTGTTTGGTTCCAATTCCTGGGCTCGATTATAATCAATTATTCCTTTTTCCAATTAATTCATCTTATAAAATAATAATCCTTTATATTCATAATCTGAATACCCCTATTGCACAAACCACAAACATTATTTGGATCTCTTTCCAATGCTTCATTAAAATCAGCCATAGCTTTTTCATTTTAATTAATTTATTGATTTAACTTTCCTATTATTAAAACATAAGAGATATACCTCTCTTTATAAAAATATTTACATCATCAGGTGTTAATTCAAGTGCAATATCACAATAAGCCATTTCAATATCAGTTTAGCTTAAGGCATCAAAGAGTTATCCTTTTCTTTTAATAAAATGTACCTTAACATCCTAAAACATCAACTTTTTATGGGTGCAATTCGAGAGCTTTATTGTAGAAAACTTAAGCAATTTCATATTAATTCATATTTTCAAATAGTTTTTCTAATTTATTATATCTATTTAAACCAAATTTATTTGCTTCGTTAGGGTTCAATTCCAGTGCTTTTTTATAGAAAACTAATGATTTCTCAGATTGGTTCATGCTATCAAACAATACTTCTATTATATTTAGATTAAAATTTACCTCTATTATTTAAAGTTTCAACGTCATTAGGATATAACTCTAACGCTCTGTTGTAATCAGCCATTGCTTTTTCATATTGCTTCATCGAAAAAAACAAATATCCTAATATTTAATCAACATAGAACCTCTATTATTCAGAATTCTGAGATTTGTTGGTTCTATTTCAAGTGCTCTATTATAATCGATTAGAGCTGTTTAATCTTTTTTTAAAATTTAAAACAATAGTCCTAAAATTAGAGGTTTGCATACCTCTATTAAACAAAGAATTTATGTGATTTGGATCTAAGTCTAGCGCCTTATTGTAATCACTAATGGCTTTGTCATATTAATTTCTAAGCTAAAATAAAGTCCCTGTCTCAAATAATTGATAATTTACCTCTATTTATTAAAGTATTGATGTGATTAGAATCAAATTTAAGTACTTGATTATAATCATTCATTGCTTCCTCATATTTAAGAAGTTTAATTAATAAATTGCCTAAGAATTTAATATGGATAAACCTCGATTATACAAAATATCAATGTGATAAGGTTTAATTTTAAGAGCACGATTATAATCAGACATAGCTTCTTCCAAATAATTTATTTTTTGATAAACATTACCTTTTTAAATATAAAATACTACCTCTATTAACCAAAATTTAAACATTATTAGGGTTTTACTCTAATACCTACTTGTAGTCTAATATTGCTTTTTCATTTAGTTAAATTTCAGCAAATATATTCCCTTAATGTGAATAAATTTATATACCTCTAGCTATTAAAGTAGAGATTGAATTTGGCTCAAATTCTAATGCGGTATTGTAATCTTAAATTGCTTTCTCATATTTATTCTGCTTCTTAAATAAATTTCCTGCCATAAAAATTTGATTACCTCTCTCTTCTAATAAAATTGAGAGGCTGCTATTAATTTTTATTGCTTCATCAAAATCATGTTGTGCTTCTTAAATTTTGTTGATATCACTAAATAAAATCCCTAATAACAACAACGTTTATATCTACCCCTCTAGAAAAATGCAAAAAATTAATTCTTATCAACATTTATATCATATTCTTCTATAACCTCTTAAAATTTTTCTGCTTTGATCATTTTTTCTACTAATTTTTCTTAATTTTTCATTAATAACTACTTCTTTTATTTCGAGCAAATTCATTTTTGGGGTTCAAATGAATAACCTTTTTCAAGCTTCTTAAGGCATCTAAATTTTCATTTCTATTTTCTTAAATTAATCCTATTTTATAATGTGTATCCTCATGATTTTCATCTAATTTTATTGCTTAATAATAATTATTTAAAGCTTACTGGAACTGTCCAGTATCAAAAAAAATATTTCCTAAAAATATTTGCAAAATACCTTTGCAGTAAAATAAATTGGGATCTTTGCAGTTTAATTTAATAGCCTAATTGAAATCCTAAATAGCTTTTTATTTTTTTCCCATAATCTCATGTAACAATCCTAAATCAATTAAGAAATACCTCTATTGTAAAATCCTGTAGCATATTAAGGATCCAATTCTAAAATTTAATTTAAGTCTATTAATGCTTCAGAATAACGACCCATTAGTTTTAATAAACAACCTACGAATAAATAAAGAGAGAATAGAATACTTCTATTATTTAATGCAAAAATATAGGTAGGGTTCAATACAATAGCTCTTGAATAATCACTTAAACCTTCTTCTATTCTATCTATTCTTGAGTATGCCAAACCTAATAATAAAAAAACGAAAAACCCCTGTTAAAAAATAATCTTGATTCCTTTGGATTAATTTAAATAGCTTTTGTAAAATGGATGATAGCCTCATTTAATTGATTGTTTTTAACATTTTTGAGTCCTAGATTTTTAAAGAAATTACCTAATCTAAGATGATTTTCTGGCCTTGTAGAATTATTTTTCATCTGTAAAAATTATATATTTGAAAAAATATTAAACTTATTTTTAATAAAATCTTACATAAAATCCTTCATAAAATAAATTTAAATTAAATAGAGGTTTGTACAGTCAGAAAGTTTATGTTATGTGGGTTTGCCATTTCAAGTTTATTTCAGCTGTCAGATAATGTTATAATAAATTTTTTTTTTTTTTGGGTTTGGGTTTGGGTTTGGGGTTGGG